TTGTTGAATTACACATAAATACCAAGAAATAGGCTTCAATCTCGTTGATTCAAAAAATATCAAAAATTAGAATAAAACTAAGATGCTCTCTCATAAAACTTTATTAGCAAAAAAAGTGTCATTTTTCTATTTCAAAGTCATGCATAAACGAGTAAATTTTAGCTAAGACCCTCGAAGCAATTCAAAAGGGAAACAAATACTAAAAATCTAAAAAAATTAAAAAAAATCTCAAAAAATAGTAAAAGTAGATTCGAAGACTTAAATGATGTTTTTGTTTTTGGCCAAAATCACCCCTACGCCATAAGCAAAGCTAATGAGTTTTGGTTATTGGCCCATTTGGTATCGATTTAGGTCCAAAAACCCTTAAAATTAGGCCAACGAGTTTTTGTTTAGTTTCTGCCGCTCTCATATCATTCCATGAATTTCAAGACCTGTTGGTCTACATAATAAGCTCATGCAATTAGTCTTGCCCTCTTTGAGTGGCTATAAATTCGATGCAAACGGGTCCTTAAAAAAAAAAAAAAAGAGAAGAAAAAGAAGAAAAAATTCAAATTTTACAACAAAACAAAAAACCCTTGCACGATGGTTTACAATAACTTCAAGAACTAAAAATCCCAATGTGATGGAGGAAATGTGAAATAGTATAACAAAGGTTTTTTTTTTTTTTTTTTGACTTTTGAGTAAATTATAAATTAGTCTCTTTAGTATTAGAATATAAATTAAACGAGTCCCTTTATTAGTGTTGATCATATCTAATTTAATATTATTTTATTTTTAAAAATTTTTCTCATCAATTTTTTCATATTATTTAATTCTCTTTTTTTCTTTTTTACTTAGTAAAAAAAAATAAATTGAAAACACACATGGAATGAAAAAAAGTTTTTGAAACTAGGCGGATTATTTAGTTCATTGTATAAAACTAAATGGACTAATTTATAATTTACTCACTTTCACAGAGACAATCATACCTTAGATAAAAAAGAAAACATAGTATATGCTCTTTGAGGGTTTATTTATTATTATTATTATTTACTGTGAACGGATTGAAACAACATCATATTAACATCTTTTGTATTTTCAACCACATTTGAACACATGCCAAATTAGACCAGGGAAAACAAAAATTTTGATACGCTCGAGAAATGCTCTCCTCTCGAGAAGGGAAACAAAAATTTTGTCCAAGGAAAACAAGCCTTTTAGCCTTATTATAAAATGATTTTTTTTTTTTTTTCTGATTTTCCCAAAATGCACAAAAAACATAGAAAGACTAACTTAGCAAAACGACACCTAATTTGACTGGTTGTTGTAACATGGTCGGTGTGGCCTTTATAATTGACAAAATTGTTGTAGCTTTCGGTATGGCGATGGAATTGTTTTTTTTAATGAATGCTTTAACCTGCAGTGCCTGCGTCGGTAATGCAAGTCTAGCATGTCCACAAAATTAAGGAACAAACAAAGAATATATATTCATATTGGATTTTAACAGTACTCATAATCCAAAACAAAGAGTGGCCTTTTCTTTTTACAAAATGTATATAGAAAGCAACTTCTGATGAAAAATAAACCCTAATATATAGCAACAACACCATATCCTCTTTTTTACAGTAATGTTTCTACCCGGCAGAAACAGAGGCAACTAAGAAGTTAAGAAATACCAAGAGCTTTTTCAATCCAAGTTGAAAGAAACAGAGATAAGCTTTTAATGCCATTGTTGCTTTCAAGTTGCAACGCAAAAATTTCCTATAGAAAGCTGGCAAGAACCAGCAATAACATCATCCTTTCTTAGATTCTACTTCTAGGTGTAAGAAATACAAAAAACAAAAAGAAACCTATTGAATTTAGTTACATTAATAGAAGGTAGTTATTGTTGCCCTTTTGCCGATCTTTAATATTCCTTAAACATCCTGGCCCGGGATGATTTCGTCGGGCTGTACAAGCTACAACAATTTTGCCAATTAAATACAAGTTCTCTTTTAATTTCTGAACCAATGAAATAGAAGGTTCAACATGGTCGGTGTGGCCTTTGGATTATTGAATATGAATTTAGTGGATTTTTTTTCATTATTTGATTCCTGTTTAACTCATTCTTGGTATTTTACGGATGCCATTATAATATATTCCGTTTGTTAAAAAAAATTGTTATGTTTGTTTTTTTTTTTACATATATTAACAATGTTATTATTTGATATGTCAAATTATCATTTTTTTATTCGTACTTTTTAAAAATAAATATTTTTTTAATTGTAGGTCATTTATAAATAAGTTTTAGTATTGTAAAAAAAATACATGATTTAATAGAAAACACCACAATTTTATTGGAATGAAAGAAGTATATGTACGTATGAGATTTTCTTAAACTTTAAACTCAATTAAACATCTTCAATGTCAAGGATGTTGCAATGAAATGTTTAATATTAGGATCAATATTTAAGGAAATTTATCTAATTACATTAAATTAATACGAGAAATATATCTTCAAAATCGCCTAAAAAGATTTAATTTTAATATAAGGAATATATCTTTAAAATTGTCTAAAAAAATTCATTTTGATTGATGTATATATAAACTTTAACCCAAAAGATGTATAAGGAAAAAGTTAAATATTAAACAACAATAGTTTATTTGGTTCAAACAATGAGATTGAAAACATAAAGCTTTTTTTCAGATTTGAGAATTCTCTAAATTGCTCTATCTATGCTTATTAAAAAAATTATCTTATGAACTTATATTTTGACCCATATCAAATTAATTTATTAGATCATTTAATACGCTCTAAAAATAATTTATCAAAATATTTTATTTTAGTTACTTTAGTTTAAAAAAAAATTACTTAGTCCCTCTTGTTTTAAAACTAATTATTTAATCATTTGATCAGTATTGATCATACTTAATTTAAGATTATTTTATTTAAAAAAAATATCTTTTTTCTTATCAATCTTTTCATAATATCTATCTATTTATTTATTTCTATTTTTAAAGGAAAAAAAATTAAAAAGAGCATGAAAAAAAAGATTAAATAATTAATTTTTTGAAGCAAAAAGGACTAATTAATTTATCTCTCAAAACTAAAAGGACTAATTTATAATTTCATTAGGAACCGGGAGAGAAAATATCAAAGAGACAAACCGAAGGGTGAAGACAGTGACACCTCAGGAAGTAGGGTAATTCCACGTGCAATTACGATGCATCCACGAGAAAATTCCTTAGAAAGCACTGTTGGTTATAAAAGACCGGCTGGTTAGTACTGTTTTCATTTTTATTAATCAAAACCCTCATCAATTTTATTTACTCATGTTGCCCTTTTATTATTTTATTAAAATAGTGTCCTTACTTAGGCAATGAGAATTTTAAGTTAGTTAAGGATCAATTTTATTTGTAGAGATTTTTAAACTTTGACAATAGTATAAAAGTGTAGAAAAAGAGTAATTTGTAAATTAGTCCCTTTAGTTAGAAATGAATTACTTAATTAGTCATTCTTGTTTTAAACTTAATTATTTGGTCTTTATATTTTTAAATTTTCTTGTAATTTAATCCTTTTTTATTTTTTTTTCAGAAATAAAAAAAATATAAGTAAAATACAGAGGGATTGATAAGAAAATATGATTTTTTTAAAAAAATAAAGTAATATTAAATTAAACATATATAATCAATACTAGTTAAGGATCTAAATAATTAATTTTTAAAACAAGAGGGATTAATTGATTCTTTTTTTTTTTTTTTTGAAAATAGAGGGTTAATTTATAATCTACTCATATAAAAAGTTATGAAGTAGAAAACGGTTTATTGGATTTCTGGAAAAAAATGATATTTTATTTTTATTTTTATTTTTTAAACATAAAAAATATAAAAAATTGAGAAAAATAGAAAATAATCTGAAATGTTAGTTATTTTTTAGAGAGTTATAGATAAATCTCATTAAATAATTTTCATTATAAAATTATTTACATAGTTGTTATTATTTTAGATAAATGAGAAAAAAATCAAAGGCGGATTAAATCTCAAAATAAAATAAAATAAAATTCAAAAAGGTCAAAAACATAAATTAAAAATCTATAAATTAATTTTCAAATAAAACAAAATTATGAACAAGGTTTGACATTTTTAACCTATAAAAACACTAGAGAAGTTTTAGAAATTTTCAATCAATTGTACTTGCTGTGATTCTGATTCTTTTTTTTCACGTGTGATTGTGACTTTTGCTGAAAATGGCACCATAGAAAGCCATCCTTACCCTTAACAAAATAAAAGTCTTTCAATACCCAATTGAATCAAATCGGACCAATAATGATGTTTGATTAAGGTTTTTCACATCTTTTCATATGAAAGCCAACTCAAACTTTATTATATATTTATCACCAATTAATACATCTTAGGGTTATAATAAGTTAATAACATGAACTTTTGCTCATATATGTTAGCAAAAATATACTTTTGCATTAAAAATTGCAGTTTAGCATATAATCATGATAACATATATTAGCAAAAATGCTAGACCATGAAGAAGTTAAAATATCCCATTTAAGTTGAGCCAGTCTTTTTTTTTTTTTTTGGATTTCATAATTTGGAACTTTATGTTTGCTTGTTTTTAATATTCTGGAAAAAACAAATCTCGATCTAATAATCAATTTTTAATTTTTTTTAAATTTAAATAGATATAAAGAATGATTAAAATACCTTGCTCTCAACAAACAATCAACTCAATGCATGTGTGGACCATCCATGCTAATAGATTGGCAGACTTGGACCAAAAACTTCAACTAATTTAGCAATGTCGCTGAAATGCTAAGGCAAAACCTCAAAATTAACTCTGTGTTTCGTATACAGAAAAGAAAAACATATAATTAATGTTACTCTGCACAGTGTCCATAAACCTCTCTATATAGTCCTGGTTCGTTTTACTTCAAAAGCACCCTCTAATTTCCTATTCTTCTTCTTATTATTCTTCCTCTTTCTTCTTCCTTTCTTGTTTTTGTTTCCTCCTCTCATTTAATCACTTGTCAATGGCAAGTGGGTCTAAGGCATGGTGGATGTTGTCTACTGCCTTGCTGATATCAAACTGGGGAAAATGGGCTTGTGGATCCTCACCTCAAGTTCCTTGTCTCTTCCTCTTTGGAGACTCATTGTTTGATAATGGAAACAATGACGTCCTTGCCACAAACGTTAAAGCCAATTATCTTCCTTATGGGATAGACTTTCCTCATGGGTCTACAGGAAGGTGTAGCAATGGTTTCAACTTGGCCGATGCTATTGGTCTGCATCTTGCTCTCTTCTATTAATTAAATTTACAATAAAACATAAAATTTTGGTTTATAATAGCAAAGGTTACCCATATGCTGTCTATTCATCCAAAAAAATATACTCTTATATATTTCTCGAAAAAAAAAATTTCTGAAGGAAAGAAGAATTATATATCTATAAATTTATTGAGTTATTGCACTAATGTAATTTTTTTTTTCAGCTAGTCAACTAGGTTTTGAAAATTACATTACACATTTTGGTATGGGAGGTTGCAAAGATTATTTAAGTGGTGTAAATTATGCATCTTCTGGAGGTGGCATTCTTAATACAACAGGATATTTACTGGTGATTACCAACACTCATATGCCTATTATATCTATATCAATTTTTTTTTTTTTTTTTTTGCATATTTACCAAAGATTTTAAATCTTTAATTTGGTATATTTTTGGAGAATTTTGATAAATATTCCATTTTTATATTATAATTGGAACACTAACAACTTGTTTGTTCTATATGCATGGAAAGGGAGAACGTTTCACCATGGATCTTCAGTTATATAACCACAAGATTATAGTTTCACGGATTGCCAAAGAATTGGGGAGTGCAGATGTTGCCAAGAAGTACTTGGGGCAATGCATATATGCTCTTGAGATGGGCTACAATGACTATCTCAACAACTATTACAATGAAGGCTACAATAGTAGCAACATCTACTCTCCTGAAGAATTCGCACAACTTCTTATTCAAACTTATGAAATCCAACTAGAGGTTAACTTTTTTAAAAAAATTATTTCAATTCAAAAACTAATCAAAAACTAATCAGTTAGAGCATATGTTACATCAATTAAATACTTTTACATCCATTCAGTCACTAAATTTAATTTTTAAAAAATAAAAGTTATAGGATTCAAACTCTTGACCAATGGATTGAATTAAGGGATTTTGATACAATATAAAAAAAAAAATTAATTACTCAATTGAAAAATTAAAGATAATTTGTTATCGTTTTTTCCTTGCTTTTTCGGTTTTGTTTTTAATTTTTTGAAAGCAAGAACAGAAAACTCGTTAAGAGTTTTCAAAAAACAAAAAATTCTTTAAAAAATTAATGCTTTTAAATATTTTAAAATAAAAACATTAAAAAAAAAAAACAAATAATAGAAAATTACATTGGAACTGCTAGATGAGATCCAATATATAATCTTACGTACATTAATTATATACAGCTACAATATTGTAAAAAGATAACGATGTAGTCCTTTTTTTCCTTGTCAATGGCAGAAATTGTACAACGAAGGAGCAAGAAAGATGGCTGTGTTTGGGCTTATTCGGATAGGATGCATGCCGACATATATCAATGCATATGGTGCAGATGAATCTTTATGTGTAGACAAGCTCAACAACGCTGTTCAAATTTTCAACAAGAAGCTTCAAATACTTCTCCCTAAGCTGAATGCCAACCTTCCTGGAGCTAAATTTACTTACATAAACTCGTACGAAATCGATTCTGAAAATTTTGCAGAATTAGGTAAAATTTATCACTTTTTTGTGTTCATGAGTACTCGAAGGAAAACATTGTTATTCCTACCAATTTTACTTTTTCTTGTTTGCATGCAGGTTTCAAAGTTACCAATAAGAGCTGTTGCGACCACGTTTTAGGAAAAGTCCCATGTACACCTCTTACTTATCCATGTCTCAACAGGAATGAACATGTCTACTGGGATGGAGCCCATTATACTGAAGCTAGAGCTTGGGTCTTCGCAAAAAGAGCATATAAACGTCAATTAACGGTTGATGCTCATCCTTATGATATCAGTGAACTGGTTCAGATACCAATGGATGAAATAGATGATAGTTAAAGGCTAAAAAATATGTTGATGGTGACTGGCGGTTGTATTTTAAATATACCTACCAGTCAAGTGGGTTTCTTTTGTATGTCTTTTTGAAGACTTTTTGACAACGAATAATTGTCTTTTTGAACCTTCTCTGTTTGTCGTCTGCTTTTCTTTTGTAATCAAACTTATGAAATCCAATTAGAAGTTAGCTAGCTAAAAGAATTAATTAACTACCCAGAAATCACATATACGATCATTTTTCCTTTTCCTTTAAATTCTTTGCTCAGTCAGTGGACACAAGTGGTACTTAAAAACCAGAAGCAGCCAGAATTTACACATATCCCACTCAGTGCTACATTATAAAAATAAGAGATTATGATAGTGACCTTATTAGATATGGTTTTTCAAATTGGTTAACGAGTCCAAGGTTGTGTTTGTTGCATACTTCTCAAGGTGTGACCCTATTATGGTAAGGATACGAAGGAAGGAATTAATAAACTTTCTACATCATACAACCACCCATGCATGACGATTAGCTTCTGGGCGACTCTGACTTGGTCGCAGCCAGCGTTTTGCCTTTGTCCATCCAATTCAGTCCCTGCTTCATGTCTTTCCTTGTGCTCTAGTCCATATTCTACTATTTTCCGTAATTAAGTCCTTGATCCTTTAGTTTTCCTTTCTGAACGTGCAATTTTCTAAGTTTTTCGAAAGTTGGGTGGAAATTGTTATGAGAGTATAAAGTAATTAATTACTGATTAGTAATTCAGTTTGTGTAAGCTATAAATGGCTTGATGTCTGTTCTAAACTCAGTTAACCTTTTTGTAAAGGTGATCAGCGCGCAAAGGTATGGTTAAAAGGATTGAGCTCAAGGAAGCATGGCAAGACAGCATAGCAGATAGCGACACGGATAGAAAAGAAAGAAATAGTGCTTGTCTTTGCCAGTGCACTAAAGAATGGCCAAAAAAATGATCGCTGGCAGGCCGATAAAGAGGCTTTTCTGTGTTCTGAAGACTATACTAAAGTTTATGGCAATGATGGATAATTTTGACGACACTGCTAATTTAGCAGATCTATGGGAAAATAATAAGAAGGTTGTCAATGTCGGGAATCATTTGGTCTGCTCAGACTTAATTGGCTCCCATCTTAGAAGACCTGTGTGCAAAATATGGAGATATCATTCCTGAATACACTTTCCAACGTTCCGGATTGAGGACTGTTTATGTCAACACGTTATGCGAAATAATAAGGGGCATGTGCACCACCAGGGTTTCTGACATTTCAGAAGAGAAACTTTCCTTTTGGTGGAGACACTTGAAGACTCTTCAATTTATAGGTTTGAATGTACAGTTCGCCTTGGATCGTTTGACGAGTGCATGCTTACTATGCTCTTCAAGTTGAAAAGGCAGTGAAAAAGAACAATGAGGCTTCAGTACTCAGGTGGATGATAGCTGGTGAAGGTTTACTGTGATGTGAGGCATTGTCTGCTTAACTTCTTGCCAACTATTACAAGAAGAAGAAGACATACTAGTGTCATAACCTAAAATTTATCCATATTTATTTTATTTTATTTTATTTTGATTTTGATTTTGGAGTTTAATACAAAAAAAAAAACTAAAAATACAAAAAAAAAGAAAAGAAAAAGAAAAATATATAAAAAATGCAAAAAAATTCATTAAGAGACACAATTGCATCAAAAGAAAATATAATTAAAGTATTTAGGGGCACAATAGAATCAATTAAGAAATTTATAACTTGAATTACACTGCAGTGATCCAATTGATAACAATCATACTTTATAAGACTAAAATTACATAAAAAAGAGCACGATTGCAACGAATGATAGAATTGAAATTAAGCAAATGACCTGTCGTCCACTCCAATTTAAAATTCCTCCAAAAATCCTTCAAAAAATCTTTCCAAATCTTCCACCGATCACGTTTTTGAATTTGCATTTACTGTGATTGATACTCACCAAGAATGAATATGTGACTTAATTATTGCTTAATCCACAGGTTTGAAAGACAGTGATGGAAACCTAAACTTCCCCTGTTCTCAGACAGGGCATATAAACATTTTATAGAGAAGCTTGATTCTAGCACCTATTATTCTTCTTTAACACTATGGGAAGAGAATGAAGATGTTGTTAATGAATTGAAAAGGTTCTTTTCTTTCAGTGAAGATGAGAAAATAGAATTAAAGGCATTTTAGCGGTTCATAGAAATGCATGGGAAGGTGATAAACAAAAAGTTCGAGGTGGCGAAGATGGACCGAAAACAACGAGAAACAAGTAGTGGAGGAGGAGATCAAGCCTTTTTTTTTTTTTTTTTTTTTGTATGATATGGTATTCTTTTTCATAGAAGAGGAGAAGATAGAACTGAGGGTATTGTCATAGTTCACGAAAAGGAGATAATTAAGACTAAAGAGACATATTACACTAACTATAGAGAAGATAGCAATGAAAACCCAAAAGTTACCCTGTTCTCGGACAGAGCCTGTAAGCAATTTATGAAAGTTCTTTCTTCGAAGTGTTCTTTGACACATCAAGCTCAGAATTAACGTTATATACAGATGCTTGGCTGTCCGAAGAAAGAGAAGAGGCAGTGAATTCATGGATATCTTCATTATCGAAAATAAGCGGGCTCCCATTCTACAAGACTTGTTGGACAAATATGGAGATTTCGGAGTGAAAATTACTTTTCAAATGGAGATGTATTTCATTGTCATGCTATGTTGGACTGCACATAGCATGCACAAAACCATACCAGAAATCGATTAAGAAAAGACAATATTACGAAAGAAATGTTCCTTACGATGTCTCTCCTTCAAGACTAATGTGTTTCTTAGCTTTAGTCAGCTAATTGTCAAATTTCTTATGACAATCCTGCAGACCTTTTTCCTTATGCGTTAATCCTACTGAATTAATTCCATTTTCTTAGAATAATATCTTCATCAATGTCGGTTTTTTTTTTTTTTTTTTTTTTTTTTTGTAAACTAATAGACAAACTCAACCTACTAAATATGTAGGTATATGATGACAACAGGTAAATGTCATATAGCTAAGGAAGAAAAACTAGTTGCAGATAAGTAAGGAAAATGGATCCATTAGGGCGGCTAGGAGATATCACTGGTTGCCAATGTCAATTGTTCACGTCAGCATTAGAAGATTTGCAGAAGCGAAAGTTTCCACATAGATCCTCGGCGTTGATGTTGAGTAAGATAATTCAAGAGAGCTGGAATTAACAGAGATCACATCAAGAGTCTTAACACATTTCAGCCACAAGGAGGCATCAATATTTCGTTGGAGATACTCTAATGCTAGTGTTTTCTGTGAGATTTGTGGAGAAAACACCTCTGAAGTGCTCTACCGCTGTAAAAGGTGTGACTTCTATTTTCATCTTTCCTAAGCTTAGTTACCCCAAAAGCTTACTACGGAGAATATCACAAATTTAAGAACTTCTAAAAAAAATAAAATAATAATATTAGCAACATATTAGCATTGGATTTTTTTATAGTTAACGAGGAAAATAGCGACGGAAAAACGATAACTAAATTAGCTTCGAATTTTAACAACAAAATATCAATTATTAATTAACGATGGATTTAATGACAGAATTGTGACGCATTATTTGGTGGGAAGACGATATTTTCAATGATCAATTAGCAACGAAATATAGAGATTTAACAACAGAAAAGCTATTGCTAAATCAGCAACGGATACTATTTTTTCATCACTAAGGTTAGCGACAAGTATTTTAAGAATGAGGTTTTTTTTTTTGTCACAAATCCATCGCTAAACTCTTTTAATGTTGAAATTGTCTTTATTAGCGACAGATTATTCGGTCCTTGATTGGCTATTTTTTTGTAGTGTCAGTGGACACAAGTAGTACTTAAAAAACAAAAGCCATATGCCATGCTTTTTGAGTTAATATTTTAGAATTAGTGCTACGCATATCCCACGCAGTGCTACATTACAAAAATAAGAGATTATGATAATGACTTTATTAGATATGTTTTTTCAATTGGGTAATCAGTCCAAGATTAAAGAAAAGAAGTCAGAAAAAAAATAAATAAATAAAAACAAGATGGAAGGGCTTGGCTTGACATCCTATTCGCACTTTGTTAGCCCAAGCGCAAGTGTTTTTTTTTTTCCCTAAAAATAAAAAAAATAAAAACAGAATAATCCTAAGAATTGACCTGGGAGTATGCTGTTTATACACTGCTATATCTTGTAATTAGATACACTGGCGCAGAAAAATGAAAAAAAAAAAAAAAAAAAAAGAGAGAGAGAGAGAGAAAGGAAGAAGGAAAAAAGGAAAACGTGACCTTATTAGATATGTTTTTTATATTGGTTAATGAGTCCAAGATTGTGTTTGTTGCATACTTCTCAAGGTTGACCAGATAATTATGGTAAGGATCGAAGGCAGGAATAAACTTACATATCCCACTCAGTGCTACATTGTATATCCAATTCAGTCCTTGCTTCATGTCTTCCCTTGTGCTCTAGTCCATATTCTACAGTTTTGCGTAATTAAGTCTTTGATCCTTTAGTTTTCACTTTGTCAATTAAATTTTTAGTTTGATTCTGCACTGATCTATGATTTTTGTGTCCCTGATTGATTTCATTTCATGAATAAGTGGGTCTTACATCGATTTTGAGTTAAAGACTAACATATCAAGGGCTTAATTGAAAGTAATTAATTTTAGAGTACTTGATTTTATTTTAATATATTTCAAAGGATTTAAATTTATTTATATGATCTCTGTGTACCTAAAATTTCATCTGATTACTATTTAGAATATACAGCATTTAGGATTTTTATTTTTTATTTTAATTTTTATTCTATTAATAATTAGGAGTTAAGGGTGATAGACACATTATAATTTTATTTTGCTTATAAAAAATCCATTGGGAAATTTTGGTTGATGACGAAGCTAGTAATAGATTAGCCCACTTTTTACGTACCTGAAATTAAAATACTGAATAAATTTGATATGTTAAATATCATGTAGAGGGCAGTTGACTATTTTAATTTTTATATAGTTCTATCTACACAAATGATCTTGCATGTTTGATTTACTTATCTGTTTTTATATAGTTGTGGGATCCAAAAAATATGTTCTAATTTTTATGTAGTTGTGGGATCCAAAAAATATGTTATACTTGGTACCAATTTGTTAGGAAAATAGGTCAAAATTCTCAAAGCAATTGCCAAGTAGAAAAATATAAAATAACAACCACAGTCAATCTTGGGTATTCTATATCTTTACAAATTCATAAAAATAAAATAAAAAAACAATTAATATCAATATATTATTAATTTGATCAACCAAAGACCAGTATTTGTAATTTCAATCGATAGAATATAATTTGTTACATTTATAAATGAATTACTCAATAAAAAAATATAATGAGTCATAATATTATTAGAAATAAAATGAAAATTAATAATAATGAATCATAGAATGAATAAAAATACTAATTGATTGATATAAATTTCAATTTTAAAAAATTATGCTTAATTGATTGAAATGAAAAAGACAGGTACTTAATTGATCAAATTAATAATATAAGCATTTTTTTTATGAATTGATGAAAATACAAGATGCAAATAATAAATTTAGCAAAATTTAATTGCTTCTAAGTTACATAATCTTTCCTAGCTAGTGTAGAATCTTTCCAACTCCAAGGACTAGGATTCTTTGACCAAAAGGAGAACCAACGAGAAACTTTCTATTTAAATCTGGATCTGAAATTTAATTCTTGATAACTACGAAGGAAATATATTTTTGGTTAACTAGTAGGCTAACCACATTCAAGTTCTCACCAATGTGACTTTGAATATTCATTTTTGGTTCAACTCATTTTGCAAGGGAATCCAATATATTGGTTGACGTGAACAAATCTTTGGTCAGATATTACAATTACAATTGCAAATTACAAATAAAACTAAAAGAAAACGTAAAATTAGTGTAGCAGTTATTATGGATTAATTGTTCACAGTTTAGATTTTTTTTTCCTTCCTGCAGCTAAGCATCTCTTTTGGCTTTTATTTTTATTTTAGTCCCTATTTTGTAATTTTTTTTCATTTTGTTTATTAAAATTTTATTTATTTATCTTTTCTCTTGCTGCAGCTAAACACCTCTTTTAGCTTTTATTTTTATTTTAATTCCTATTTTGTAAAATTTTTTTGTCATTAAAATTTTATTATATTTAATTTTTTTCCCTATAATAAATATTAAAATTTTATTATATTTGATTTTGTCCCAATAATAAATATTTTTTCTTGGCTTTTAATAAAAAAATTATGTTCTTTTTTTGTTCCAATTTTATGATATGTTTTTATTTTCGTCATTAAATTTTTATCATATTTGATTTTTATCCTTATTATACTAAAACTAAATAAAGTTTCATTATCCTAAGCTTTTTTTTTTTTTTTCCTTTTAGTGAAACTTTTCATTATATTATAATTCTTATTTTGTGATTTTTTTCCCCTTTGTTTTGGCCATTAAATTTAGTAAAATTTTGTTTTTCTTTTAGTCTTTTTTTTGTAATTGTTTTTTATTTTGATAAGTAAATTTTTATTATATTTTATTTTTTTTCCTACAAGAAACTATTTTTTACTTTGAGTAAAACTTTTTGTTATGTTTTGGCTTTTATTATGTGATCTTTATTTTATTTTGATCATTAAAGTTTTATTATATTTTATTATTATTCTTTCTACACTAAAATTAAATACAATTTCACTATTCTAAGTTTTTCTTTTTTGCTTTTAGTGAAAACCATTTTCTATTTTGGTTCTTATTTTATGATTTTTTTATTTATTAAAATTCTATCATGTTTTACTTTTGTTCATACCTCATGCATAATGAGTTTTTTTTATAGTTTTATTGTTTATAATTTTTTATTTTTTATTTTTTATTTTTTTTGCTTTCAGTGAAAGTTTTTTATTTATTTTGATCATTTTTTATGATCTTTATTTTGTTTTAATCATTTAATTTTAATCATGTATAATTTTATCTCAATTTTTTCTTTTTGTCAAATTCTCGATTTGATAAAGTTTTTTTGTCTTTTTGTTTTAGGTGGTCTCTCTATCTCATTAACAAATTATTGATGAAGAATATATGGTAAAAATTAATTATCTAAAATTCAAAAAACTACCACATCATTATTTTAATTATCGGTTATCATACATATTTTTAATAAAATACATATTTATATCAAACAATATCTAATTAGCAATATTATATTACTCAACTTTGTAGACTTTTCGTTTAACTAACCCCGAAGCAAAATATAAGATATATGTTTTGGTTTTTTTTTTTTTTCACGTTATCCTTTTAAATATTTATTTTTAAATTTTATATTTTATATAAATGAACACAGAAGAATATTATATAACTCACCTCATAGCAACTCGTGTGATATATGCTAATATAAACTAAAGAGAAATTAAGTTAAGAAATAAACAAAAAGATATGCATGTATTCTATAGATTATTGTCAGTTACCTTCACCTTGAAGTCACCAACTTCATAACATAAAAATTGAATAGACTTGTGTTTCAACATTTACATCATAACTCATTCCACGTTTTTTGGGAAATCGACGACCAATCAAACCTGAATTTCTCTGTTTGAGAAGCATCACGTTATTGTGCCCTGTTTTCAATGACTGCTCCTCCACATTTTTTATTTTATATATATTCCAAAAACACTTTTTATTTGTTTTGTGTTTTGTGTTTTAACCAAAGAATCAAATTCCTCGTGTCCTTAGATAGATACATAAATATAGTAAAGTATATGCATCACAAACGAAGTTAGCAGATATCTAGGGCAAAAGAAAATAGCACTGTACAGTGTCCACAAACCTCTATAAATAGTCCTGGTTGGTAGTACTTCAAAACAGTACCGTTACCTCTACCTTTCTTGTTTTTGTTTCTTCCTCTCATTTAATAACTTGTCAATGGCAAGTGGTTCTAAGGCATGGTGGATGTTGTCTACTGTGTTGCTGGTATCAAACTGGCAACACGGGGCTTGTGGATCCGTTCCTTGCCTCTTCCTCTTTGGAGACTCATTGTTTGATAATGGAAACAATAACGTCCTTGCCACAAATGTTAAAGCCAGTCATCTACCTTATGGGATAGACTTTCCTTATGGGCCTACTGGAAGGTGTAGCAATGGCCTCAACGTAGCCGACGTGATTGGTTGGTAGCTTGCTCTCTTCGATCTTTTATTCTAAAACATAAGAGTTTGGTTTGTTTACTTTAACCAAAAACGAATATTTTCTCCTAAGCTATGAAGGTTTATATTTTTATTCTTTTAGGTTAAAATGAAACTTGGGGTTATGTTTGTTAGTACTATTTGTTGCACAAATTTTCGTCATTTAATATTTTATATAAAAAAAAATACTTGGTTTAAATCATTGATTATATATATATATTATTTAGATTCCTCTCACTCACTTGATGTGAGATAAACACTCACCTTGTTATTTACTTGATGTATACTCAGCATCTAGCTTAGAAATATCCTGCTTTTAAAGTATGTCAAGTAGCTTAAAAATTATTTATTTATTCAATATGAGATAGATTTTCTAATACAATATTACGCATAGGCAGTTCAAGTTTTTTCTTCCAAATAAATTTTACAATAGTAAAGGCTATGGTGAGCATAAAAAAGTGTATATGCATATCTTTATAAGAAAAAAAATGTTAAAATATATTGAGTTATTACACTAATATAGTTTTTGTTTCAGCTGATCAACTAGGTTTTGAAAATTACATTTCGCATTTCGGTATGGGGAGTTGCCGTGATTATTTAAGTGGTGTAAATTATGCATCTTCTGGAGGAGGCATTCTTAATACGACAGGATATTTACTGGTGATTGTCAAAGCTCATATGCCTTTTAATTGTATCAATATCAGAAGACATGGTTGACTAAAGAAATTTGCATATTTTCCAAAGATTTTAAATCTTTAATTTGGTATATTTTTGGAGAATTTTGATATATATTCCATTTTTATATTATAATTGGAACACTAACAACTTGTTTGTTCTATATGCATGGAAAGGGAGAACGTTTCACCATGGATCTTCAGTTATATAACCACAAGATTATAGTTTCACGGATTGCCAAAGGATTGGGGAGTGCAGATGTTGCCAAGATGTACTTGGGGCAATGCATATATGCTCTTGAGATGGGCTACAATGACTATCTCAACAACTATTACAATGAAGGCTACAATAGTAGCAAGATCTACTCTCCTGAAGAATTCGCCCAACTTCTTATTCAAACTTATGAAGTCCAACTAGAGGTTAGCTTTTTTTAAAAAATTATTTCAATTCAAAAACTAATGAATTAGAACGTATGTTACATCAGCTAAATATTTTTGCATCCATTCAATTGCTGAAGTTAATTTAATTAAAAAAAAATGAAAGGGATAGAATTCGAATTTTTGACCAATTGATTTAATTAAGAGATTTTGATACAATATAAAAAATTTACTCAATTGAAAAATTTAAAGATCATTTGTTATCTTTTTTTTTTCCTGCTTTTTCGGTTTTGTTTTTAATTTTTTGAAAGCAAGAATAGAAAACTTGTTAAAAGTTTTCAAAAAACAAAGAATTCTTAAAAAAATTAATGCTTTTAAATATTTTAAAACAAAAACAGTAAAAAAAATATATAAATAATAGAAAATTACATTGGAACTGTCAGATGAGATCCAAGCTAGATATAATTTTACATTAATTATATATAGCTACAATATTGTAAAAAGATAATGATGTAGTCCATTTTTCTTTCTTGCCAATTGCAGAAATTGTACAAAGAAGGAGCAAGAAAGATAGCTGTGTTTGGGCTTATTCGGATAGGATGTATGCCGACATATGTCAATACATATGGTGCGGATGAATCTTTATGTGTAGACAAGCTCAATAACGCTGTTCAAATTTTCAACAGGAAGCTTCAAATACTTATCCCTAAGCTGAATGCCAACCTTCCTGGAGCTAAATTTACTTACATAAACTCTTACGAAATCGATTCTGAAAATTTTGCAGAATTAGGTAAAATTTATTATCTTTTTTGTGGTCAGTGGTTGAGGGTAAACATTGATATTCCTACCAATATTATTTTTTCTTGCTTGCATGCAGGTTTCAAAGTTACCAATAAGAGCTGTTGCAACGTAGCTTCTGGAACAGTCCCATGTACAAGTCTTTCTTATCCATGTCTCAACAGGAAAGAACATGTCTACTGGGATGGAGCCCATTATACTGAAGCTAGAGCTTTGGTGTTTGGAAAAAGAGCATATAAACGTCAATTACCTGCTGATGCTTATCCTTATGATATCAGTGAACTGGCGCAGATACCAACTGATCATGGAATAGATATAGATGACATTTAAGGTCGATGGAATATGGAGACCTTTACAAAGAAGATTATACTCAGAAGAATTCCACATTGGTGGCTGCTGGTTACAAGTGATACAATAGTTGAGATTTAAAAATATTCAAAAAGAATCCTAGTTTATTGTAATATGTTTGAATAAAATACTACTCTATCAATATTATGTTTTAATAGATTCCTAACTCATCTGTTATCTTATCATCCTTTCTCAAGTTGAGTCGGAAATTATTGAATGATCAATTTGTCACGAAAAAATTGAAAACGAGGGCTAGACAAAGCTTTGGTCAAGTAATCTGCAATTTGATCTTTTGTGAAAATATAACAAACAAGTAAATCTTTTATACTAACATATTGACGAACAAAATGAAAATCAATCTCTAAATACTTATACCAAGAATGAAACACCGGATTACGAGTAATGTAGGTAGCACTTAAATATATTAGCATGCATCGTGAGAAGAAAAAGAAATATTTGGGCAGTAGCAAGGCAGAGAGAGATTGGCAAAAAAATAAGACTAGAAAGGAAAGGATACTGAGTGATGGAGTGATGGAGGGACAGTGTTGACATTAGATGTGCAAATAATGACAAAGAACTGATGCAAGAATATTAATACTTGCTTCTGTAGATGAAGTGGGCACGGATTGACAAAGAGAAGGAATAAAGAAATGGAAGTAGCAGACTTTAGGCAGCAACAGGCATTTAAGAAATGGTTGCGTGGAATGGCTAGGAGAAAGAAAGGAAGGAAAAAAAAAAAAAATAGAGAATCGACATATTGGCTGTTAAGCTTAGATTGGCTTTGATACCATGACGAAGATTATACTCAGAAGAATTCCACAGTAATGGCTGCCGTGTATTTAGCTATAAATAGGTTACAAGAGATATAATAATTGAGATTTGAATATAATTGAGATTTGAAAATATTCAAAAAGAATCCTAGCTTATCTATATTATATTTGAATAGAATATTATTCTATCTAGAAATAACCAAAAAGATTATAGCCAGCTGCCTTCTACTTGAAGACAACAACTATATAAAATAAAAATTGAGTGTACTTGTGTTTAATTCAATGTTTACATTTATAACTCCATCTTAATTTTTTGGAGATTGATGACCCATCAAATCTGGATTTATAAGTTCGAGAAGCATCACGTTATTGTGCCATATTTTCGGTGACTGCACCTCCAGATTTTTAATTTTATATATACAACAAGCAATGAAAGGTGTAGATTTATTCGGTAAAGCAGATTCGAGTCTAAATAATTCTATTTTATGTGATTATTATGTAATGACTGTGAACCACTCTCCTAGGGTACCTCAAAGCCTAACAAGCCTCCCCATAATCCAAAAAAAAAAAAAAAAATATTGCGAACATGTAAACATGAATATAATATTAAAAAATTCAAAAAGTTTGTGATGAGAAAATTATTAATTTATTATAGTGTAATATGAAAATATATCATTGAACCACGTTAAATAGGATTTAATGGCAAATTTTGATCCTATTTTATTTTGATTTAACAATTTTAGACTTATAATATCAAATTGTATAATTTGAACCCTAATATATTAGAGATTGAGAAACTATGATTTAAATTGTCTAATCTTTATTATTTGTAACGATCAACTCAATTGATCATTACTTTATTGTCATTTAACAATTTTGGACTTATAATATCAAATTACATAATTTGAATCCTAAAATATTAGAGATTGAGAAAATATGATTTAAATTGTCTAATCTTTATTATGTGTAACGATCAATTCAATTGATCATTACTTAGAATATCAAAATGATGTTGTTTTGATTATATTTTATTGGGATTTAACAATTTCAGACTTATAATATCAAATTGCATAATTTGAACCTCAAAATATTGAAGATTGAGAAAACATGATTTAAATTATCTAATTTTTATTATGTGTAACGATCAACTTAATTGATCATTACTTTATTGTGATTTAACAATTTCGGACTTATAATATCAAATTGCATAATTTAAACCCCAAAATAATAAAGATTGAGAAAATATGACTTAAATTGTCTAATCTTTATTATATGTAACGATCAACTCAATTGATCATTACTTTATTGTGATTTAACAATTTCGGACTTATAATATCAAATTGCATAATTTGAACCCCAAAATATTAAATATTGAGAAAATATGATTTAAATTGTCTAATCTTTATTATGTGTAACGATCAACTCAATTGATCATTACTTAGAATATCAAAATGACGTTGTTTTGGCTTTACACCGTTAATTATGTTTTTTTTTTTTTAAATATTTTTAACCTTCTAATCTTGAATTTTTTTAAAAAATTCTTTTTCTTATAAAATATTATAAATTATATAAAAAAATTTATAAATATTTTTTAATCTCTTAATTTTGAACTTTTTTATATAATTTATAAAATTAGGAGGGTCAACCCTTAATTATGCTTATTTAATTTATAATTTTTTCTAAGGTCTGAAACTATCTATTGTTAATTATGTTTTTTTTTACAATAATATTTTATATTTTTTAAAAGTTCAAAATTAAGAGGTCAAAATTATTTATAAATTGTTTTTTTATATATAATTTATAAAAAATTTATAATTTTTGTGAGAAAAAAGTTCAAGATTAGGGAGGTTAAAAATATTTTTTAAATATATAATTAACAATCAAATGCTAAAACGATGTCGTTTTGACATTTCAAGTAACGGTCAACTTAGTTGACTATTACACATAAAAGAAATTGAGCGAGTTTGGATCACATTTATCCAATCTTTAATGCTTTAAGATTTAAATTATGCAATTTGATACTATAGATCCAAAATTTCAAAATCGCAATAGAATGAGACAAAATTTATCATTAAACCCATTATATAGTTTAATTTTTTAGATTAAGATGATTTTTTTCATGATATTACAACTTCTTTAATCAAGAGTTCAAAATCCTGTCATACCATTTCGAGTCTAAATAATTCCATTTTATGTCATTATTATGTAATGATTGTGGACCACTCTCCTAGTGTAGCTCAAAGCCTAACGAGCCTCTTGATAATCCAAAAGGGAAAAAAAAATTGTTGTGAACATGCAAACATGATTATAATATTAAAAACTTCAAAAAATTTATGATTAGAAAATTATTAATTTATTAAAGAGTAATATAAAAATATATCATTGAACCACATTAAACGAGGTTTAATGGTAAATTTTATTCTCATTTTATTGTAATTTGACAATTTCGACCTATAATACCAAATTGCATAATTTGAATTCCAAAGCATTAAAGAGTGGACAAATGTATCTAAATTATCCATTAAACTTTTTTCTTATAAAATATTATAAACATTTTATAAATTATATAAATATTTTTTTCCTAATTTTGAACTTTTTTTTTAAATTATAAAATGTTATTGTAAAAAAAAAAATTAACAATACACTATTTCAGACCTTAAAATAAATTAAAATGAGCATAATTAAAGGTTGACTCGTCCTAATTTTATGAACTATAAAAAAAACATATTTTTATAAAATTTTATGATATTTTATACAAAAAAGTTCAAAAATAGGAGATTAAAAATATTTATATAATTTATAAAATATTATTTATAAGAGAAAATTTTTTTAAAAAAATTCAAGATTAGAGGGTTAAAAATATTTTTTAAATATTAAAAAACATAATTAACAACGAAATACATATTAAAATGACGTTGTTTTGACATTCTAAATAACGATCCGTCAATTAAGTTGATCGTTACACATAATAGATTATGGGGGTTTAAAAATATTTAAAAAAAAACATAATTAATAACCAAATGTCAAAACAACATCGTTTTGGCATTCAAAGTAACGATCAACTTAGTTGACCATTACACATAATAGAAATTAAGTAATTTGGACCATATTTATCTAATCTTTAATATTTTGAAATTTAAATTAACCAATTTGATACTATAGATCCAAAATTATCAAATCGTAATAGAATGGGACAAATTTTATCATAAAACTCATTACATGATTAATTTTTTAGATTGAGATAATTTTTTATATAATATTATAACTTCTTTGGTCAAGAGTTAAAATCCTATCGTAGCATTTTTAAAATAAAATTAGTTTCACTAGGCAAGATGTAAGAGATCTAGTGACGTAAAACGATATCCTTGCACCTCACCCATCCTTTGACCTAACCAAATATAATTATCTAATCATCTCTTAAGAACGGTCTATAAATAAGTGATATTATCAGTTCTCAAAACTCAAAATTAACACCATCCTACTGCCTACCTGCGCCGCCCGCCTAAACCCGCCCCACCGCCCCCCGGGGCGCGCGCGGCTGTCGGATAAGATGGAAGTTGAAATACGAGAGTCAACCATGGTACGCCCAGCTGAAGATCTGCCCATTCGACGTTTGTGGCTCTCTAACTTGGACCTAATACATCCAAGATTTTATGCCCCTACATTATTACTTTACAGTCCAAATGGTTCCTCCAATTTCTTTGAAGCAAAAGCGCTTAAAGAGGCCCTAAGGAAAGTTCTTGTGCCATTCTATCCTGCGGCTGGGAGATTGGCAAGAGATGAAAATGGTAGAATTGAGATAAACTGTAATGGGGAAGGAGTAGTATTCGTAGAGGCTGAAACAGATTCTACCACGGCTGAGCTTGGTGACTTCGTACCTGGCACAGAAATTCAGCAGCTCTATCCAATTGTTGATACTTCAGGCGACATCTCTTCTTGCCCACTCATAGTCATACAGGTGAGTGTTTATGCAATTCAAAACACATAGGACCTATATATTATATTTAGTCTATTTTTTAACTTTTTTTGTCAAAAATAATAGTTTTATATCTCCATAATGGAAATCATTCAATAAAATTGAGCTCTTCAAGGAATTTAAAATCATTTCTAGTTTTTTTTTTTTTTAATATTTATAGAGTAAAAAAATTTACTTTGGGGTAGGCAAAGAGATATTTATGTGTGCTATTGTCAATATAGGTAACTAAATTCAAATGTGGCAAAGTTTGTCTTGGATTAGGGTGGCATCACACCCTAGTAGATGGTGCTGCAGCTTTACATTTTCTCGACACATGGACTGCTTTAGCGAGAAGCCTTCCCATTACCATTCCACCATTTATTGATCGAACAATCCTCCGATGTCAAATCCCACCAAAACCGACATTCCCTCACAGAGAATTTGATCCTCCTCATACCATGAACACTCCTATCAGAAATTCCAAATCCAAATCCATGGCAAACTTGATGTTTTATATTTATTATATATTGTAAAAACATATCTCATGTTAAATAAAAATACAAAATACAAAACAATATATATATATTTTAGAATATCTAACTATCTAATTTGAAGCAACATTGTAACCTTAATGATTAAACAATCATTAGTTCAAATTCTACCACTCCTAATTAAATTAATTATAAATTAAGTAAAAGCTCAAATGACTTTACTTAAAAAATTGTGTTAAAGAGATATTTTATCTAGAAAATTGCGTTAAAGAGATAATTTTACTCACAAAATTACAATATTAAAACATAAATATAATACTCTCTTTATTCCAAATAGATTATTCTCATTTCTATTTATATCAATTTCAAAATTTTTATCTGGTCAAAAATTCAAATAACATATTTCCTTAAAGTATCTCTAGTTGATAAAGAAAATCAATCATTTCTTGTTTCTCACTAGTAAAAATTAATATTCTTTATACATTCTTCTTATCAAATACATTTAACATAAAAATTTAGAATTTTTTTTTATATATAAAATATTCATTCTTGTAAGAACTTTACTACATATTGATGTTTTAGAGTAAAATATTTCTATTAAGGTGTAACTTTTCCATAATTATTTTAAACTTTATCATTAATTAACTTAATGATTTTTTTCTTTAATTTATCACTTTAATTTTAAATAGATTTTCTCCTTAAATTAATATTTGTTCCATATAATGCAAGATTAAATTTAATAAATAATAATTTTAATAAAAAAATAAACGAAAAATAATGATATGAAATAATAATTAATAATTTTTTAAAACCATGTAAAAAAAAAGAATATATTTGAAAAGAGTGGATACAGATGGGACTATCTCTTAGAAACATGGGACTAATGGGCCAAGTACAATGTGTTCGGTAATTTCCAACACAACAAAAATAGTGGATCTTTTAGCTCCGGCAACATTTACCCTTCACACGATCACATAGCAGATGAAACAATAATGAACGCAGAATCACTGGATTTTATGGGTTTTGCAGGAGGCTCGAGACGTTGTGCTGTAGCTGAATTTTTTTAAACCTTAAAATGGCCATTTTTCTCCATCTCATTTGTCAGAAAATATGGGTTGCAACTTGGAAGATAAGAGCATATTGATTAAAAGGAAAAGCATGCACCAGATCTCATGAATTCAAGATATGGAAGAAAAGTTTGTTTAACAGAGTTAAAAGGGTACATGCATATTTGTTCTATTCTTAAGTTTTTGAATTCTGAATATTGGAGTTAGTATCCGAAGTACAAACTTCCGAATGCACTAAACCGATATAGAGTGATTTCTTAAGATCATTTGAAGAAAAAAATTTGCTTGTAAATTTGAACCAACCATCAATCTATATAAAGTTGACGATATTGATAAGATTTTTGTTTTTAAATGTGAAGAAAAGATTCATAATGCTAATTGGGATTTTTCATCAATTTATGATAAAGAACATGTATCTTCATTATTATTCAACAAGTTCGAACTTGATTCTTCAATCAACCAAAATCAATTGCCATCACTTTTAGAAGAAACATTCAGTTCATATATATATATATATATAAAAAAAAAAAGAAAGAAAGAAAGAAAGAAGGTGCTTTTAGAAGAAACATGTATTAAAAAAATTAGGCCTTAGGAGTTGGGAGCCTCATTAATTTAACATCATATCCGAATTAAAGTCATGGTAGAATTGCTATGTCAAGGAACAATCTAATTAACTAAAACTATTTACGTGAAATGCGAAATAAAATTAAACCGATTTGACCTATTATTTCTTTAGCATTTTTAACACTTGACAAATATATCGAATCGAGTCCTTCCCTAATAAATAAGAGAATCATTGGTCCGACATCACAACTCGAATCAACTTCATACAATTAAAATAAATTTCATAATCTAAATATTTCTAAATTTTCTAATGTAAATAAAATTAACATTATTACAAAACAACATCATAAAGTAATTAGGAAAAAGTGAACAAACAAACCAAATGGTCATTAGAAAGTGACCAAAATGTCCCCGCATAAAAAATTATCAACATGCCTTTGCATGTCAAAATTATGAAACCGCCTCTTGAAACCCTTAATGCTATTGGCGAGACAACCGACCATCGTTCAATCGTTCTTTAGGCGTGTCGACCACTTCACAAGTCGGAGGAGGTCCCGTTACATTGTTTTGTGGTGGTGGCATTCATCGTCGTTGATGGAGGAGAGAGATCAAAGTTGATAAAATTCAATCACGATTGTCCTTTTTTGTCTTCTTTTTTGGTGATGATTCGGGCCATGAATATGGATGGGAAGGACACCAAGTCTGCTCGGAGAACCACAAAGAGCATTTCTCTAGTGGTTGGGATGTCCGATTTGACCATGATCGATTGATTAGTCCGGATTCTCAAAAACAGGTCGAGATCAAAGATTGGTGTCAATTAGTCATTTTTCAATGATGTTGAGCTATAATTTTATTCGAGAAACACCTTCTAGGAGGGTGAGAAGTGTTTCTAGGATGGTTTGAGTTGTTGATTTGGCCAAAAAACGATGATATTTATAGGTTCAAAATTGGGTCGGGTCGTCAACATTATCTCCTCGATTTTAGCCTCCTTCGACATCTTCTTTCTCTTAACCGATCAAGAATGGTGGATCTAGTGGTGGGTTATCGATTGGTGGTGTGGTTGGAGGCAATTTCAATTGAATAACGATTAATTTGAGGGGGAATGCCGGCGTGTAAACGAGTCTCACTTGTAGATGGTCCAAATTGGCGGCCTCTTTTAGGGACTCGTTTGGCGAATTTTGTTTTTTTTTTTTCTTCTCTTAAGATCTCGTGATCGCAATTTTTTTTTAAAAAGATGATGAATAGTACCTTTCTACATTTTGGTTAGTTTTTTTTTTTTTTTTTTTCTCGATAGGGGTAATGGATATTTATGGTTAGATTCTTTTTTGATAGATGAATAATGAAAGTTAGGTTGTTTTAGTAAGAAGATGGGTGATGGAGGCTAGAGTTTTTTTTTTTTTTTTTTTTTGCCGGAAAGATGAGTGATGGAGGCTAGGATTTTTGGGGTATAGGAATCATTATGGAGGCCCTCCTAAAAATGAAGTGAAAGGGTGTTTATATAAAAAAAATTTTAAAAGTTTGAGATAAAATCAAAATTGGTCCTTCCTTGGTTTGTTTTCATCAATTTCAATGTATATTCTATTATTTTTCTCTAATTATCTCCATAATTAAAATGGTTTAATCTTTATTGTATTGGTTTCTTTTAATTCCACACTCGATTAATTCTCAATCAAATTTCTTGATTTTTATCCCTTTCTAAATTATATTCATAATTGAATGTCATTCGGTCCTCACTTTTCACATTATTTTCAATCAAATTCCAAAACATTCTCTCAATTTTTTATTATTTTTTTCCTTTTTTCTTTTCATTTTATTTTTTAATTAAAAATTAAAAATAATTATAAAAAATTAAAATCTTAGAAATTGATAAAAATACCTAAAAATCAAGAAAAAGACAAATTAAGTAACATTCTATTTTTTTTTTTTGAATTTTTGAATTTCTTTTTTATTTTTTGTTTGAAAATAAACAGGTTGGAAATTGAGTTATTACAATTGTGTGCTTAGGTTGGACATCAAAATTATAGTTTTTTCAATTATATAATAGCTCCCTAAGTTGATAAATGCAACCATACATTGCACACTCTTACCAACAACCACACCTAACCAATAAAAAAAAGAAAGAACGAAGAAATCACTATTTTTAGTGATTATGTAAAATTACTTTAGAATTTCATCCAATGGTTTAAGTTTTTAGATTGAGATAATTGTTTGAAAACTATTCACCCTTTTTAATGATTAACTTTTCATGTAATCAGATTTTTATTATGAACTTGATCAAATTTGATCCACAACCTTATGGTATGTACTATTAAATAGTGCAGTCACGACCACATAAGTGAACCACTTATTCAGATCATATGTGGTTCATATCCACAAAATGAAGACTCTAGATGTGTTCGGTATATTGGCATAATATCTTACTTTACTCTAGATATCAAAATTTGAAGAATTCAACTTCCAAGAATCACAATCACCAACTATGAATATAAGATAGAACTCAGAAAACTAAACTACCAATATATAAATCTATCAATCTACTTGATTATAATTTGTAGATTACTGCTTATGTAATTACAACACATAAATTATTGCCTACAAGGTATAGTCTAAAAAGTTTCAATTGTGTTAAAATTTGAAAGAGTGTTCTAAGAAATGTTTGCAAATTGAAGTTGTTTGTGTATTATCTCTTGTGTTCATTCTCCTATTGCAGTTGGTATTTATAAACCTTCCGATCCTCCATTATCCTTACAGTAGACTACATTCTTTTGCACTGTGTCTTGTACTTTTGTAATGCTCCTTATTTCCTAGCAATATCCCACTCTGTGTTGTAATGCTCCATGTCTTTCTGTTACTATATTGATCGTGTCTCAATGGCGCTAAATTCTTGCCGAACCCCTGTTAATTGCTTTGTTGACTGGTTTTCTGGTTGTTAGGATTGTTATCCTTCGTGTTTAGCAACCATTCCATCCTGTCAAGAGTCCACGCCCTAGCATTTTCTAAAAAGTGTTATTTTCGTTGTTCACTCTGCAAACCCTTTTCAATTAGTTGGGTTTTAGACTGGATGTTGGGCTTTGGGTGAACGGTTTAGGCCTGAAACCTTTCTTTTCTAATCAATCGGATTTATTAGACTGAATGTTGGGCTTTGTGTCAAAGATTTAAGCCTGGATTGGATGTTGGACCCGAATAAAATATGAGCTGGGCCACTTCTCTTTTAATTTGTTGAGTTGTCCTGGCCGACCTAAATTTGGACATAACAACACCCTAAAACAGTCTACATAAACAACCAGTTGCAAATGAAGAAGAGTCAAAATTTACAGAATAGCAGGCCGTGACATTTATTTTTTGCTGCTTGAGGTAGACCATGTATGCTTCAAAAATTCCATGCCTTTGTTTTGTTGTTACTTATCACACAAGATAAGAATCATAATTTTAGAAGGTCATTCTGCAATATTCGGATAATAATAGAGGTAATTCGGTAGGGCCATTGTTATAAATACTGACTGGAAAATCCTGTCTTGCATCAAACACATCTAGAACAGCGAGAGAATGAAGGTTTTAGCATGAAAAGTTCTGTTTTTCTCTTAGTCATTCTCGTTTCAACATACACTTTACACATTCAAGCTCAGGAATGTCATCCCAGAGGCCAAATTAAGAGAACGAATCCTCCTCCAGACCAACGCAGCCAAGAGAATGATTCTGACTGCTGCAAAAACGGTAAGCATAACACATCTTACAAATGTTCACCGCCGGTGTCCAGCAGCACAAAAGCAACCCTTACCCTGAACAGCTTTCAGAAAGGTGGGGATGGCGGTGCACCATCAGAACGTGACGATCAATACCTCTCCGATGATACACCTGTAGTGGCACTTTCAACTGGATGGTATAACTAACCATGGGAATAGATGCTTGAACTTTATAAATCTCCATGGTAATGGAAAGAGTGTTAAGGCCATGGTAGTTAATGAATGTGACTCTACAATGGGATGTCATTCCGACCATGATTTTCAACCTCCTTGTCCTAACAACATTGTCGATGCTTCAAAAGCTGTTTGGCAAGCTTTAGGAGTTCCTGAAAGCGACGGGGGTGACATGGATATTTCCTGGTCTGATGCTTGATCCACCATACCTGTGGTTTTCCCATGTGATTATTTCCTTGGCATCTGGTTGATCCATACTCTATACTCTGTAACCATTACATTATTTAATGAAACACAACCGTCAAATTATTTTTATTTTTTTTATTAAAAATAAAATATTAGATATTAAAAAATGAAAATCAATCACATAAATTCAATTAACTACCTTAATCTCAAACTAAAAAAAAAAAATCAATACCATAATTATTGGTTACCACTACCCTAGCACTCACCACCTAGAATATTCCAATTATTATTTAGTTGTCTTTATTAAGTTAAACTCCTTGAAAACAGAAACTAGGCCCAAAAGTTTGGCCTAGAATAGCTCTACAAAGAGCAGGGAAAATAATTGGGCCATACAATTAGACGAAGTTTTGGCCCATATTGGCCCAATAAGAAACAACTGGAATGATTTTTTATTTTTATTAATTTATAAAACAAATCAAATGAATTTGGTACTTTACAAGGCAGACAAAAATATTTGATCTTCGAAAGATATCATGTAGAAAATTAATAGGCCTAATAGAATGAATTGTCATTTGCCTTTAAAACGATAGGTGGAAGAATTGAGTAAGTCCCGAATCATTGAATTTTATGGGTTTTGAAGGAGGCTCGAGAGTGTGTTTTGTAGGTGAAATTTTTGCAATTGCAAAGTGTCATTTTTATCCATCACTTGGTAACAAAATAAGGATAGCAAGATGAGTATACTGATTAAAAATGGAAAACTATCTCGTAATTAAATTCTTAGGTGAAGCAGGTCTGAATATTGAGAGTTTATTAAAAACTTATAGCCCAATAGTAATGATTTCTTATAATAAGAAATTCAAATCTAAATAAATTAATTCTATTTAGAGTCTTGGATATGTGAATTAAAAAAAAAATTAAAAGTTTTAATTTTTGTCGAGATCTTTAAGATCTCTTGATAAATAAATAAAAATTTATTGGAGCTAACAATTACATGTATCGATTTTCCGATCTTCATTAATAAATGAAAACACACGTTAAAAAGGCGAATACAAATATATAATAAGAGACTCACACTATTTTGGACAATAAAATCTATCCTATACAACCTTATAAAATCATAAATTAAACATCATGAACTAAAACTATGCCTACTGGTGTGTAAACAAAACAAATTAAGGTGGCTCCATACTTTACACACCCTTTTCACAAAACCATACAACCAAACAACAATCTCCTAATGAGTCCATAAAATCACAGAGGGAAGAGTGCAAATCAAAGAGTAAAAGTGCAAGCATGAAACAGTAATAGACCTAAATTATTCTTACATTAATTGTCCTAACATTTAAAACTTTTAGATTTATACTAGAAGGCCTCAAACAGGAGTGGAGCTTTCAGTGGAATCATTTTCCGACTTTAAATACCAGCGGCCAAGACGTTCAGTTGCCATATTCACCTACAAGAAAAAGTAATTAATTAAATATATATATATATATCGCAATAATTTAATTAATTCATATCAATGTTACAGAAAAGGTTCACTTTTTATTGACAAACCTGCTCATCCCAATCAGTTCTCCAGATAACGTAGGACAGTATAAGTGTTTGCACAATAACTCCACTCAATAATCCCATCCATAAACCCTGTAAATTAATTTAAAGAGTAAACGTATAAGTCCCACATCGGCAAGAAAATGGAGTTTTTACAAATGCATGTCTTGGTTTTTATTTCTTAATAGGTTAATAGCTCAATGTGTTTTATATAATAGGAAAATTTTTCAATTTGTGTTTATACTTTTAATTAAATCAATGTTATATTTGAATATATTTTAAGTGTCTCTAATCTAATATTGTATTAAGATTTTTAAATTAAACTATCGAAAATAAAGAGACGGTAACGAAAATAAAGAGAGATTAATGCACTTAATATTTGATAGACATGATTACCTGAACATTGAGATGAACTACATATCCGAGTAGAATTCCTGCAGGTAGCCCAATTATATAATAGCTCCCAAAGTTAACAAATGCAACTATATTTTGTAGACCAGCTCCAACAGCCACACCTAGACCAATAAAAAACCAAAAACAAAGAAATCACTTTTGTTAGTGATAATATAAGAAATCATCTTTGTACTCATCCGGATCATATGTGGTTCATATCCACAAAATTAAAACTCCATAGATGTGTTGGGTAGTGTGATATTGTGTTAACGCTATGTATTCTTTTAAAAAGTGTGTGATAAATAGTTTATATGAATCAACAATAGATAAATAATATATAAAGAATGAATCATTCGTAATAAAATTTATGTTGTTTGAATAAAATTTAATTCTAACTATTTTATTTAATATGGCAGTGAAAATCCAACAATTCAGTAAATATTTTGGCGTTTAAACAATTTAACATATCTCAAAAAAATTAATAAACCGTAGGTGAAGAGAATGTTTGAAAACTTATATTTTATATTGAATAAATAAATAATAAATAAGTAATATATAAATATGAGAATGTACTTAAATTCACTAACACATACCGTCTAGATCGACGACTGTAGTCACTTAACCTCCATTAAACCTCTTTTGTACGGCCATGTCTAAACTACCATGTTAGTTTATCATAGAATAAAATTAGAAGGAAATACTTGCCTGTGAGTACTGGTTGAACACTGTTCAGTAAGATGGAGAAAGCAAGCAATACAGCAAGGCTCGCCATAGTTTCTGCAACTTCCTCATCACTTGTAACAAAGTGAGAAATGTCTTTACCAAAGATTAAACACAGAAGCCAAAACCAAACGCCAATAATTATGGATGTACTGATGATAATCTTGATAGAAAATTTCGCAGCTTCAGCATTTCTCCTTCCCAACTCATTTGCTACCCTCACGCTGTAAAAAATCATCACACAGAATTAGTCAATTGGATTTATAATTGGCTCGATAAATTGAGTGATAGAGGGGGAAAAAAGAAGAGTGGAAATCATATGTGAGTTTAAGTATACCATGCAGCACCTAGAAAGCCAACGCTAAGCATGAATTCCCATGAAAGGATGTTGTGGCTGAAACAAGAAATTAGCATTAAACCATCTTCTTTTAAACAAAAAGTTGATTTTAATTTGAACATACAAGCTGGTTAAACTAGCACACTCCAATGTTTGTAAAAAAAATCTTACCAAAGTGAGAAAGCAGCTATTGCAGTTGTTGCATTCTTCATATATCCAGCTGCTAAGATTATAATTGAATTGTACCATATTTCTAAGCTGTCGAGGATTGAATATAAACATAATTAGAACAAAGCAAGATCTAGCTAGCTAATTATCACATTGCAGGGATTTCGTGTGCTAATAAAAATAGAATAAGCTAAAAGGAAGTTTCATATATTTAGCATGAAGAAATTAAAAAGGATAAATTACATTAACTTTACGAGATATCATAAAATTACAAAGACGGTTCAAAATTTAATGATATTATAGAACTTAAAACTGTTTAACAAAAACATTGTAAATGTATTTTGGATCCAAAAATGGGGGGATTCTGATAATATTTTCTTAAACATGGAGAGAGTCAGTTTCTAATTTTTGAATTTTTGCGTGTATGATAATTTTATAATATTTCAAGAGATTATTTTAAATTGCCCTAAATTAAGAGAAATAAATTTAGGCTATTAAAGAAATTTAGAAATCACCAAATCATGAAACCGGAAGATATGGACAGCTTTACTACAGGCAGGATATCTACAAAGGCAGCTTTAGTAAATCCCTTCCATGTATTTGGACACCAACCTCCACAGATGTACACCAACAATCCAATGACCAGAGACCAAGTAGATATGGTCAGTGCACCCATCGCACCAGCAATCCCTAACTCAAGTTTGCTCACAAATATCCAGGACAAAAGCACATGAAGAACAAAGGAAACAGCAGAAAACCATGCAACAACTTTGTTTTTTAATTGAGCTTGTAAGTACATTTGAATTGTCAAGCTAAACACAAGATAATAGACGTAGGGAATGAACCACAGAGAAATGTTTCCTGAAGCTATTGCAACATCATCCTCTTGGCCAAGCAGTCTGAAAATGGGAGTTGCGAAAATGACAAGAGGGAGCAAGATTGTAGCAGCTACACCATCCACGATCCACGATCGTTGCAAGTAAATCCCCATCATGTGGTAGTGTCCAGCTCCAAATGCTTGTCCGCACAAAGTTTCGGTTGCACTAGACATGCCAATCTTTGAAAAGAAAAGATGAAGATTCCAATAAAAACCTCTTTTACATTAATGATTTTATGATACACATGCATATGATAAACTGTTCTCAAAACTTCACCTACAATGGCAGACCATTTAAAATTGTCATTTAGAATTATCAATTAGGATTGAAGTTTTTTTTTTTTTAGAGTTATCAATTAGGCTTCAGAATATTATTATAAACTTAAAAATTTTGGAAAGACTAGTAATAAACTTTAAGGGACAAATATGAAATTGAGCCTAAAATTTAGGGACTATAGTAAATTTTTAAAAATTTTGAGGGATCACGGCTTTCCTTTATGTTCACCCAATGGCATAAGCTTTCAGTTTGAATCAATTTTGACATTGTCTTATAACTTAAACTTATTGAATATTAAATTTGAAATGGATTTAGTAAAAAAAAGCAATATAAGACTGATAATTTTGAAAAGGTTACACTAAAATAACGGCAAAACTCAAGAATATTAGTACAGTTGATTAATTGATTCTTTTTACAAAAGTATGATTGAGAATATTTGAAGGACAGAGACAAGTGGATAGATGCAAAATGTGCTAGAAAATCAACACCGCATTGCATGCACCAGCCACCTCGTCTTCAACATGTCATGCAGCTTTGTTTTCACATGACAAAGTTGTCAAAATTGCCAAAGCCACCGTTGCAGCTTTGGACTTAAGGGAGACGTGAATTAATCCACCAGTTTCCTACTTGCCGAAACATGCATGAATTAATTCATCATTTTTAGCTTTGTTTTTTATGTTAACTAACTGGTTTAAATACATACACGAGCAGATCTAATCTAACGATTGTGTATCTAAATATTGTTTTAATTAGTAAAGCAAATTCAAATCCTAATAACTCCAAATTTCTTTCTTCTTCTTTTTTTTTTTTTTTTATAATTATGTAATGATAAAAAAAAAAAGCTATCTCTTTGTATGGCCTAAAAACCCATAAACTCTAGATGAATTAAAGAAAAAAAAGAAAAGTTAAATAGGTAATATTTTCTAATTTCCATTTGTAGGCATCCAACGTCAAATTCTACTGTAGAAACAGAGCCAAAACGAGAGAGTTATTCCTCTAAGGTCTTGGATGTCTTGTATTTTTTAGTGTGTTTTTCAAATATTTATAGCAAGCGTTGTTTGAGTTTAGTGTAATTGTACTATTAGTTTGTAATAATTAGTGTTATAATAACATTATGTATTTAGTTAATTCCATCAAATTGTACCATTCCAAATTATCATATCAAAGAGTCGCTAAAGCCAACAAATCAAATGTATGCAAATATATAATAAAGTCAGAAAAAAGAAACAATGAAAACCAGAAAGGAGATGTGTATATATTCCTTCTCAATATTCCTTTTGAAGGGCAGAGAATAGTGGAGATTAAAGTAAAGTAAAATGTGAATATAAAATTTAGTTATTCCTGACAATTCGATATCTAAAAATGGATTGCATGCAGAAAGAACCTACCAATATGCCATTTATAAATCGCACTATGAAACTTTGCAGGAGTGCGTATGCAGCAAGCTCTAACTTGCCAATGTGTCCTAGAAATGCTTGGGTCACAACCACCATTCCAAACGAAGTTACTCTTGCCACCATTGCAGGAAATGCAATCTCCCATACCATCTTAGACTCCATCCAAATTCTTCCCTTCAGATCAACATTGCTCGATTCTTCCGGTACAAGAAGAACCTCTTGCAATGAGTTATCCATAATACTGTGAAAAGAGAGATAATTGCCAATAATATCAAATGCTTATGGTACTTAATTATTTCAATAATGAGGGAGAGCATGAACTAGTATTTGATTTACAATTATATGAGAGAGAGGGAGGCCCTAGGCAGTAGAAAAGACAAAAAAATTCCTGTTGTCCTCAGGGCAGGAAAATATATAAAATTATCCTTTCAATATTATAACTTTTATTATGTCAGTATATATAGTTACGTTGTGAAAATAGAAAGATTATATATTAAACCTTAATCAGTTGCATGCAGTGTTTTATACCAATTGGATCCTTCTTGTTAATTTCTGAGCAAAGTTTTCCTTTTTATAATATGAGCATAGCTTCTTAGACTGATTCAAATTTGAAAGAGAAAGGAAGTAAGAACAGCAAATTAAGAAACAAATAAAGGGGGAAGAAAAGAAACTTTAGCTTACCTTTCTTTTTTTCTGCCTTGTAATTAGGCCGGCCTTTCTTCAGAGAGGACTAGGGAAAAAGAGAGAGGATGGTCTTGGGAGAGAGAGAGAGAGATAGAGAGAGTGGGGGAGAGAGAGAGAGAGAGAGAGAGAGAGGATGGTTGTGATTGTGTTCTGTACTAACCCTAGAAGGTTTTATTAGTTTTCTACGGCTTTATCTTTCCATTTAAGCAATGAATAAATATCGGTCACTGGAAACAGTAAAAGGTTTCCTCTGCTAAGGACTATAGTTCCCCTCATATCTATTTCACCCAAATTAACTGCCAGAGGAAATGCGATGGTTGGCTGGTTTGATACTCTGAACCAGGGTTAGGATCTTCTCATGTTAGTGACAATAATATGACTGCTGATCATATAATTAACTTGATCTGCATCTTTGATTTTATTATCTAATCACTGAGAAATTGTGATGATCAGGCTGAGTTTCTAACCGAGAAGGCAAAAATACAGTTCACGTGAGACCAAAGAATGCAAACTCCCTCCAAAAAAAGAACAACACTTGCACCTTCCTTGCACTTGCATGATTAGGCTGTTTCTGTCCTTAATTTCTAGTTAAATGGACTCGTAAGAATTTATATACTTTCCACTTAGAAGCATCGTGATTTGATAATTACTTGAATCAATCTTTTCTGATCCTGAAAATTAATTCCTTTGCCTTGAATGGCCTTTTACCCTACATCTGGGGTCATGTACTAAAAGGTTAATTGGATCTACTAGAATTGAAGCTTCTTATTAAATAGCCATTGACCCTCTTCTAAGTTCTAACCACTAATTACTGTGTTGAATGTTAAGTATAAAGATTAAATAACTATATTTGCATGGGTCCAAGTCCAACACTCCTAGAAAGTGATGAATCAAAGAGTTGCTTTTTTTTTTTTAATTATATATATATATTGCATAGAATTCTACGTATAAATACAACATGATATGACTTTAAAGAGTATGCATTCCTAAGAATATATATATCGAGTTTATCCGGACAATTGGGCTAGTGTGTGATTCAACCCCAACACAAATAAAAAAGATTGTTGTTTCAAAACTGGCTTATGGGTTACTGTAGTGAAAATATGTCCATCTAATATTGTCAGTGCACTAGGATTTGAGGTATTGAATTGATCGCCTTCCATAAGAAAATTATGCAATTCTTCTAATATAAAGTTGAGAGAAATAAATATAGTATTTGGTTTACTTTAGAACACACTTCAACGTTTTTCTCAGATACTCAAATTCTAAAACTTCACATATCACTACAAGAATTCAAATAGAATAATGATTTTATATCTTTTTATTTGAAAAGAGCAAAGCAAATTAATGATAAATTAATTGCAGCAACTAGATATTTATGTGCTAATTATATAACTAATTCCAATAATTTAAGCTCAAAATTTTGCTAAAATGATAAATTAAACACTTAATGTTTATTAAAGAATAAGTTTGATTTAGTTAGGGATATAAATTAGACACTCAATAAATATTTAAAAATAAAATTAATTCAATTAAAAAAATTATTTTATTATATAAAAATAAATTAAACCATTACTCTCAATTATATTACACTACTCCTTGTATTGAAAAAAGAGGAGTTAAAAACACATGCCTTCTTGAGCTCTCTCTTTCCACATTAATTAATGGTGTGGATCCAGGAATTTTTTGGGTAGATGTGTATGATCTATTTATTGCATGAAACATGCATGAACACACGCAACAACAACATTAATGGTTATTTCAATTCGATTCTTTGACAAGACAAATTTATTCATTAAATTTTGGGTAGGTCTATTTCCAAATACATAATTGAACATTTTTCTCGCCGGTCACCATCATAAAATTAAAGACACGCAATTAATAAAAGATTAAGAAAACTTTATAGAATAATCAATAATCTATATTGTTATCCATATTGGTTTGTTTATATATATATATATATAATGTTTTGCAAAAAGTTATTTGGGTGTTTTTTAATAATAAATCCTCAATTGAAAGTTTTTGGTCCTCATAAGTTTTTACTAAAACATTTTAGTTTCTATGTTTTTTTTAAAAAAATTACATCCCTATCTATAATTGTAACAAGTACTTAAATGATAATAGCATAGTATAAAATTATTACTATAAACTAAAACATGTAAGGGGTTTGAACAGTAAAAATCATTGTTCATCCCTCATAAATCACTATTCATTCATGTAGTAATGTTTTTTTCTTTTGCTTTTTTCCATCAATCTAAGCTCTTTTTTATTTAATTTTTTTAAAAAAAATTAGATTGTTTCATTATGGTCTCTAAATTTTTAAAATAAAAATTTTAATTCACTACCTAATGCACTACACATGTCTTTTTTTTTCCTTTTCTTTATTACATCAATTTATATTCTTTTTTTTATTTGTTAATTTTTGTAAAAGTCTGTCTATTAATTATAATTTTATTTTTTAGAATACAATATTATAAAAATTATATTTTTAATTTTTTAATTCTTGATTAATATTTTCTGTAGCAAACTTTGTTTTTTAAGTTGTTTTACTATACATGTTTTTTTTTCTTTGCTTTTTTCCCCATCAATCTAGGTTCTTTTTTTATTTTTTATTTTTGGTCTCCAAAATTTTAAAATAAAAATTTTAATCCCCTAGCCGATGCACTATATATGTCTTTTTTTTTCCTTTGCTTTTTTCCATCAATTTTTTTTTCACTTGTTAATTTTTGTAAAAGCATGTCCATTAATTATAACTTTATTTTTTGGAATATAATATTATGAAAATTATATTTTAAAAGTTTTTTAATTCTTGATTAATATTTTAGTTAAAATTATTATATTTTTTTATTTTAAAATCAATCCATAAAAAAGAATGATTTATTTTTTTAAACAGAAAATTTATAATAAAAAAAACATTAAAAAAATTAATTTCAAGTTGTTTCACTATACATACTTTTTCTTTTTCTTTTTTTCCTTTTCTTTTTTCCATCAATTGAGGTTCTTATTTATTTATTTTTTTAATTTTTAAGTTTTTTTATTTGAATCTCTAAATTTTAAAATAAAAATTTTAATTTCCTAGCTAATGCATTACACATGCCTTTTTTTTCCTTTGATTTTTTCTTTTGCTTTTTTCCATCAATTTATGTTCTTTTTTTTTCATTTGTTAATTTTTATGAAAGTCTATCCATTAATTATAACTTTAGTTTTAGGAATACAATATTATGAAAATTATATTTTAAAAGTTTTTTTTAACTCTTGATTAATATTTTTGTTAAAATTATTACATTTTTTGTTTTAAAATCAATCCATAAAAAGAATAATTTATGTTTTTTAAACAAAAAAATTATCAAAAAAACATTAAATAAAAAAATTATAATTAAAAAATTTTAAATTTTTAAAATTATTTTTTTTTATCGGACTGCTGAGTGTAACACGACCAACCTACTAGTGGATATCTATACTTGCTAATTAATATGATAGATATGCATTTTTCTAACCTATATTTGCCGCATTATTCATTGAGTATATGCCGAATGGATATTTATTGGACCTAATATGTAATAAATATCTACTTCATATCAAGATTAATTATACCAATCCAAACTATTTTATACGATTGAATTTTCATTAGAAATGAAAATAAAATGATAGGACTCAAGCTCACGATACCAACATGGTTAAAAATAATGAAACTATGTTAAAATAATAGAATATTGAGGCCAAAATGAATGAGCTTTTGGAGGGGGCTTTGAAATGGTTTATCATAATCTATAACACACATAAAATTCTATCACATCAAACTATGTTAAACTTTCTTTTGACCTTCACGTATCATTCACGAATTATGTTGCACCAGGACTAAGTTAAACCATAAGGATTACGTTATAATTTACTCATTATTAAACACCTGACGCTAAAACGCCAGCTTGTAGGAAGAAAATAGCACTATGAAAAAGCTACACCAAAAATAAATCAACTAAACCTAGACTAAGATAATGTCCCTAATACAAAAGAAGATATACAAACAGAACAGATAAGCAAATCCACAATTAGCAAATGCTGCATCATCACAATCTGTAGAACCCACAAACTGGAGCAGAACAAGAATGTTCTCGGATCCCAAAACAACCGATCATGGAAGCCAACGAATAGAATCTGGGAATAGAATTCTGCAGCTACCTAGCAGTTGAAGAGATAAACATGAAGCAGAACTCCACACGTCATTTTCAGTAGAACCTGGAAACTACAATGCCAGAAAAATAACCAGATTGCAATCAAGTGTAAGAACAATATGGAAGCAGCTAGCAGAAGTATTAGTTTTAGACAGTAGCAGCTTAACATAAACCAACTATGCAGAAATCACTAATTTGCAGGACATCCCAGAAGAAAAAACTATCAGTGCTTGCACTTTTCTTTCCAGCATACAAAGATGGTTCATTTGTCTCAAGCAAGAGTGCTGGAGCTGTCTGTGGAATCCCTTTCGGGATTCAAAAACCAACGCCGGAGACGTTCAGATGCTCTATTCACCTACAAGAAAGGTGCTCAATTGTAACAGTGTTGGGACTACAATATATAAGTATAGTTGACAGTATATTTCATGCTTCAAATTCTAGTCGCAAAAGAATCAGTTTCTTTTCACACAAACCTGCTCATCCCAATCTGTTCTCCAGATAATGTAGGAGAGTACAAGTGTTTGCACTATAACTCCACTCAGCAGTCCTATCCATAAACCCTGCAATTTAGGAGTAAAATCACAAGTCATTATATGTTGGACTGAAGTCCCACATCAGGTAAGAAAATGGAGCTTTTACAGCTTTTACACGGCACTTCCTTGCTTCTGATAGCATGCTCGGTCAAAGAATTCTGTATTTCAACCAAATGTTGGTCAATGCAACCTTCATTCAATCAGTTGAATCCAATTTTAGAATACAGTCGAAAGATTAAGAATTTGCCTAAAACGTTTCACAATATGGTGGCAAACTGATGCATCCAAGGTAAAAAAATCATCTCAACGTATCCAAAAGCTTAAGTTGATGGATGAGATTGCAGAAATGGAAGAGCAACGTAAACAATAATTTACTTAACCAAATTGAGTGGACTTAATTACCTGAACATTGAGATTAGTCAGAAATCCGAGTAGAAATCCTACAGGCAGCCCAATTATATAATAGCTTCCGAAGTTAACAAATGCAACCGTACTTTGTAAACCAGCTCCAGTAGCCACACCTAGGTAAAGAGAGAAAAAAAATGTGTCAGGTCATGTACGATCCAGATGAGTGCAAGTTTTAATTGATCAGCTCGACTTAGCATCCATCAAACTCATATGTTACTCCCATTTCTTTCCAAAATCTTAAGCTAGGAGAATGAAAGTTGTGAGATTTAAACCGTAACTGTTTGATCATCAAAACTCTGATTAAAAACTTAAAGTTTTGAATGAAATTTTAAGATATAATTTATATTATTCTTAACATGATGCAACATGTTATCATAGAATAAAATTAGAGCCAAATACTTGCCTGAGAGTACTGGTTGAACACTATTCATTAAGATTGAGAAAGCAAGTAACACGTTGAGGCTTGAAACATATTCTGCAACTTCTTCATCATTTGTAAAAAAATGTGCAATTTCTTTACCAAAGATTAAACACAGAATCCAAAACACAACTCCGATTGTTGACGATGTACTGAGGATGATCTTGATTGAAAATTTTGCAGCTTTAGCATTTCCCTTTCCCAACTCATTTGCTACCCTCACACTGCACAAAATTGTTAACGAAAATTAGTTTTATGAATAATATTAATGGTTCCATTTATAGACATAAAATTTAGAGGAAATATACCATGCAGTGCCTAGAAAGCCAAGAAAAAGCATTAACTCCCATGCACTGATGTTTTGGCTGAAAAAAGAGATTAGATCTTCTTTTAATAATTGATTTTTGAACACCACAAAATATACCAAAAGCCTCCAATTTTGCATAAGGAATGTTACCATATTGAGAAAGCAGATACTGCAGTTGTTGCATTCTTCAAATATCCAGCTGCTAAGACTATAATTGAATTGTACCATAATTCTAAGCTGTCAATGATTAAATCGACATAATTAATACAAGGCAAGCTTTTATTACCAGTAATAAATGTAGCACTTAAGAATGTACGTACTTAATAATTAATAGGAAAATACTTAATGACACCATGACGACGGACATTATTTTTAAAAATAAAAAGAGTTTAGAGATAAATTTAAAAACTGAAAATGTTAAATGATATAATACTTATTGAAATAAAATATCATTTCTTGTATTCATCCAAGAAAACACTACCCTTATAAAATTATGATGACTTTTTTTTTTTTTTACACCACCGATGTCATGTAGCACTACTAATTAATATTATAAGCATGATAGCAAAAAAAAAGTTCTTGATTAATTATATTCAAACTTGTGATTTATTGCCACTGAACTTGTATCTCAATTTGCTCTTATATATATATATATATATATATATATATCCCATTCTCCAAGTAATTCGTAATTTTATGTTCCAACCTCTCTTTTATAGTAAAATTTTTTTTTAAAAAAAATCATGATGCGTTTATTCTAAGTGTTTAAAATGATTATTAAGCTTTTTAGAAAAATTTTCAAATTACAAAAGATAATATAAAATTATTATTAAAAATTCGTTCGAGAAAAATTTATGAAATGAGATTATCTTTTATATAGTATAAAAATTAAGTAACAACAAGTGTGAGATATCATTTTGAATATTAATGTTAGATGCTATTAAACTTTACCTCTCTCTTCACCTATTAAGTTTTAAATTGATTATTTTTTATTAAATTATATGACGTTAGTACACGGAGAATTATTTGATACTATTTTTTTAAATCGAGATGAATTTTTGAAAATATGTTTTTTTAACAGATAAATATGTTTTCTAACACATATGTATCACATAATGAAAACAAAAGGATAAATTAAGAGAACTTCGGAATTACCAAATCATCAAACCGGAGGATATGGAGAGCTTGACTATAGGCAGAACATCAGCAAAGGCAGCTTTATTAAATCCCGTCCATGTATCTGGACACCAACCTACCAAGATGTACCCTACCTGTCCAATAACCTTTGACCAAGAAGATATGGTCAGTGCAAACATGGCACCAGCAGTACCCCACTCAAGTTTCTTCACAACTATCCAGGTCAAAAGGATATGAAGAACAAAGGAAAAGGAAGCAAACCAACTAACAACTTTGTTCTTCAGCTGTGCTTGTAAGTACATTTGAGTGGTCAAGCTAAAAACAAGACTATAAACGAAAGGAATGAACCATAGGGACATGTTTCCAGCTGCTATTGCAATATCCTCCTCTTGGCCAAGTATTCTGAAAATTGGAGCTGCAAAAATGACCAATGGAAGCAAGATTGTTCCAGCTACACTATCAACAATCCATGATCGTTGCAAGTAAATACCCAGCATGTGATAGTGTCCAGCTCCAAACGCTTGTCCACACAGAGTTTCGGTCGCGCTGGACATGCCAATCTTTGACCAAAAAAATTTAAGTCTTTAATTATCGATTGTTGTATAAGTGTGTATGTGTGCGTGTACGCGTGCATGTTATTTAATAATAATAAAAGGTATTCGAAATTTACTATATTTAATTACTATAAGATATAGAGCAATAAAAGGGCATACCAAAATGCCATTGATAAATCGTAGTATGAAACTTTGTAGGAGTGCAAATGCAGCAAGCTCTAATTTCCCAATGTGTCCAAGAAAAGATTGTGTCACCACTATCATACCAAATGAAGATACTCTAGCCAGTATTCCAGGAAATGCAATCCCCCATATCTTCTTAGATTCCGTCCAAATTCTCCTCTTCAGACCGGCATTTCTTGATTCTTCCGGTACAAGAAGCTTCTCTTGGATTGAATTATCCATAGCTGTGGAAAAAGAGCAATCAACTTTTAGCTTGAAGTTCCTGTTGAACACAAACACATAAATATCTGTTTACAGATCATGACAAAAACAGGAAAAGCTAATTGAATGGAACAAACTTCAACAAAGAAGAAAAAACAAATTTATTAATTAATCTATAATATATAATATCTAATTGTGAGCTTAATAATTCAAGAGAAACATGACAATAAAATTTACAAAAAGAGAGAGACTTAAATATTAGTAACGTTTACTGATCACATAGGTACGGTTTTCAAGTAACACAAATGAAAAAGCAAAACAAAAACAAGAATTTCCTGCTGCTTAAACAACAAGAAAATAATGAAGGAAGACAGGATTAAAGCATACCTTGCTTTTCCTGGCTAGATAAACAGTAAGAACAGGAAAATAACAAATAGCCAGGAAGAAAGGAAACTTAACCATACCTTGGTTTTCCTGGCTAGACAGACTGGCTGATCTTCAGACACAGAGAGTTGATTTGAGGAAGAAGGTCTGGAAGCTACATCCAATGCCGATACAGCTCATTAACTAGCCATCGGCCATTAAATGTCAAGGTCCAGTAAAGGCAACAAATCAATATCGCTCCTAGGCCTGGTGCTTTGGTGATGTATTTTACACGGTTCAATCAAGGTTCAAACCTACCAATCAACCACAACAACTTCGTCTCGAGCTGGTTGCCGTATGTGTGTGTTTGTTTGTGCACTTTATTGAAATCACATCAGAATGATTACTTGACCTCTATATATATATATATATATATAAAAGTTTGAACTAATTTTTTATTTTTGTTCAAAATAAATTTTAATTAGAAATATTTAAAAAAAAGTTAAATCACTTAAAGTTTGAACTAAACAAATACTTTATGATATATATAAATAAAAAACAAACAGTTTTAAAAATGAAATAATTAGAATAAATAATATTTTTGTCAAGAACGAAATAATTAGATTAAATAATTTATAATTTACTTATACACATCCAAAGAAATAAGTCAAATCCTAGGAGTTGACACCGTGCTGCCCTCTGCTGCTGTAGCCGGAAAATACATTAAATGCCTTAATTTTTCTGACACCGATCACGCAGAGCAGCAATGATTCCAGCCTGCCCAGGTTTGCTTAAAGGCTAGCTATAAAGACTCCATCAAGATATTAATTTATCACATACGTTATCGTATTTGCTCACTCTAGGTTTTGTTTGAAACAATAGAAAGAGGTTTGCAATTTACTTTAAAAAAAAAAAAAAAAAGAGAGAGAGAGAAAGTTATTAATGTAGATATTTTGAAAACATTTATGAGTAAAAAAATATTTTTTAGAATAAAATAATATTATAAGTGTAAAAGTAAAAAATTTAATACTTATAATAGTAAACAAATTAAATAATTATTTTTTAAAATATTAAATATTAATTAATTCGTTTCTTCAAATTAGAGGGAGTAATATATAATTTAATTTTTTTAAAAAAAATCAGACACTGATATATATATATATATATATATATATATATATATATATATATAAGATTTTCATAATTTTTTTTTTATTTGGAACTTACAAGTTAAAGTCCATCTAGGCCATGGTTAAAAGTAGAGCCCCATGACTTAAAGAAGTTTGATTTGAACAAAATAGATTCAATTTTTTTTATATGTAAAAATTTCTTTATATAGCTTTTTATGTTTTGTGAAAATTAATCCGAATTTTTGAATTTGAGATATGTTAAAGATATTAGAAACAAAAGTCATATGCCACATGGCTTGTGGTCTCATTGGTAGAGAATTTTTTAATTTCAATCCTTACATAAAAACAGTGAAAGCCCAAATACATGTAATTTAAATTTATTTATTTAAAAAAAAATTCTAGTCAATTTTTTTATAATATGGATTTGTCTTTATCTTTTTCTTGTTCTATATAAAAAATTATAAAATAATACAAAATGAAAAAAAAATAACTCAATAATTAGTTTTTAAAATAGAGAAGAATAACCAATTCATTTTTTCGAGATTAGAAGAATTAATTTATAATATACTCACAAAAGAACTAACTTTTTTATCTTTTAGTGCAGAAGGGATCAGATAATCGAAATACTAGCAATTTTGAAACTCAGAGCTACGAGAAAAAAAAAAAAAAAAAGGAGAGGCCCATTGGATCATGCTTAGGCCTTTTTCATAGAACGAAATGGAGAAGGCCCCCTGGAATCATTCTTAGGCCTTTTCCATAGAACGAAACGTAGAAGGCCCATTTGAATCTTGCTTAGGCCCTTTTCACAGAACGAAATGGAGAAGGCCCATTTGTATCATGGTTAGGCTCTCTTTTTTCTCGAAGGAAACAGCCGGCTGATATTAGTACAAGACTAATGGCATGAAATTACCGAATACACCTCTACTATTCGAATTTGATCAAATTGATCCTCTATAATTAATTGGACTAAATCAACCCCTATATTTTTGGCTTTGGTCAACACATATCTTTTTGTTCATCAGTTCTATTAGTTTGATCAATTTTCATCGGTTGATTAAATTGATCGCCTTGATCCCAAAAAAAAAAAAAAAAAAGTTCATAGAATGGTAAAATTGCATTTTTTGAATAAAAAATAAAAAATAAAAAAATATATTAAAGGGAACTTAATGTTAGTATTAAAAACATAGGATTTAGTTAAGAAAAATAAAGCACAAAAAAATTATGAACTTATCCAAAAATATTATTAAAATTTTATATTCTCTTTCCTTGAGAGAGAGAGAGAGAGAGAGAGTAGTAAAATTTAAATTTATTAAGCACCACCTGGTAGGCAATAGCTTTTAGACTAGTAATTGGTCCCCCAATCCCTTGTTAGTGCTCACATCCATCATCCACTGTTGTGTAAGAAGTGTCACTGTATGGATGCTCATCGTTTTTTTTTTTTTTTTAATTATAAATTTGTTCAATTAAACATTTTAAAAGACTACAATATTGTTATGATTCTATAATTTTTTTAATTTTTATCCATATTATAGGCTTTCGATGTTATTGTTTAATTATGCTAATTTATAATCTATTACTCTGTTATTGTTATTCAGATTACATATTAAATTAAAGAATTTGACTTCTATCTTAATTCATATTTTATTTCAAGTTAGTTGTCTTCTAGTCCTACAATCCACTTGAATAGTCAAAGTTTCTGCTCATTAAATTTATAAAGCTATTGCAACTCTTTTTATTTATTTGATTTAAACTTTTTTTTTTTTTTTTGTAACTCTAAAATCTAAAATTTATAAAGCTATTACAGATTGTCTCCACAAGTCAATTTAATTCATCTACTCACAAGATTGAAGGATCGACTACCCTACCAAGTGTTTTTTAATTATTTTTTTATTTTAAAACCCTTTTAATTAAAACCAGCAAAAAAAAAAAAAAAAAACTTCTCGAGGCTACGGCTTGGGTACAAGGATCAAAGTATATTAGTGGCCTTCGAACATCCACGGGTGAAAAGTCTTCTTGATTAGTAATGCTTGAAAATGTGAGTGGCCTTAGACTGTCGACGGGAAGAAGATCACTTCCATCACGTACAACACACGTCATCAATTTGGTAGGTTGTATTGATGGCCTTAAATTGTCTGACAGTAAGGTCATTTTCAATGACGCAGAACCCCAGTGACTCAAGCCTGATCATGGTGCGTATTTGTAGAACCCATTATTTCTTTGGAAGGTAATTCCATCGGTGGATAGATTTATCGCTTGGAATTAGCTTCCTGAGGCAAGTGAAAAACAGATTGGTGTTTTGTTTCTCAGCAATGGAAGCAAAGAAGTGGGCTTTTGCAGTCAGCAGTATCGTCATTACAGCAGTTTTATCTCTGTTGCTGCTTCGCATCCTGGAAGCCCCTGGAGGCCAACATGCAGTTTTCGGGTACGTTAATTTGATTTGTGTTTCAGTTCCTGTATATAGTTTCTACAATGATAATGATATTCTCAAACAAAGAACTTATAACTCAGTGTAATGATATTTAAGATATTACGAATTCAAATCATCGTGATTCTGTTAGGAGCCTTAGCTTCGTGCGTGAGTTAAAAAAAAAAAAAAAAAAAAAAAAAAAAAAAAAATTATATATATATATATATATGGAGTTTTTATAATCACTTAGAATTTCAATCTCTTGGTTTCATGGTTTTGTAAATCTTAAGACTATATTAGTGTTTTTATCATTATGCCTGCAGATATAATAAATAAAATTTTAACATTCAAAACTTATTCCAATATAACAAAAATAATTTCTATAAATAATAATAATAGTAATTTTTTAAAATATAAATCTTATATACATGTGTCATTTTACTAATTTTTTTATAGAGACATAATATAATCGTTTTAGGATATATGAATAAATTGAAAACTTGGTTAATTAGATAAGGATATGTGAAGCTATTAACTTAAAAAAAAAAAAAAAAAAAAGGAAAAGGTCACTTGGAATATAGAGTACTATTTCTAGAAGGGGAATAAATATAAATAAAGAGATGCGTATGTGTAGGTAGGTATATTTTTGAGTGATTTTATTTATTTATTTATTTATTTATCGATGTGTTAAAATCCTTGTTTTAATTGGACTCTACCATTTCTGCAATTTCCTTCACTATTTATTCAGAGTGTTTGTAGCCACAATTAATGGCAATATAATTACTTTTCCTAATTGAAATTTAGTAAATAAGTAATTTTTTTCACATATTATTAAAAGAACAATATGTGACCTGGAAACCGAAAACAATGATTAATCCATATTGGTATTAATCCTAATCCTTTTAGGAGAGTTAAAGATAGAAATCCATAAGAGACAGTTTTTTATTTTCCTAATTTAAAAAAAAAAAAAAACTATATAGTATATTTAATATTTATTAATCATAACCTTTTAGAAGAGTTGAACAAAGGAATCTATGAGAGACTCGGACTTTTATATATAAACTAACAAAGGAATCCATAGGAGAATCGGATTCTTTTCTATGGCAAAAACTAAAAACTGAAAAAGGAATTCATAGAAGACTCGGATATTTTTATAAAAAAATAAAAATAAAAAAATTATAATCAATCCTTTTTTTCTTTTTTACATTACCAATGAAATCAAATTCAATGAAGGGTGTAATAGGAATTCAACTAAATACAAGTTTTTTCGGTTCTCACAAAAATTTTAACCTGTTATGCTATATATATATTAAATAATTTTATTGATATTAATGATAGTACGTTATTATTATTATAATTTCCATAAAATTCAAATAAATATAATAAATATGAAAATTGAATCTCATTAAATGAAAATAGACTCAATAACTAAAACAATAATTATTGAAACTTCTAATAGCTAGTATGAAAGTTATAATTGCCTTAATAAAATTGTTTGAAGAAAACTATAATACAAGCTAACAAAATTGAAACCATGAAGCCAACCACATCAAAATTTAATAAAAAAAAAAAAAATTATTCATTATAAAAAATTATCACAATATTTGTTATAGCAACATGAGTAAAATATTCAACAAGCCTAGCTAGGAATAAGAAAGTTAGACAGCTTTGGCGATCTAGCAGAACCACCACTTGATATTTGTTATTGCCCTTCAAATGCACAGCGAAAGAGATGAGAAATAAGAACAAAGAAGGAACACCACTTGATATGAGGTAAGGTTTAAAATAATTTTATGTTGTTTAACTCTCTAGCAGTGATGGTATTAAAAAAAATGAAAAGAAAAATTGATGATAATGATTTAAGTAGTGAAAAATACTACTCAATTGACCAAGATCAATCTCCAGCTGATTCAGTAACTTCTACTATAATCTCCAGCTAATAAGTTTCCAATGTTTCAGGGATTTGAACATAATCCCAGCAATTTTACAAGGCAGCTGGTCTCCTGGTAAAACAATAGGAAAAGATTCTGTTATTGCTCCAAACTTAACAACATGCCATGAATCTTCTGAGTTGGATATTCATGTTTACTGCTGCCCGCCGAAGAATGGATCAGATTTGACCGTTTTTGATTTCCGATTTCCTGATCCTTCCAATCCTCTGCGAGTACGCAGACCAACTCATCTTCTTGATGACAACTATATTGCCAAGTACAATGAGGCCTTAACCATCATGAAATCTTTGCCATACAGTGATCCAAGGAGTTTTTCTCGCCAAGCCGATTTGCATTGTTTGTACTGTACTGGGGCATATTACCAGCAAAATTCAAGAACTCCACTCAATATCCATAGATCATGGTTGTTCTTTCCTTGGCATCGAATGATGCTCCACTTTCACGAGCGTATCCTTGGAAGTTTGATTGGAGATGATACGTTTGCTCTGCCTTTCTGGCCTTGGGATATTCCCGAGGGAATGCTGATGCCTGAGATGTATCTGAATTCATCATTTTTTGATAAAGAACGTGACATTTCTCACTTTCCACCAACTGTTGTTGATTTAGATTATCGTTGCAGTTTTTCGGAGTCCACTTGTCCGGAAAGGGGATTAACACCAGATGAACAAGTTAATGCCAACCTAGCATTTATGTACAACCAAATGGTATCGGGAGCAAAGAAGACAGAACTCTTCATGGGCTGCCACTATAAGGCAGGTGAAGAAGGGTTATGCGATGGTCCTGGCACCATTGAAACTGCCCCCCACAACACTTTGCACCGGTGGGTAGGGAGCAGTTTAAATTCTCCGGCCAGGGAAGATATGGGTGTATTCTATTCAGCTGCACGAGACCCTATTTTCTATCCACACCATGCCAATATCGATCGTCTTTGGGAGGTTTGGAGGGGATTCCACATGGACAACGACATTACTGATCCTGACTGGCTGGACTCTTTCTTTTACTTTTATGACGAGAAATCGCAGTTCACTAGAGTGAAAATTAGGGATGTTCTCGACATCACAAAGCTTCGGTATTCTTTTGAGAAAGTTGATGTTCCATGGCTTAATGCCCGTCCCAAGCCTTCAGTCCAACCGGAAGCTGCTCGTCAAATATTGAAGACCAGGGAGATTGAGAGAACATCGCAGTTTCCCAGCCACAGCATTATATCCTCGGACTTTAGATCAAATCGCCAAACTCTCGATGCTAGCGTAACGGTTAAAGTAATCAGGCCAAAAGTTCGTAAAACCAAGGGAGACAGGGAGGAAGAAGAAGAGGTCCTCGTTGTGCATGGAATTGATGTAAAAGAGGAAGCATATGTCAAGTTTGATGTTTACGTTAATGTAGTTAACGAGACAATTATTAATCCAGGGTTCAGGGAATTTGCAGGAACCTTTGTTCACATTCCTTCAGGCGTAAAGTTGGCGAGAAGGAAGACTAGTCTTAAGTTGGGGATCTCGGAATTATTACAAGATTTGGAGGCAGAGGAAGATGAAAGCATATGGGTAACATTGTTACCTAGGAATGAAGGGTGCATCAACACATCAGTTGATGGAATAAGGATTGAGTACTTAAGATGAACAATTAATTGTTTGTCAAGCCAGTTGTTTTCTATATTATTTTAGAATGTACTAGTCTTGTGGGAGATGATCGAGAGCATTTAGTATGTATACTAGATTTTGACACATTTTATGCTATGGTTGGATAAAATATATAACATTATTTAAAAAAATTATTTCAGTTTAATAATCTTTTTTATGGTATAAATTTATAACAATATATGAAATCAAAGATAAAAAAAATAATTATAATTTTTTAATAAAAAAATTTGTATTTAAGTATTTCTTATTTGTGTTCTTCATATTTTTTTTTACAAAAATGATTTATCGTTGTTAATCCATGGATTATTAACTAAAAAGAAAACTTATATTTTTTAAAAAAAGCTTTAGTGTTTTATAAGATTGTGTCGGAAAAAAATAACAATTACTAAAAGCTTATATAGAATTGAATAATTTTTTTTATTTCATGTTGATGAGAATATCGATTTTTGAAAAAAATATGAATTTAATTTTTATTAATTTGATGAATAATATTAAAATAAATCAAAACTATGAGTAAATATAATTTTAAATTAATTGAATGAGAATTTAAAACAAATAACAAATTAATGAAAATAGCAATAAATGACAAACCATGAGTAATAAAATTCTTTATTATAATATATGTACTTTTTTTTTTTTTGAGAAATACATCTTATGTAATTGTTAATTAATAAATTATGTTATGTGATAGTATGTGCTTATAGACATAATTATTTTTTGAAAAAAAATATTATTTTTTCAAATTAGATATTTTAAACTTTAGAAATAAATAATAAAGGAATTAAATTGTTGGTTCCTTTAAAATTTTAGCACCCAATTAATTGTTGGTTCCTTTAAAATTTTAACACCCAACATTATTCAGAAACGGAAATTAAAAAAAAAAATCGTTCACTTTCTAGAAACGAAAATAAAAAAATGTCAAACCAAAAGAAAAATTAGATATTTTAAATTTTAGAAATAAATAATAAAGGAAATAAATTATTTGTTTCTTTAAAATTTTAACACCCATTCAATTGTTGGTTCCTTTAAAATTTTAATGCCAAACATTATTAAGAAACGAAAAAGAAAAAAATCAACGTTTAGGGAAAAAAAAAAAAAAGGACCCAGCCGTTTACTGTTCACGTGGGATGAAAATTTAAAAAAACGAAAAAAAATAAAAACTGTTCAATGTTAGAAAGAAATAAAAAAAGGAGGAGGCAAGCCGTTTACTATTCAATGACAATAACTGGGAAAAAAAGGAAAAGAAGGCCAAAGAGGGCTGGCCTTAAAAAAAAAAAAAAAAAAAAGAACAAAGAACAATAATGAACAGTGTCAATCACTGTTTATTGTAATAGTGAAAACTTCGTTTTCTTTTAGTTCATAGTGTAATTTTTTAAAGAAGTTTATTGGTGTTAAATAATCAAAACCAATGTTATGCATGAAAATAATTCAATAAACTATATTATTAAAATAAAATTATTTTAAATTTAATAACGTCATTAATTTAATTATAAAAAATATTAATATCATTATTTTTTTATCAATATTTTGAATGAAGGTTTTTTTCTTTTAACAAGTGATAAAAATATGAACTCATAATCTCTTCTTTTTCTTCTAATTAACATAAATCATTAAATTCACTATATATTTATTAAAATTATGATTTAAATGATTTTTTATGAATTTAGTTTTTTTATTAATGTACTTAATTTATTAATAACATATGCTACATCATAAATCAAGTAATAATTACTCTTCATCATTGTTTGTAATTAAAAGGAGGAGTATAGTTCAAATTTTCATTGTGCCTTTCATAAGACATATCCCAATAAATAAAATTTTGGAAAAATAAAAATAAATTTCAATAAAATATCAACGGAATCTAGAATAACCCAATCAATACATAGAATTTCCAAAATCCAAAATCACATCCTTTCATATTGTATCCTTTTTGTATCACAACATTGCAAATATGCAAAAAGATCTATGCATCTTTCTTTCATCCCAATAACAATGTTAGAGAAGACTCAATAATACTTCATCATATAGACAAAAGTAATACACTTTTGGCACTTATAAGTCCATAGTATAATTTTGTATATAAATGAATAAAATTATTAAGATTTATAAATCTCAGGAATGTAATTGATATAATTTTCATTTAAAAAATAATAAAAGAATTTTTTTTTTTTTGAGGGATGTAAAATAAATGACTTAGTTATAACTTATAAGTAAAATAAGAACGTAACATATAATAGTATAAAAAATTCATTATTCATTATATAATTAATATTCCTTTTGTCTCGGAAAGATCGATATTCATTTTGGTTTTTCACATAGTTTAAGAAAATTATTAATTATTACGCTATATCGGTATTTTTTCATACTTTTTTAAAATATCTTTTTTTGTTAAAATTGTTAGTTATCAAATTCGATCATGCATTACCTAAAGAATAAATATTAATTTAAGAGAAAAATCTATTTAAAATTAAGGTGGTAAATTAAAAAAAAAAATCATTAAGTTAATTAACAATCAAGTTTAAAACAATTAAAGAAAAATAACATATTAATGAAAATATTTTATTCTCAAAATTTCAACTCGCAATAAAATCCCTGCAAAAATGAATATTTTTCATGTTACAAAAAATTTCTTTTTGAAATTTTTATGTTAAAAATATTTGTATGTATAAGAAAAAAATATATAAATAATATTGATTTTTTGCTAGTGAACAAAACAAGAAATAGAAGAAAGAATTGATTTTTTAATAAAAATATTTAAAAAGAAACATTATTTAAATTTTTTTTATCAGAAAAGCTTTTTGAAACAAATATAAATAAAAAAGGTGACAATCAATCTCTTTGGGACAGTATATATATAGACACACACACCTCTTGAGTTTTGATCCTACAATGTAGAAGATACAAACAGTTTTGTTATTTTTGGTTTCTAAGGAAAACAGGAAGTGGCAGAGTTTTCTTGCATTGATTCTGGGACGTCCCATGAATTATTTCTTCAATACCTTGTCTTTTTAACAAACATAGAGAGACCCTGTACAGAGGTTTTGAAAAGGGGAAAGTTTTTTAGGGTTGAATTTGAAAAACACCTACTTTTAGTCCCATTGAGACCCCAAAGAAGAACAGATTAAAGCAAGATGCTCTCTCTCTCTCTCTCTAACAAGACAAAATACAGTCTTTTTCATTGTCTGTAACACTAACTCTGTCCGGATCATTAAGCTAATAAAATAAAATGCTATTTTGGGAAATGGGTTATTATGCTAATCTTCGCAAAAGATTTCCTGAAGTATTTATTGGCTGTAGTGAAAAATTCAGTAATTTGTCAGCTACTCAAAATAATTTATGTAGGCAAGAAAGGGGAAATGTTTATGAAATTATTTGATATGGGCAAGTAGTATTTTTCAGTTTTTATTTATTTATAATTGCAAGTTGGATGTGAGAACTTACGTACTGAAAGATGCCTCTGCCATCAAGAGAAAGTAAATGCAAAATAAATAAAGATTGGAAATAGACAGGGAAGCCATCCCTTCTTAGCTCATTCAGACTGGATCCAATAAAAAAAAAATGGAGAAGGAAAATCTTGGTGTTTTGTTCCAGAGAGAAACAAAAATGGAGTATAGAGGTTTCCTCCACGAGCATCCTTTAATGCTAAATGAGGAGACGATCGTGGGGACTCGATGCGATGCATGCGGTGAATTCTTCCAAGGCCTAGTCTACACTTGCAGCGAATGTGGGTTTAACATACACAAATCCTGTGCAGAGTTGCCTCGGGAATTCCAAAATCCTTACCACCCTCTCCGTCTCAGCTTGGTTACAGACGAATGGGAAGGGCAAGCTTTCAGATGCCTTGTCTGTCTTGAATATCATTTCAGATTTTCTTTTCACTGTGGAAGCTGCAACTTCAATCCCGATCTAAAATGTGCTTTTCAAAAACTGACCATAGATGAAGGTCAAGATATACTACACTATTTTACTCACTTTCATCCATTAGTAGCTACCGAGAAAAAGCAGGATAACGATGATAATGGCGGCAGTGGGTGGTGGTGTTTCCTGCAGGATATGTGGAGAACCCATCTCTGGTGCTCTCTACGGCTGCAACACTTGCAACTACTATCTGCATCGATCATGTGCCGAGTTTCAGTTGCCAACAACACTCCAGCACTTTTACCTCCCTTGCCTTCTAACTCTAAGCATCAATAAGGAAGAGTCTAGCTGCAAAGCCTGTGGCAATTGTTATGACTTCTACTCCTACCTCTGTGAGCCTTGCAATTTTAGGATCGAGATCAGTTGCGCACTGTTGCCTATCTTCATGGAATCCCAAGGTCAACAGCAGTTTCACCATTTCAGCCATGGGCATCCCAGATAATGATCCTTCGAGCCCTTCTATGCCGAAAACAGCTCTTCTATGCAGTGCTTGTGGCACTAATTGCAAATACTCGGCAGCCATGTTTCATTGCGTTGAGTGCGACTACCATCTTCGCTTCAAATGTGGTCCCTTGCCATGTTCCATTAAACAAGAAAGTCATTTAAACTTACCGATTCTCCGGTTATTGTCGAACGCGAAGATAAAGATACAGAGGTGTTTTATTGTGATAGTTGCGAAAGCGAAAGGGATCTTCGCTTGCCTGTCTACTATTGCTCTGATGGCTGCGCCTATATTGGTCAGATCAAATGCGTGATCTCAGAGGTATACTCAAATTAACATTTTTCCTTTCTGAACATGTAATTTTCTAAGTTTTTCGAAAGTTGGGTGCAAATCGTTGTGAGAGTATATAGTAATTACTTGGTCTGCTCAGGCTTGGCTCCCATCTTAGAAGACCTGTGTGCAAAATATGGAGATATCATTCCTGAATCCACTTTCCAACGTTCAGGGTTGAGGACTATTTACGTCAACACGTTATGCGAAATGATAATGGGCATGTGCACCACCAGGGTTTCTGACATTTCAGAAGAGGAACTTTCCTTTTGGTGGAGACACTTGAAGACTCTTCAATTTATAGGTTTGAATGTGCAGTTCGCCTTGGATCGTTTGACGAGAGTTGTGCATGCTTAATATGCTCTTCAAGTTGAAAAGGCAGTGAAAAAAAATAATGAGGATATAGATAGAGAGATCAAAGATGTTTCTCAAGATATAAAGGAATTGGAAGCGAAGGTAGTGGCTCAAAAAGAAAAGTTGGTGGCACTCGAGGAGATACGCAAGTGTAGAGAGCCCCCCAAAACCTGAGAGTTCCAGAATGGTAGCTGAGTGCTTCAGAGAGGCTTCAGTACTCAGGTGGATGAGAGCTGATGAAGGTTTACTGTGATGTGAGGCATTGTCTGCTTAACTTCTTGCAAACTATTACAAGAAGAAGAAGACATGCTAGTGCAAAAATAAGGCTACATTTCAAAGCAATGAGAGCTCCCATGTGGTAAAAGAGATCCTAAAATACAAGATACATACTGCTTTAATCTTTTTTGGTTTCCAAGGGGGAAAAAAATTGAAGTGGCAGAGTTTTCTTGTCTTCATGAAGTGGAAATGTTTTCTTGCATTGATTCTGGGATATCCCATAAATTCTTCATTCCCGTATACTTAAAACAGATGTGCATTGCTTCTAGGGAAGTAGGAAATTATTGTTGTAAAATGAATATGTGACTTAATTATTGCTTAATCCACGGGTTTGAAAGATAGTGATGGGAACCTAAACTTCCCCTGTTCTCAGACATGGCATATAAACATTTTATAGAGAAGCTTGATTCTAGCACCTATTATTCTTCTTTAACACTATGGGAAGGGAATGAAGATGCTGTTAATGAATTGAAGAGGTTCTTTTCTTTCAGTGAAGATGAGAATATAGAATTAAAGGCATTTTAGCGGTTCATAGAAATGCATGGGAATGTCATAAACAAAAAGTTCGAGGTGGCGAAGATGGACCGAAAACAAGAGCAAAACAACGAGAAACAAGTAGTGGAAGAGGAGATCAAGCATGTTTTTTCTTTGTATGATACGGTATTCTCTTTCATTGAAGAGGAGAAGATAGAACCGAGGGTATTTTCATAGTTCACGAAAAGGAGATAATTAAAGACTACAGAGACATATTACACAAACTGTAGAGAAGTTAGAACGAAAACCCAAAAGTTCCCCTGTTCTCGGACAGAGCATATAAGCATTTTACGAAAGTTCTACATTCGAAGTGTTCTTTGACACATCGAGCTCAGAATTAACGTTATATACAGATGCTTGGCTGTCCGAAGAAAGAGAAGAGTTAGTGAAATTCAGGGATATCTTCATTATCGAAAATAAGCTGGTTCCCATTCTACAAGACTTGTTCGACAAATATGGAGATTCCGAAGTGAAAATACTTTTCAAGTGGAGATGTATTTCATTGTCATGCTATGTTGGACTGTACATAGCATGCACAAAACCATACCAGAAATCGATTAAGAAATGACAATATTACGAAAGAAATGTTCCTTACGTTGTCTCTCCTTCAAGACTAATGAATTTCTTAGCTTTAGTCACTCACTGTCAAATTTCTTATGACAATCCTGCAGACCTTTTTTCTTATGCATTAATCCTACTGAATTAATTCCATTTTCTTAGAATAATATCTTCATCAATGTCTTTTTTTTTTTTTTCGTCAACTAATAGACAAACTCATCCTGCTAAATATGTAGTTATATGATGACAACAGGTAAATGTAATACAGCTAAGGAAGAAAAGCTTGGTCCCAATACTAGAAGTACTAATTTGACAAAGTAAGGAGAATGGATCCATTAAGGCGGCTAGGAGATATCACTGGCTGCCAATGTCAATTGTTCACGTCAGCATTAGAAGATTTGCAGAAGCAAAAGTTTCTACATAGATCCTCGGCTTTGATGTTGACTAAGATAATTCAAGAGAGCTGGAATTAACAGAGATGGCATCAAGAGTCTTAACACATTTCAGCCACAAGGAAGCATCAATAGTTCGTTGGAGATACTCCAATGCTAGTGTTTTCTGTGAGATTTGTGGAGAAAACACCTCTGAAGTGCTCTACCGCTGTAAATGGTGTGACTTCTATTTTCATCTGTCCTGTGCTGAGTTACCCCAAAAGCTTGAGCACTTCTATCATCCTTGCCATGTTCAAAAGATGGTTGGAATTCGTTGTACTGCTTGCCGGAAACAATGCTCAGGTCAGACTTATGTCTGTTGTAGCACCAGTTGCAGCTTTTCCGTCCACCATTCTTGTTTTGATTTGCCTCTGAAGATAAGTACTCCGTTGCACGCAAACCGTTCTTTAACCCTCACTATATATCCACTGCCAAGGGTCTGCAATTTAACTCGGGACTTAGTTTACACTTGCGATAAGTCCAGTTGCAGTTTCTGCTTCCATGTTGGAAGTCCAGTGACAATGTCCACCATAAAATACCAAGGTCACCAACACTACCTATTGTTCATGGAGAGTGTAGGAAAAGAGCTTTCCGGATTCTATATGTGCGATTTCTGTCTTCATCTCCGCTGTGGCCCCCTTCCGTGTACCATCAAGGACGAAAATCACCTACATCCTCTCACACTGACCGATTCTCCTGTGACCAATGCCATTGAATGTGAAGATAAGGGAACAGATGATTTTTATTGCGATGTTGGGGAATAGATAAGAGATCCACGGCTACCCATATATTATTGCTGAGATGAAATGTGTGATCTCAGAGGTAAGCTCAAATTAGCATATGTTTTCTTCTTGTTTTTTTTTTTCGTCATGAATTTCTTTAAGCTTTGTGGTTTCATGGTTCATAATCAGCTTTCATCTCTGGTCAAATTCCAGGTGATACTTTCTCTATCGGGAAAGCATAGAGAACTGGAATTGAGAACTCCAATCAGGCACGTTCCTGGAAAGGTGATTAGTACATTTAAGATTCAAGAAGCAGGGCAGGAAAGTCAAACAGATCCTGCTACAATGGCAGGTAAAATGGAGGTCAATCCTACTTTCACCACCTTGGATGAAGTTTTCTATTTCTCCAGAAAAGAAGACAGGAATTGCAGAGTGTCCTTGTGGCTGCAAGAAGTGATTGTCTTAGGGACAACATTGAGCAATCCTCTTTGTTTTCAAATGGGGCCTATACTCGGTTTACGAAGTTGATCGAAGAATGTAAATATTGAGGTGGTCGAAGAAACAAGAAGTTTGTCAGTGCAGAGGATAGCTTCTTCACCTGGAGTTTGGCTACGAACCGTCGAAGGTTTGTATGCAAAATACGGGGATATTGTCGTTGACTTGCCTGTAAACTGGAGTGTTCTTTGCTTAATTATTTCTAATCTTTTGGCAATTAATCCCAAAACTCAAAAATCTGAGAGTGAAAATGAAAAATTTGTAAACTTTGGGGGTGCCACAGTCCCAAAAGCAAAGGTCTCTTTTGGAACAAATTTGCTGAATCATTCTACCAAGGAACCAAAGTTATGGGATCTACAAAAATTGAATTTGCACAGCTTTGTTGATCAATAGCTGAGGTCATGGTTGTAAATAACAATTTTCATCGTTACGTGATATAATAGCTATTATTTATCAGATTTAAGTAAGTTTATTTTTTATGCAGTGTTCTACAAAAATGTGTTTATTTTAAAATAAATATATTAATAGTTATTAGTATATTTAAAATATCAATTGTTATAATTATTATTTTACTATCACGATAAAATCACGAGGACAATTGTTTTTATGATTATATAAAAAAACTGAAAATATGTTAAATTTGGGTTTAGACATTTGAAAAGTATGCCTATAAAATATTTATTATAAATATACCTATAAAATATTTATTATAAATATACAATAATTATTCATAAAATATTTTAAAATTTCCCAATTGAACACATTCCGTATAAAACCGTCCAAAAATATTTTTATGTGGTAAACTTTTTTAATATATTTTAATTTCACGTCGGAGTGAAATTACCATCATAAAATGTTAGACATAATTCAGGTCTCAAAAAAATTAATTTTTATGAATAAACTCAATGAAATATGGTTATAGCACGTGACATTAAGGTTAGACTTTTTCTTAAATATCAAACTGGGGTGACAATTTAATCTAACTAGATGGACTGATGTCTAAACCATGTTGACCAAGTTTATTTCTGTGTGGATGGGATAGGGACAGGTTCTGTCACCTACCCTGGCCATGCTCATGCCCAAACCATATTGATTAAATGATATTTTTTCTTAGAATGGATATTTTTTTTAAAAAAAAGTATTTAATTATAGACTGGGCCCAGCTAGCGTAACTAATAGGCTAGTGGACATCCAATAAAAAAAACCTGCTGGCAGTGATGAAACCAAAAAACCTAAATTTGTTCCATGGTCTTTTTGGTCCCTCTAATTTCAACTTTATCCTATTTTGGTGTCCTCGCTCTTTTCCTCCTAATACTATTCTCTTATTCTTTATTTTGTAATCCAACTTATCTTTTCCTTTTGACAAATGTCAATGATGGTATTAGATGGGGATGTTCAAGAAAAAAAACACTTCTGAATAAACAAATGAAGATTTTTTTTAATATTTTTTATCGTCATAATTTTTCTTTTCTTAATCTTGAATAAAATAAAATAATTTTATTATTGTATCTTCTCAATCCGTTCATCTATCTATAAATTAATTAATTTGATTCAATCTCATCATACTATTTTATAAGTTTTAAATAATCGATATATATATATATATATATATATATATATATATATATATATATATATATATATATATATATATATATATATATATATATTAAATTTTACTATTAAACACAGCAAATAAACATCAATTTATAAAAAATATATGATGTTTGAGAAATTATTAGGTATACTAGAAGTTGTACTCTTTCTTCTCACATCAATAATTCTCGATGACACTTGACAAAGGGAGTTAACAGCTTGATCGACGAAAGGATCAAATGATTATGAAGCATGCGAAAGAAGGATGGAATAAAGTCAAAAGTTACTGAAGGACCAAAATAAAATAAAGTTGCAAGTAGGGATATCAAATACTTCACTAACCGTCTAACCCTATGAGTTGACTGGACCAGGATTGGTCTGTCACCACTCTTCAAGCAAGCCTATATGTCCCATGTAAAGTTGGATGATTTTGCAGAGAGTTCGTTAGAAAGGAAAGGCAAAAGCTAAGAACCAACATAAGGCTTTTATGGTAAAATCACAGCCTCTTCCATCTGGTTTTTTCCACTTGTAGATGCTACTTGTTTTAAGAAACCGAACCAGAAAAGAGTTTCGCATTATTATTATCTCTGGCGAGAATCAAACGTTAAAAGTCTCAATTTTCCAGGTATTCTGTTACCTTCTGCTTACCTTTTATGTTTCTGCAGAACCCAGATCCAATTTGGATCGGGCAGGGTCACAGATTATTAATCTTGAGAAAATATTTGGACAGTTGTTCCTCCGCACGTGTTGTGATCTGGACAAGATCATTGCTTACTGCATGTGGGGTGCTGTCCAAATCTTTTCTCATTGATATTTTGTTCTTGAATTGTGAACTCTTGAATTGAAAAGATTCAATTTTTGGACTGATTCTGAATTCTTGTGGTTTTTCATGATTCCCATTTTTTTTTTTTTTGGGGCTTGTGTAGGTTTTTCTTTTGTTATGAAGCAATGGAATTTCGAGAAATGGAAGAGGATGGAACTGTGATGAGGAGATGGGAGGAGATGGACATTGATATCTTGGTGAAGATATTCCAGTCATTAACTGTGTTTGAATTAACTTCAGGCATTGCTCATGTTTGTAGCGCGTGGCGCTTGGCTGCTTGTGATCCCTTGCTGTGGAAAACCCTTGATTTGTCCATGTTGAAATCTAATTTCATCAAAATCCCATTAGAGCCTTATGTGTATGTGCACTGTCATTCTGATAAGACATTGACTCGAATCTTGAAGATTTCGTTGAGTCTCAGCCGGGGAAATATAACCTCGCTGTTTTTTCACTGCAATTTGTATGTAAGCGAGGAGCAGTTGACTTATACTGCTGAAAGGTATTTTTTTTTTTTGATGATTCTTTATGTTTTAAACTTTTTATTTAAGTTTCTGATAATGTCTGTCTTTTCATGGTGATGATTTTATAATTGATATGCAATGTAAGAGTAGAAGATGATGAATTTTGAATGCATGAGGTTGTGCAGGTTGTACTCTAGGTGACACTAGGATCAGGGTAATTGGTAATAATTGATGGGAGTTGGTGTAACCTATCCTGATCAAAATTATAAGTGGAGGAGTTTGAAGATGTAATGCTAAGTGCTAATGGACTAGATATTGAAGTTGTTATGCTAATTGAATTGAAAACGGCGGAGATGTCATGAGAGGCAAAATGCGCATCTGATGGTTGGTTCATTCAGTGGCTCAAAAAAATTAATCGAGCGCACCATAAAGGTCTTATTAATGTAACTATTACCTGTTGATTTCCTTGAAATGGGGTAGAGAGTTTACTGCAAGCGGTCTAAGGAGGTTAAGAAGGGGACATGTCTGATTTCATTACTGTATAATTTGCTTGAAATGGGAAGAGAGGCTTTTTCAAGTTCTCTAAGCTGAGGAGTGGAGGCATGTGGAAATTGAGTCAAGTGAAACCTCTTGACCAAGGAGAATGAGGTTATTCAAAACTCAGAAGTTCTAAGTTAGCAATGATGTAGCAACTAGTAAGATGGGATGAGTTAGAAATGCCCATCTGGATCTGAGAAAAGTGATAATTATTCCTTAAGAGTAAGAAGCCATGTTTGTTATGAAAGGGCTCCTTAACCTTGTAAAATGTATAGTTTTGGCTAAATTCAGAAGTGCTTTAGGATGTGTTGTCAAAGTATCAAGGCAAATCAACCCGGCTTAAATTATTGAATTTGATCCATGGCCTGGTATAAATAAGCTGTTAACTTTCAGAAATAGAAGCCACAGATGGAGTTGTTAAAATGCAAGTTATAACAGATTTGGACTTGAGTTGAGATGTGGAATGTCTTGATACAGAATCAGACTCCAGAGTGACTAAGTTATATTTTTTAGGATGCTTGGTATTCCGTAATCCTATATCTGGGTGTAGCTACTGGATAGAGATCGAAAGTTTCTTATGACAATATGTCTATAGAGGTTGTAGTAGATTATAGATGAACTGACCGAATTCAATACTTTAGACGTGGGCGATGATGATTTCTTTGATAACAATATTAAAGTATAGAAACTGCACAGCTGTGAATAGTTATTTGTTTGATCATAATGCAGAGGATGGTTAGTTTATGGCTTTAATACTAATCATTGTAACCACAGGAAAGGTCAGGTGAAAAATATAGCTGCCTGGAATATGGGGACTATTGGCCCCTTGAAGTGAAGGTAATAAGTCAGTCAGAAGATATAAATAAAGGTCAAGTGTATTGTTGAAACTAGTATAAATGACCGAATAGGATTCACTGCCTGGGTGCTCGTTTATAATAAATTATGTTCAAGTTGTCGGATATATGAGTTTGTTGGGATAATAAAGAGGTGAGGATGATGCTGCAAGTTAAGAAGCAGATTTTATGTCCGATTGCTTGTGAAGCAAAAGATGGCTATTTTTTTAGGATTCATATCTGCATCAAATAATGGCAAAGATGGGGAAAAATCATGGATGGGGTTAAAGGAATCTAGTAGTCTTACAAATAGCATTCCTTATATTGTTTTAGGGGATTCTAATATAATAGAACATGGTGAAAATATGAAGTGAAAAAGTTTCTAATGATGTGATATGGCTTTTTTTAAGGTAGACTGGTAGATCAAAATATAATATTATGCTTATTTTGCTAAAAGGCTGTATAAGGTTATAGTTGATTAGAATCAAACTGTTTACTGGAATTTATTCCGCCTGGAGTGTCTGATAATTGGCATAGCTGTTATCAACATTGATCCCATTGTTGTTTATAAGCCGAAATTATTTAGGCTCTTAACTAGTAGACTAAGAATATGGAGGTTAACCAAGCTATCCACCATTGTTGGCTTCTTATGCAAATGGGGTGAAGCAAATGGGGACCTATTTCTTGTGGTTTGTTGGAAACAGCTTATAGAAAGATTTTTGCAGGAATCTGGTAATAATAATATGGTTTGGAGTGAGATGCTGAAAGAAGTTTGTAGCAAATTATGCTGTGACGAAAATCACTTAATTTGCTATTATACATGATCAATATGCAATTATTCAACTTAAAATAATTACAGTGGAAGCTTCACCTTCTATTTGCAATTTTAATAAGCACAAGCTATTTTTTCTCTTGCTAACATAGTTTTCTAATTTATAGGAACTCCGTTTTAGTGCCTAGGCACAATTATAATATCATAATTGTTTAGGAAGCACAGATACTTGTATTAGTTGCTGACATAATTTATGTTACATGATGGCATGCAGCTTAGATGAAGTTTTTTTTTTTATTTTTTTTTTCACTGGCAGAATATAAATATGATTCTATGTGCTACTGAATGTTACAACGATGCCTTTATTATTGATTCTCTTTTTGTTATTTTGGTTTCTTTTGAGAGAATAGGCAACACTCTGCTGAGGACAATAAAATTGATCTAATTGACATTTTTCCTCTGTCCAGGTGCCCACGCCTTAGAAGACTTGTTTTACCAGCATGGAATCGAGTAGAGACTGTAATGATCAAAGCTATTGATCTGTGGAAAGATCTTGAATCCCTGACCATGCCTAGCATAGCGAACCCCCTCGACTAGTTCAGGCGATTGCTACTAATTGCAGGAACTTTAGTGAACTCAAGATCATGGGCCCGTTTGACATTTACTTTGCTTCCTCACTTGTGACCTATCTTCCAACGTTAAAAGTCTTGAGCCTCCGTTGCTCAATGCTATATAAGGACACGTTGATCTGCATCTTGGATAATCTGCGATGCCTAGAAGTGCTGAATATATCCCATTGCCTTCTAATAGAAGTCCCACCACCTCCTGCACCAAGAAGAATTGTTAGGCAGCTTGATAAAACCATCCTGGAGAAAGCTTCTCGGTTACGCGAATTCTTAACCTGCATGAGAGACACTTGCATCATGTGTCAACGGACAAGAAATGACGAAGGGCTCATGCGTTGGTACAAGTACAATGAAGGGCTTTGGAAGGAAGATGAGGTCAGCTCTCTTGCTTTTTGAATTGAGCATTCTAAGACCAAATTTTAGTGCTAGAAGTTCTTGCACTAGGTGTCCATGTATCCTTTTTTTCTTGGTTATTCTTTCACTGTTTTATAGGAACAGAAAAAGACAACGTTTAAGTCACTAAGGTCTTTCTGTCTATTTTGTGTTAGTTGTGGTGATAAAAAGCCAAACTCTGGGTAGTTGTGGGTGATAAAAAAGCCAAACTCTGTGTAGTTGTGCAGCGGCTGAAGACTTGCTGTTGATTCTGATAAATGTATATATGTTTTGAATTGCACTTTTTTAACTTGTTCCTCTTTTTTCATTTATGGTGTTTGTTTTTTTTTTTTTTTTTATAATATATTAAATTATTTAATTCTCTCCCTTTTTACAGGAGAGTGAGTGTTTTGTCAAATCATGAACCTTTTTCAACACAGAATCTAGGCTTTCATTTGTTAATATAATCCTGTCAGCTTTGAAAATAAAATCAACTGATGCTTTGAACCTGTCGTTTGCTTACAGATTTCTGTCCATTATTATATTGAGATGCAGGGGCTGTGACTTGAACTGGTCTTTGCATAAACAAGACATCCTCCATTTTTCTCTGCATAATTTCTACGTCCAGTTTGTTCAACTGTCAAATTCCAAACCCATCAAAGTCCTCATTGTAATTATTTAATGGTGACAACCTTTTTGCTTCTCTCTTTCTCTGAGTCGTAGATTGATGGGCAATTTGCCTTATTCATTTTCTTCAAGTACTTTTTTTTAAGGATGCCTTTTGACAGAAAACAGTGGAAATATGACATGACCACCATTTTGGACAATCTTGGTTGGCATTTGGCAACTGCCGTTATTACAACAGGTCACAAGTGACAATTTGTGCTTTACAGACTTTGATAGAATCAAAATTTGCGTTGCCTTGTCTTGCATGGGAGAGCACTATTTGGTTTAAAATTGAGAAACCAAATTGGACCAAACTGAATTACTAATTTTGATTTGGTTTTTACCTCTAAGAAATTAAAAGAAAACGAACTGAATTTTTTTTGGGATTTTCGGTTCGGTTCGGTTTATGAAATTTTTTATTCGATTTAAATTAAAAATTGATTTTTATTATTTTAAAAAAATTGAAAATAATATAGATAAAAAAAAATCATTATCTTAGCATTATTATAGATAAATGATGGAATGATATCGCATTTTTATCGATTTATATTATTTTAAAAAAATCAGAAAAAAAAAAGTTTGTTTGAACAAAAAATCAAAATTTTGGTTTATAAAATGAAAAATTAAATAGTATTTCAATTAGGGTTTGGTAAATAATTCTTGACCTATTTTTCGTTATCTATGTATTAAAAATAAAAATAAAAGGAATGGTTTAGAATTATCGAGAATGTTTTGCTTGAAGGCATGGTAAAACATTAAGCAATCATCAAATTAAAATAAAACATTATAGAATCTCATCCTTAGCTAATAAATCATCGAACTCAAAATAAAACATTTTTTTTGGGAAAGACATGAATCCAAAAAACTATCATCAAAGCAAAGCTCGTCGGGATATTCTTGCTTAAGCTCGTCATTGTTCTTGATACTCGTCGTTAAGCAATTTTAATGAATCCAAGGTGGAAAAGAATCTAACGATCAGCTTGCTCTTGTAAATATTGGAATATTTTAGAGAAATAAGCAGCATTATCAAAGAATATAGATTATTTCTTGAAGGAAGACAGGTATCCAAAATACCATTATCAAAGCGAAGCACTTCGCTTTGGGACATCAAATTAAGAGATTATGTGGCCATTTTCAACGCAGTATATACATAGATGCAATCACATCAAAGCATCATCAAAGCATAAGTTCTTTTTGCATGCTTTTGGATTTTCCTTCCTTTCCCAACCAATCAATTACTGCCTACACATACCATACCCACAAACAATCCTGTTTTTACAGGTTGTGTTTTTCCTATGTGAAAACTGAGAGATGATTGGATTCTAACTTGTTCTTTCTCAGTACCAACCATAGCAAAGATTAAAAACAGTCTTCTCGTTAGAAAAACAAAAGAGATTTTTCGGTAATAAAGTGAAGATGAAGAACCTAGATTTTAGGATGATAAAATAATTTTTTTAAAAAATAAATAAATATAATGTGTTAAATGACTCATTATTAACATTAAAAAAATTAAAATATGCACGAGATTTAATCTACGTGACAAAAACTATTTTATTTTAATAAATAAGATTAAACAATGTTATTGTTGTAAATAAGTTTTCCAATTACTCTGTTTTAAAAAAAAAGACTTCATGATAGAGCCTTGCTACAAAATTTCACCCCTCACCTACCATATCGAACGACTTGTTCAGACTGAAATGACTTCACTACCCCTATAGGCAAAAACTCAATTGAAGGGTATCACTCATTTAACTCGTCTCCAACTCTCCATTTCTTGAAGTCTCCTATAGTTTTTGAAATTTATTTTACAAAAAATAATACAAAAAATAAAAAAATATTTTTTTCTTATATAATTCTTAAAAAAATTTATCAATAGATTTTTAATTATATCTCAGTTGTTTCTGAAAAATTTTAAAATGCTTAATTGACTTCTTATAAAAATTTTAAAAATTGTATAGTAATTTTCTAAGCATAATAGCTCAAATTAAAGAAAGAAAAAAAATTGTCCTGTCTAGTACGCGTGAAATTGTTTTTACCTAAATATTTAAATTAATCTTTTACTATTTTATCGAATATGTAAAACAAAAATAATTATTAGAAAATTATATATATATATATATATATATATATATATATATACACACACATTAGTATGAAAGGAATCTTTAGTCTTTTAAATTTTTTAAGTAAAAAAAAATGTATATTTTGTTTTTTCACTTCTTACCATAAAATAAACAAACCAAATACCTAAGGGGATTGACAATCGCTCACAATCATTAGTTCGGACCGGCCCCCATAAGATTCTGAACCGATAACTCTCTCTCTCTCTCTCTGTAAACGCAGACCAAAAACCATGGTTTTGGAACTATGGGAAACACTCAAAGAAGCCATAACAGCATACACGGGACTATCGCCAGCAACTTTCTTTACAGTTTTATCTATAGGGTTAGCTGTTTATTATGTGGTATCAGGGTTGTTTGGTGGGTCTGATCGTCATCATGTACCAAGACAACGTGAAGAGCAGATGGAACCTTTGCCTCCACCTGTTCAACTTGGTGAAGTCACTGAAGAAGAACTAAAACAGTATGATGGTACTGACTCTAAAAAGCCTTTGCTTATGGCTATCAAGGGTCAGATCTATGATGTTTCTCAAAGCAGGTAAAGTTTCAATCTTTTTTGTGGTCTTTTTGGTTGTTTTGACTTCTGGGCTGTGAAACTTTGTGGGTTTGTTTTCTTTTTCGGATTGATGGGTTTATGGTGTGTTTGAGTCAAAGGGTGTTTTTAGCTTGTAAAATTTTGGGATTTTGTTTGAGGTTTTGGTTGATTCCAAGGAATCGCTTTTCTTTTCTTTGTTTGACTTTCTGGTGTTCTTTGTTTTTGGTGGTGATCGCTTTTTTTCCCCCTTATGGTTGATGCTACTTTTTTGCGATTTGATTGTGATGGGTCTCTAAAAAGTTCTCTTTAATTGATTATGACTGTGAAGTTGAAGTGTGAATCTTCCTCTTTCTTTTTCTTCTTGTGATAAATACTTGATGTTGAGTGCATTATCTGGGTAATTTGATAGGTTATGCGGTTTTCTCCACTGTTGTTTGTGTTTCACGTGTATCAGCAATGTTAAGGGATGATAATTGATACGGCTTTAAATAATTGGGGTATTCTTTGCTGGAAAATGGATGAGGCTTCATTTAAACATTGAACAATAAGTGAAAGACTAAACTTTGCATTCCAGCACTTGTTTTCACAATCTTTTTGTACCTTGCATTGCTATAAACCATAAATAATTTCTTTATATGATCAAAAGGTTGGACTTAACAGCTTATTTGCTGCAACTAAATGGATGATATTGAGCATCATTCACATTAAGCAGGAGGGTTTTTGTTGTGTATCTGTGACCTCACTCTATATTCCATATTGCTCCTTTGTGATTGGCGAGTTTTGGCTCGATCGCTGGGCTTGATATGAGACGTTTGTGAACCTTAAGTTTACCAGCACGTTCATCTTCAGTGTTGTCGTACATTAATTTTTGTTATATGTGATGAAAGATCAATGACTAGACCCTGTTTGGACATGAGTTCATCAGGTCTTTTTATCCCTTAAATCCAAACTATTCATTTGCTTATGGCACACTATCTGATCGACTAATAATTGCAATTACGTCATGCTTCTTGACACCTTGGAGATATAAGACCCAAAAGACCTGTTTGTCATTTGTTCTTCAGTGACTTGTTATGATATGTAGTGAGTGTTAACATTTGAGGATGAATTAAAATCTTTTCAGCTGAGGGTTGGAAATTAATACAGTATGAGACCATGAATTCTGTGTTTCAGGATTTAAAACCATCATGATTTGGCCTTTTCTTTCAATGCACATACTCTATGCATAAATTTGTGCCGAAACTTCTGAACTTGGTATGCTTTATTTGTTACAGGATGTTCTATGGACCCGGTGGACCGTATGCGTTGTTTGCTGGAAAGGATGCTAGCAGAGCTCTAGCAAAGATGTCTTTTGAAGAGGGAGATTTAACCGGCGATGTATCTGGTCTTGGTCCATTTGAATTGGATGCCTTGCAAGACTGGGAATACAAGTTCATGAGTAAATATGTCAAGGTTGGAACAATCAAGAAGACAGTTCCAGTAACTGATGGTACCTCCACCAGTGAACCTGCTGCAGAGACTACAGAACGCGATGCTGCTAAACCAGCTGAAGATGCTCCATCAGCTGCTGCACCTGTCGAAACTACCGCTGTTGGTGAATCCAAGGAGGAGTAATGTTGCGTTTAAAGGCTCATTTGAAGTCGACGAAACAATCCCTGATGAAGAAAGAGTTATCTGTGTGAAACCATGCATTTGGTGAATCTTGCTACTTATATTATGCATTAGCTTTACATTTCTCAGTCTAAATACTTCCATTATAAACCTGTTTCAATTTTCGGTCTGTTAACTAATAAATTGGTATTTCAAAGTAAAAGAGATTCATACTTTTTAACTTTTGTTAATAAGATTGTGGTAGTTGGCCAGCAGTCACTCTCATGGATTTAATTTACATGTGGGTTGCCTCTTGAGCAAATCTTTGAGAGGTCTCTCTTACTGGGATAAACTATCAATAAGCAATTGATATGCATATGCTTCATTTGAAAATCTGCATAGTTCTCCGAAAGGGAACTGTTCCTAGTGTACATTCTACCGCTTCTTGCATACTTGTTTTCGATTACTGCTGAACTTTCTCTTCGCCGAGAACTGGGTCGGAACTCTTAGCCGATGAAAAATGAGAACAAGAAACTATGCCCCCCAAAAAAAAGACTTGTTTCATCGCAAGCCATTCACTTAGTTACATAAATACCTGAATTGAGTGATTTCTAAGCAAAGGACGATCAAAAGCAGGTTGCTAGTACATGTAAATGCGATCAATAACACTACCTTCCTTATTCTGAGGAGAGAAAAGGAACACAATTAGCCAAAGGTGCAATCATTTTTAGGCAATTGAAAGAAAGAACTGAATTGAGAGCTCAAAAAGGTCGGGTGGTATGACCTTCAAAATCCTCTGTTATTTGTGTGAGAGACCATTATGCTTCCTACAATAGCGTATAACAATAACGGGCATGTCCGAATCTGTTAAATAACGCCGTTCTCTTCATCTTTTCGTATTTTTCTTTCTGAAACTCTTTTTTCTTGTGTTCCTTGGGCGTTCTTACGGACCTTGGCCTCCACAATAGAGGTAACCGAGTGATCCGTCTAGATGCATGGATTTCTTCGGTTTAGAACACTTAAGTTATAAACTTGCTTCAGTTTTTAGTCTGTTAAACTAATAGATTAGAATGTTAAAATGTGCAACGAATTGGTAAACAGTTCTATTAGATACTTGTTTCACTTTCATTATTCACATGATGCATTTCATAAACGAAACTAGTCTTTCGGAAGTCTGGAGGCTCAAAATGACCACTTCCCATGGCTGGCTGAGGCTCATTTGCAGCACTATCCTAATTGTAGTTCTTAAGCAGATTCTGCTAAACTTGTGAACAATGATTTCGGCCAATATCCAATATCGACTAGAGTCTCACCGGCAATAATTAAGAAAATGCAGGTGGTAATGTAGTATTACCACCTGATGAACATATATCTTCTGCACATATTGATCCCCATTGTATGAAGATTGATGTAAAAGTTCTTCTCCCAGATGATGTTTAGGACTAAACTTGAACGAAACCAGGGCAAGGAACAATTAAGCATCCGGCCATTCCTTTGTTAGCCTACATAGAAGCAAAAGAAAGTGCATTAGTTACCATCATAATCCATCCATTAACATAGAATCGCGAAGAACTACAAAAAAATTTGTCAAAAGAGGGCTTACTGTCCAGTAGCTAACGTTTCGAGTTCTGCTGGTCTCCGTCTAATACTGACTGCAAACTACATCAAAACGCAAAATATTATCAATATTGGTAGAGATTTTGCTCTAATTAGATCTTCATTTGTAGTTTTCCTGATGAGAACAGTTTTTGGTGGACATTCTACCCCATTTCGCAGGCTTGTCTTCACAGATTCTGACTTAGCTGTTATCAATTCTTTCTTCCGAGAACTTGACCGCAGCTGTGAACAACATTGAATAAGATCAAGATCATGCAATGCAAAAAAAACGCCAATGATTATTGCAAACCATTCATTTAGTCTCATACAAACCTGAATTGATGCAGGATTATTCCTAGTAAATCCAATAATTACATCCATTAATAAATTTGGATTAGATGATCCTGAACAAAGCTCAAAAGAACCTGAGCTCAGCCTAAGGAAATCAACAAAGCCGAAAATAGAAAATAGAAAAGTTCCCCAGTGCACAAAGAGGAGAACAGCTCCCTTACATGGATTACAGATACATTGATGAAAATGGAAAAGTTGTAACATGGATTAATCCAACTGCCCTACATCTTGTTACACATGGATGTCTTTATCTTTGTTTTCCACAAGAAATTCCATCTACTCTGTCATATTCTTTCATAGTTCTTGTACAATTGGGCTGGAAGTCGAACAGAAAGCACAACTTGCAATGGAGTTTTTCAAATAATTGGCAATTGAAATGATGCAATTGATGGCCCATTATAGATGTGACCAGATTGATGCTTAGCTGCATGGCTGGGCAAGTGCGTCTCCCAGCACCAAATGGTAACAGCCTAAGAACCTTTCAGGCCAAAGTTCAAGTGGGTTACCACATTATTGGGCCACATCCAATCATAGTTTTAAATTGCATATGGTAGAAAAAATAGTTTTAAATTGCATACGGTAGAAAAAATAACCGCAGCTATCATTATTGATCGTGACTTATTATAATATTAAAATAACGATAATAGTATTTTTCGAAACCGTTATATAACAATATAACGATTGTTATATAACGTAACGATTATTATTTAAAACTATACATCCCATGACTCTAACGTTTATATGTATAAAACAGATGAAATCAATATTTTTTTAAAAAAAAATAATGTTCATATTGCATCGAAATAGGTTATCAAAAATTTCTTGTTTGGAATACATCTTTCATCACCCATCTATTTTAGTGACAAACAGTTAAAAAATATATTATTTTCTTCATGCAATGTTTTGTTACATTGCCAAACTTCTTTTGGTTAAAATATAATCCACTAATCTTTCAATCTATTATTTTGTATTCGGCTTTAAATGATTTGTGAAAGTGTGTTTAGTGGGTATAAAACTAATTTTTATATACTTTTTTCCTCAATAATTTCAATTAGGTCTTATTTTTTGGTACATATCAGCGTAAAAAGATCATACGTTATTTAATATCTGTCATATCAATATTTAATAGTTTCTAACGAACGAATATACTTAAATAAAAATTAATCACTCAAATTAATAAAATAAAATATTAAAAATTGAAACAGAGCAGAAATTAAATATTAGACACTAAAGTCGTGGTTTTTTTTTTCTAATTTTAAGTGAAATCTATTTTTCATTACGTGTGTGTGATATCATCATGAGAAACATGAACAGTTTCTAGCAAGGTTAACATGAACAGTCCCTAAAATCAATGATTGCCTCAATTTTTCCATCGAAATTAAAATTAATTGCTCTGAAGACTGTGTCCTTAGGCAACTGCTGGACCACAGGGTTACTCTTTTAAGCTGCAAATTTCCTAGAGGTATCCTAAGACTGAAATATGGATTTTTTTCAGATATAATGACTGCAAAAAACACAAGATTTCTTGTGAGATATATACGATAAATAAGTTAATCTGTTTTTATATAATAATCCGATCTTCAAGCTATCCATATATTTTTAAATTTATTTATTGTGTTTCTAAATACTGTTTTAGTGTCAAATCTATCTTTTCAAATAATTTTTTAACCATTGATAAATCTTTTTTTTTTTTGGTTCAAAATGCCCTTAATTGAAATTAAAAAAAAATAAGTAGCATAATATGTATGTTTTATTTTTAAAACTTTTTTTTTATTTTTACATTTGAATCAGGAGCATTTCGGTAAAAAAAAATACTTATGATGGAAAAATTAATTGAAAAACAAATTAATAATTTAAATATTATTCAGAAAGAAAACATATATATATATATATATATATATATAAAAAATATATTGAGAATTCAAACTATTATATAAAAACACGTTGAGTTACTTATGTAGGCTATATGATTAGTTTGTAGGACCAAAGGGCAAACTCTGAAGTCATTTTAAGTAGCAAATTTCGCTTTCTTGTGCTGGCAGTTTGAAGATGATCTTCGAGCTATCTTATCAAACTTCAATATCAAATGCGTACAGTTTATTTAATGCATTGTTCCCTCTATGTAATGGCATGTCAAGATTTGTCTTTTAATTCATGCCTTGCCCACCAATTTCGTCTTTAAGCATTGATAATTACTTTTTGAGATGACAATTTTAGGATGAAAACTCACATGAATTGAAGGATTTCCAACTTCCATAATTTTAAATTACATACGATTAAAAAAAAGTCTCGATTGTTATTATAAATCATGACTTCTTATAATATTAAAATAATAATAACATGATGTTTTAAAATCGTTACATAACGATCGTTATATAACGTAACGATCATTATTTAGAATTATGATCTAATCGCGAGCAGTTAAAAGATAACTCATTTTGTTCCTTGAAAAGCTTGGCTTTTCCTTTTACCATCTTCAAGGGCACATAAGGTTGCCAATTATATGAGGTAGGGGCTGTAGGGCTAATAAGGAATAGAAAATCATGAGTATTCATGTTTCTCAAATGTGATTCATTGTTAATTTTGGCCCTGTCTTCCTTCCCATCAGGTAACCTGATCTCCTTATAAATAGACATTAGACCTACCAAAATTACTCAAAACATCCTGTTTTCTCTGCTTCAAAGCCCTCTCTTAGCCAGCTCATTTTCAATCGTCTCATCAAGACTCAAATCATGAGAACAGCTTCTAGCCCTTTACTTCCACTTCTAGTTTTCAGTACGATCATGCTAGCCTTACTCCATCCTTGCACTTGTAGGCATATCAGCTGGGCTACCTATGAAGAAAGACATCAAATGAACGCCAAGTTTTCTTTCCCACTTCCTGATCATCAGCACCAGCTGCCTCCTATTTCTCACACTGAGAAATTCAGTAAAGATGACAAGGGCAAGAAATTGTTTGGTGCATCTCATAAGGTTGTCCCTGGTGGACCTAATCCACTTCATAATTGATTGGATTTCTCTTTTTTGCAATCTGTTTCCATGACAAGTACTCCTTGGTATCGCTTTTGGAGACAGAAAAATCCTCTTGGTTCTTGTAAAGAATGAAAGATGGCCTCGATCCCTCTCTGTAGTTCTTTCATTCTTCCCAGGAACCAAGGTTAGATTGAGTTGTATAATTACATCATGGTTTCCTATGTTAAATTTGTGCAGTAGTTCAGCTTTTAAGGAAAATGTAAGCTCATTTCGTGCTTCATGAGTATGTTACATGAACAATTCAGTCAAAATTAGCAACTATGTGATCAATTATTTTTAGTCATCTTTAAATGATTCTACAGAATTATCGAGCAAAAATGGCGTTCAAATAATGAAGAGGCAGCCAGTGATCAAAGCACTGGTTACTGAGAAGACAGTGTAGCATGTAGGGGTACTGAAGACAGGAAACACTAGGCTGGGGTTGACAGTTGACTTGGTAGTTTCAAGCTTCCAAACCTTTTTTTTGTTCTTCTTTTCTTCTTATCCTTTTGAACCAAGAAAGTGGACCATCCATGCACACAGATCTACTTCTTTGTTTAATCTATAAATAAATATTGTTAACCACGATCATTGTTGGCCATCTTGCATCAATAATTCATATGGCAGAATACATGTAGTCTTAGGCATTTTTATAAAAAACATTACTTTTACTTATATGTTCTTGCATCTTACTATCAAGCACATTTAACCATCATCCAACCAACAAATATGGTCCAAGAAGAAATATGTGCTTGATAGCAGGAAATATATCTGGAAATTTAACTAGGAATATCTTGAAAAAATGATCTTTGAAAAGAAAGATCCGAAATCTTCATATTTAGCTATGTTATTGACGTAGTAAAAACTTATAAAAAAAGGATCAACACCGTTGATCCGTTGATCCAAACACGAATTTCGGATACCAATCTACTATAAAAATATCAGAAAATAGACTTCAAGTTCCGTTGATTCAAATAATGTTGAAAATTAAAATAAATTGAGATGATCTCTTAGAAATTTTATTAATCAAAGAAAACTCGTTGTTTCAACCTCCAAGTCATACATAAATAGAAAATTCAAAAAAAAAAAAAAAAACCCTAAGCCAACTTGAAAAGGAAAACAAATATAAATATCAAAAATTAAGAAAAAAATTTGAAAAACAGAAAAAGTTCATTTTGAGGGTCTAAACGATCTTTTTCGGCTAAAATCACGTCTTTCCATAGCATAGCTATGACTTTGGCTAGTTGGATCTGTTTTGTAGAAGAGAAAGATCTGAAATCTTCATATTTAGCTATGTTATTGACGTAGTGGAAGCTTACAAAAAAGAAGGAGATAAACACCGTTGATTTGTTGATTTAAACACAAATTTTAGATATCGATCTATTATAAAAATATTAGAAAATAGACTTCAAGTTCCGTTGATTCAAATAATGTTGAAAATTGAAATAAATTGAGATGATCTCTTAGAAATTTTATTAATCAAAGAAAACTCGTTGTTTCAACCTCAAAGTCATACATAAATAGAAAATTCAAAAAAAAAAAAAAACCCTAAACCAACTTGAAAAGGAAAACAAATACAAATATCAAAAATTAAGAAAAAAATTTGAAAAACAGAAAAAATTCATTTTGAGGGTCTAAATGATCTTTTTCGGCTAAAATCACGTCTTTCCATAGCATAGCTATGACTTTGGCTAGTTGGACTTGTTTTGTAGAAGAGAAAGATCCGAAATCTTCATATTTAGCTATGTTATTGATGTAGCGGAAGCTTACAAAAAAAAAAGATAAACACCGTTGATTTGTTGATTTAAACACAAATTTCAGATATCGATCTATTATAAAAATATCAAAAAATAGACTTTGAGTTCCGTTGATTCAAAGGATGTCGGAAATTGAAATAAATTGAGACGATCTCTTAGAATTTTATTAATCAAAGAAAAGCTGTTGTTTCAGCCTTCAAGTCATACATAAATAGAAAATTCAAAAAAAAAAATCCCTAAACCAACTCAAATAGGAAAACAAATACAAATACTGAAAATTAAGAAAAATCTTGTAAAACAGAAAAAATTCATTTTGAGGGTCTAAACGGTCTTTTTCGGCTAAAATCACATATTTCCATAGCATAGCTAAGACTTTGGCTAGTTGGACTATTTTGCATTGAATTAGGCTCAAGAAACCTCAAAATTGGACCGACGTTTATCTTTTCAATTTTAAGTTTTACGGCCACGCTCATACCGCTTCATAAATTCTAGAATCTATTGGTTTGCATCAGTCATGCTTGGTGTGGCCACGTGTAGTGAAAATTAATTAACTTGACAAGCTGCTTAATCATTGTTAAGAAGGGGTTTAATTCTAATGAATTCCTTTTCAAGAAGCCAAGGAAAGCTCAAGACAGTGAATTAAGCTTGCATTATAGCAATTTACAAATCCCGATATTTGAGTAGGTTTGGTGGTCAAGGATGTTTGCTTCCTCTCTTGCCTTCTTGAGTTCGAACATTGGATCAAGCCAATTCTTGACAAGATAAGCTAGCTGAGACCAGTTTGGTTTTACTGATATGTCTTATTCATAGTCCCACCATCTATCTTATGGATTAAATTCATGTGTCATGCACTGTTCTTTCTGCATCATCTTCATTTTAGAGATTGGCTATTTGATTTTTATTTTTATTTTTCTACAGAATCCTACCCTACCCTGTGTGTAGTTGGTGCCCACCAACTCCCTCAGCCATTCTCCTCCCTGTCTCTTCAAGATTCCAAGTCATGCTTCATGTTTGATACGTCCAACCTTACAAATCTGTCACTACCTTCAAATTTTGACAATATTTTTAAAGCGTTGAGTTTTTGTGTTATCTTTGATGTAATCTTCATCTCCAATAGAAAATTGCAACAGCTTACAGGTCAAATCACTTCACACAGCACACAATTTCATACTTGTCTTCACTAAATTGGCCAAGCCTGCAAGCTGACACAACCAGCTTGGATTTTTCAGGTTTAAAAAATACTAAAGCCGGTGAACAGGTAGCCTCTATTTTTTTGATCCTACTCTACTGTTTTTAAGTCTCTATGAACAGGCTATATTGTAACTTGACAACAACAGAATGCATATTCTATTCATTTCCTGGACAAAAACATTCTACTGTAACAAGAGATTTTGGATTTTGTGTTTAGATTATGCTGTTTGCACTCATAAATCTCCAAATGGCTTGAAGGGTCAACGTTATTGTGAAAAATTATTAAATTTAATGGCAGATCATATATGTCCTAATTACAGAGAAATGCATTGTATGTATTCAGGAATTATATTCAGGAAAGGCTGCAGACTTTTTCAGAAAACTATAAACAATCAAGTGAAAGTCGTCCTTTTGGTTGCTTGATCGTATGTTCTACCGTACAAGTTAGTCTTGTTTCATTTAGTACTGGTTTCCACGATCCTTTTGCTTGCTGGATCCATAATAACATTACATCTTCTGCGTTAACCAATCAGATTTTTTCCACTTTCAGATAACTAATCAAACAGTGTCAGCTCATATGAACGGATCTGTATAGTATTTTTTGGCAAATTTCAACCTCATTGGAAAATGACTTGTTAAGAAAGTCAACCTGTGATTTGATAGAGAAAAGCCAGATGTGGCCCAAGAAAGTTTTAGAAGAATTCTGAATTGATAATTTATGAATGTCAAATGTTGAATATATAACTGCTCTGGCCTGGCCTGACATGGCCCTCTTATAAATAAACTTCAGAAACCTGCCTAACCACACATACAAACAACAAAACAACCTTATTCCTGATGCTCTAAAATCCATTTTTTTCCTGTCTATCAACCTCTATCTCTATCCCCACCATTTAAATCATGAGAAATAAAAATTCTCAAGTACTGTTCCTTATTTTCCTGATGGTGTTTTTAGTGCTAGTTCAAGGCACCACTTGCCGCGATACCAATGGATTTATTAGCAATGGAGGAACAGAACAAGGGTCGAAAACAAAACATTCTTCTATGTTTCTCCAAGCCCTTTCTGCCATTTTTAAGGTTTCGGAATCCAGCAATAACAAGATCAAGAAAGTTCACACGGTCTCACGCAGACTTGTTCCCTGTGGACCAAACCCTCTTCACAATTGATTGGATCAACAAAATTCCAATCTTTTCTGATCATTTGTTGATATATATATTTGGTAGAATAATGTATACATATTTTCTCTATGCATCCAGTTTTGAACACTACTAGATTAATGTTTTTCTTTTTTCTTTTTTCTTTTTTCTTTGAGTACTATATATAAACTTAATATATTTGGGCTAAATTGTAAAATAACTCCTGAACTTGCATGAAAAAAATACCCCTGAACTAAAAAAGATCTTATTTTGCTCCCTAAACAACATGATTTTTTTTTAGTTTGTCCCTTGTATTAGGATTTTATTGAAAAATTGACAAAAAAATCCTTAAAAGTCCTCTCAATTCCTCTCTTTTCTCTATTAATAAACATATTTTTCTAAGTTGGTAGAGAAAAAGATAAGAAAAGAGAAATTTTCAAAAAATTATATTGTTTAAAAGGTAAAATTAGAGCTTTTTTAGTTCGTGAGTTATTTGTTTTTTCGTTTAAGTTCAGAAGGATATTTTACGATTTAGCCTAAGATTTTAGGTTTACTGTGTAAGGTATTGCAAACTTTTTTATTCTTTTCTGTTTTATGCTGCTAGAATAATTCTGCTTTGACCAGAATTATTGATCTTTGTATTGAATTAATCATTTATGATCATAGCAAATTATACTTTGATAGTCCACTGCAACAAGATTCTCTGGAACATGAACAACTCCAGAATTTTTTTTATTTTTTATTTGTTTGTTAATCAATTGTTTGCAGCCATTATTCTTGTCCTCCTACCCTCAGTTCATGTACACAAATTACTCACATGTGGTTCTTTTTTGTCTCTTTTTTTTTTTTTTCCCTGATCGACTCCTTAAATTGTTTTCTAAAAATCAATTCTCAATTGTTTTATAAAAATCCAAGCCATTTGTTCATCGATATGTTTTTATAATAAATCATATAATAAAAAATGAAACAAAAAGAGGGGATATATCCTTACGTATGAATGGAAGTAACGCATTTTCCTCGATTTTTTTTAATAAATATTTTTTCTATTGAACTTTTTAAATATTTAATAAGCATTTTACTTGTCTATTTTATGCATTCAAAACCTTTCAAGTGGTATTTGGTTATTTTATAAAAAGTCTTACGCATATCAAAATCTTGTATAATAAATTTTTTTTATTGAAATCTTAATTTTTTTGTCTAATTTAAGAGTTCTATTGTTATATTATTGTTGTTTCGGATACTAAAGTGTCACGTAAGATGTGCAATTAGGGTTGAAAAAAGCTTAGGATCTCAATAAAAAAAAACTTCAATTATACGAGATCTCTATATGTACAAAATATATTTTAGAACAATAGATGGAAATTGCAATCACAGGAAAAATAGGTGGTGGAAAGTATAAAGTTTTCAAAACAGAGAGTGTAAAATATAATGACATCCAATGAGACAATTATAGAAAGAAAAAAAAATATGAGCTATCAAAATAAATCAATGAAAAAATAAGAGCAATTCAAGGAAATAAGAAGAGAAAATCAATGAAAAAAAAATGATTTTTTTTTTGTTTTTGATTGACTCCTTAAATTGCTCTTTTTGCTTCCATGATTTATTTTTTATGAAATACATTTGTGTCCAAATTCACACAGTGGGTGGTGACATCAGCACAAGTATAATTTAATTAAACAGCATGCACAATGACGAAATGGCTATTTTGGCTTTTCCATAGTATTAAAAAAAAATGCTAATTTTATAAGGAAATCATTTGATTTAATTGTCTTTACGTGTTTGATGTGATGCACGTTTTGGAGGCTATGTTTCAAGAAATGCCAGTTCGGTGGGAAACCGGTGGAACTTTAATTTTTATTTTTATTTTTTTTATTGAGAGGTTTATTAGACTTTAGGCTATATAATAAGAGATAATTTCTCCCTTAATAAACCAAAAATATTATGAATCGAACTTATTTTGTTAAAAAAAATTATGAAATACACAATCGTTTGACTATACTTTTAAAACAATAATAATAAAATTTGAGTTTTGACACTGCTAATTAGCGAGGCTAACGAGAGAACATGACTCATTTTATACTTCATTTTACCATAGTCATGGTTTTTATGGCTTGTTTTGTTGAGCAAATTATAAATTAGTTACTCTATTTTTTAGAAATAAGTTAATTAATTTTTTTATTTTAAATAACTATTTAGTCTTTCAATGAGTGCTTGATCATGTTTAATTTAATATTATTTTATTTTATAAATTATTATTTTTTCATATCTTTTGCTTAATTTTTTTTAAAATAAAGAATGAAAATAAATTGAACAAGAGCGAAAATGATTTAAGTTATGAAAAAATTTAAAAATTAGTATTTAAAACAAAAGAAATTAATTAAGTTATTTTTCGAAACTAGAGTAACTCGTCCACAAACAAGATAATAAAGTGGAAAAAAATGTGTTAAAATTATTATTTTTTCCTTTTTTTGCTAATCCTTTCTTAAAAAATAATTCATACAATCAAAGCTTAAAATTATGTATAGATCAATCAACTAAAAATAACTAAAAAGGTTGCTATAAAAACCTATTTTGCTTAATTTAATACTTCATTTTACCCCTTAAAAAAGCAGTCCCTCCTTCAAGCTCAAAGGCCCAAGTCCAACATCAACTCGAGTTATCCAGAACCTTATATATACACACACACACACAAAATGGGCTTGAAGACTTTCACATGTCTGATCTATTACCCAAGCCAAATGGGCGTGAAGACTTTAACATGGGCTTTCACATGTCTGATCCCTAACCCTAGCCTTGAATGGGCTGGAAGACTTTCACATGTCTGATCCCTAGCCCTAGCAAAATGGGCTTGAAGACTTTCCCTAACCCTAGCCCTGAATGGGCTTGAAGACTTTCACATGTCTGATCCCTAACCCTTGCAAAATGGGCTTCAAGGGGGTTGGATCTTGAAGCCCATTCTGCTAGGGTTAGGGTCAGACATGTGAAAGTCTTCAAGCCCATTTTGAAGCTTCTTGCAATCTTGCTGGTGATAGGCTTAGATACCAAACCCAAAACTCCTGGTTTAGGCAAATGGGGTGTTAGATCATCTGACCAGACCAAATATTGCGAATGGATAAGATGAGTAAATTATAAATTATTCCCTATAGTTTAAATAAAAAATTATTAGCCCCTCTTGTTTCAAAAACCTACCACTTAGTCTTTTCTGTACATTTTATGCTCCTTTCCAACGTTTTTATTTTAAAAAATAGAAATAATAGAAATAATAGAGAGATTGATGAGAAAATAAATTATGTTTAATATAGAATAATATTAAATTAAGATGGTCAACACTAGTCATGGGACTGAATAATCAATTTTTGAAATAAAGATGACTAATAAATTTTTTTCTTAAAAATATAGGGACTAATTTATAGTTAACTCTGGATAAGATTAATGGGTAATACTTCCAACAAACAAATCCAAGAAAACCATAGAGTTGTACCACGTTGCAAGAACCATGAGATTCCCAAATCCAAATCGGGAGAGCAAAAGTAGAAAAAAAGTCCACTGAGCAAAAGTACTCCAAGAACATCACTTTACTGGATCTAATTATAACTCAATCCCTATAGTTTGTAAAACGGATTAATTACTCCTTATACTATAAAAGATAATCAAATAATTACCTGATCGCGTTGACCATACTTAATTTAGTAATTTTACCTTCTCTCCTAGTCAAAATTTTTTCATCTTATCTATTTCTCTCTCTCTCACTTTTTTTTTTTGTTGATTTTATAAAAAAATCAAAACAAAATAATAATTGGTAAAATATCAAGTTATAAATAGAGTTTAAAAAATATATATGAATTAATTATATACTTTATAAAACCATGAAAACTAATTAATTTATTTGTTTAAAATAACACGATTAATTTATAATTAACTCTGTAATAAAAATGTGTTAATTGTTGCCTCGCATTGAAAAAGTGGAATAGTCTTCTTCTTTTTTTCTTTTAAAGAAAGGTTAGGTTCTCGAATGTAATTAGTTCTTTTAATCTTAATAACTAATTAATTAGTCTCTATATTTTAAAATCTATTTATAATTTAATTATTTTTTTCAAGTTATTTTTCTTTTTTTAATAAATAGAAACAGAAAAAAATATGAAAAGTTGATGAGAAAATAAGATTTTATTTGGAACAAAATAATATCTAATTAACCATAGTCAACACAGGTCAAGCAACTAATTAATTAATTAATACTTAAAACAAAAAATATTATATAATTCATTATACAAAACTATAGGGACTAATTTATAATTTAACAACCTTTAGCCGCAGAATCAATCAATTACATGACACCTACTGAGACATTTAACTGTACATCTAGTCCTCTTAGTCTACTATCATCCAACATCCGCCCAACTTCGTTCCTCTTCTTCAATCATGTTTTTTGACTAAGTGTTTGCGTTCATGTGGTGGAATATTAGCCAATCTTTATTTATTTTTTTTCCTCTTTAAATAGCTTTATCCGATTCTTTTTAAAACTTTTTCCTCCCAAAAACTGCATTTTGCTTAGAAATACAAATATTTTTGCTTTTTGTAAAATAAAAATTGATGTAAAAATACCTAAATTCTTGTCAAAATAACAAAATGATGTATGATTAACGGTCATAATAAAAAATATATCAAATTAAACATGTTTTAAAATTTTTTAAATCATATTATTTTTACGTCAATATTCTAACATCGTAAGTAAATTTCTTTTCAATTGGATTTTCGTTTAATACTTATTAAATTCTAATTCGAGATGATAAAAATTCAATTTTCCATAAAATGTTTCTTAATCCAAATTGGAAAAAAAAACTCATAAAACCGTGATGATAAAAGAGATACCAAGTCAAACATGTTCAAAAAATTTAATTATCATCTTATTTTTACGTTAATTTTCTAATATCGTAACTAATTTTTTTCCCTCTCGAATCTTATATTTAATACTTATTAAATTCAAACCCCAGATGATAACGTGAGAAACTGAAGTTTTAGTACTTAATGCAACACATCAAGACTAGTTAAGGTACCATAGACAGTATTTTTCGATTTTGGTGGGAGGGACAAGTTTTATGCTCATGTTGTGTGGTCAAATAGGAGCACAAGAAGCTTGGCAACACGTGGGATCTTTTACACTCTCATTTTGTCCTAATTTTTCCCATGTCTTCCTTCTTTTGAAGACCCTTGACTCACGAAAACATAAGAAAGAACAGGTATTTATTTAGTACAGGAAAAAGGGTGGTGGTTGTGGATTTTTCAGTTGGCGGTGGTCACTGCCGGAAAAAAGACAACGGTGGCGGAGATGGGGGACCCTAAGACCGATGACTGGTTACCAGAAGGCTGGAGGGTAGACGTTAAAGTGAGAAATAATGGTAAAAAAGATAAGGTAATTGGTTGGTAACTGTTTAATTATGTTTTTAGTGCTTGTTAATTCAAGATTTAGTCTTGGCGTGTTGGTTTATGTTGTTTTAGAGGTGTAGCTCTGTGTAAAGCTAAGATCTTTGCTTTTTTGTTGCTGAAGAAATGACCCTTTTGGTTTTGTTGTCTCTTGTTTTTGGATCTCTGGGGTTTTTGGGTTTTGTCGGTGAGCTTTGTGCAGAAGTAATAGAAGTGAATTTATGTTTGTCTTTTTAATTTTTGTTGAGGTAAGTTGATTTTTAGCTGATGCAGTAATTTGTGGTGTTTAGTACTGTGTAAGAATGGAGAGTTTGAGTTAAGTTTAGATAGTATTAGATGCTTGCCCATTGGCTGTACTTCTAGAAATTGGTGCGTAAAATTTTGTGAATGAAAGATTCAAACTTGAGCTATGTTAAGTTGCGACAAGGACAAGTTCAGCAAAGTGGAGTTCTTTTGTGTTGTTGGATTGTGATACCATGAAGCATTACAGAAATTAGTTTTCGTGTTGTGACATGAAAATGGTCATTAAACTTTCCGAAAGTAACTATTTGTTAATCCTATTAGATAGGGCCTTAGAGCAATAGCCATTTTCCATGGCTTCCTTTTGCTCCCTTGAGTGGAAACTAGAGAGTATGTAACCCAAGCTTGCGTTTTTTTTTGGAAAGCCATTTACAATGAATAGTATAAGTTTGAACATTTTAATTGTTCGGTTTTACTAAAGATATTTGTTTGATTGCATCATACTATGTAAGAGTATAGAGCATGTGGAAGCCCTCAAAATGATTTCTGGATCCAGTTGGAAAAGACTTGCTATTGTTTTGCTTAATCCTCCTATATTCGCTACTCCATGTTATTGAATCAGGAGGGTATTCTCTAGAGTAATGCTAAAAGTCTTTGGGTTGCAGTATCTTGACTGGGTAATGGTTTTCTATTTGCTAACAAGTGCCACTTGGCATAGTGTTCTTATGCGAGCTTTCTTCGCCTCGTATTTAATGTAGGCATGGCCATGTCTTTCAAAAAAATGAATCTGCTTGGCTTTGATTAGCAGTTGAAAGTTGAATGCGGCAGTACAAAGATGTTTAATGGAGTAATAACTTTAAATCGTCTTTCAGCTGAAAATCTTATCTTTAATCATTGTATTTATTGCAGTTTTACTTTCCTCCCTCGGGTGGATTCAGATTCAACTCCAAGATTGAAGTATCTCGCTATCTCAACAGCAGCCTTCCAAATTCTGAAGAAAAGGAAGGAAGCAATGATCGGCGGTCCTCAAACAAGGTCTGAGGAAGCAAGCTGCTCTTTTGGATGCCTTTTTTCTTTCTGTGTTTTCTTGGTTATGTTATCAATTTATAGGAGAAAGTTTTAACGATCAAGCAATCCAGGTTGTAATCGAGAAGACTATACCAGAAGGGTTACCTCCAGGATGGACCAAGGAAATCAAAGTAACAAAGAAGGGCGGCAGAATTAGAAGAGATCCGGTATGCAACCCATGCTTCCTGTTATGGCAAAACTTCTTGATGAGCTTCTTAGTCCTCAATATGAACATTATCCTTTATCCAATTTGCTCGATCTTGTTTCTATAAATACTTGCTTGTCGCTTTAACTTCTATTTGCAAACTATTCGTGCTCTAAAGTTAATGAGTTACTAATGCAGCTCAGCCTTACAGATTCATATAGTATTTAACTTAACCTTATTTTCTGCAGTTTTACATTGATCCTGTTAGCAGATTTGTTTTCCGCTCCATGAAGGATGCACGTCGCTACATTGAAAGTGGTGTGGTAGGAAGGCTGGCATTCAAGCGAAATGACAGAGACAACAATGGTGTAGAGTTGAAAGATGATGAAACCTGCGTGGGTGCATCAATAACTGGCTTCTATTCTCAGATCTTTATATATTCAATTAATCAGATATTTCCTTTAATTGCACTCTCCGACCTTTTCATTGTCTAGTTTTATCAAACATTTCAAAAAAAATTTCATTAGTTTGGTCAATCTCTCTTTTGGTCAGTTCAGTCCTAGGATGGCCTGTCTATAGATTGAAATTTGTCAAAATGTCCGATCAGTGTTGACCAACCAGAATAAAGAAAATAGACGCAACCTTAATTGGACCCTTGGAATGGTAACGCAAGTTTAATTTATTTACTTGTCTTGACACCTATTTAACAATCATTCCTCCTCTCCAAAATTTGACAATTCTTTTGGAACGTGAGTTAGGCAATCTCATCTAACTCTATTATCTTCTTTCAACGTGTAAATATTTTATTGGAATTAGAAATGCCTTACCCTTCCCCATTTTCTTTTTTATGACTGATGAGTCAAGAAAGCTATTAGCACCAACCTTTTGCCTCTGACAGTAGATTGCTCTTTTGGAGTCTTAACTGCTGGTCCAAGTAGCTCCAACCCTTTCATATCCTTGTATGTCTAAATAGTGGCATAAAAACAGAAAACAATCTCACCATTAATTGATCCACCTTTGCTAGCCTCTAAAACTTATTGTGCTTCTATAGTGTGAAAATGTATTAGCTTTCCGGTAACCCCAATATTTCCATCCTTTATATGTTCAGTCATTTGCAAAGCAAGAGGAAGATTTTAGTGTTGTCTCACATTTTGAAGGTTGAGGAGTTGAGTGACCACTTAAGCACCATTTCTTGCCTAAAAAAATTGAGTATTCTTTTAAAAAGTAAGATGGTCTGCGACAGTTTTGTGCTTCTGCTTTCTAGTTTGAAAAAACCCACCCTGTATGCTCTTACTTCTAAAACTGACACTAAGAACAACACTTACACAAAATACTCTGTTGTGCAAGACATCTTGCACAAATTGGTGCTTGGCCAACTTTATTTTCTGCTCGTACCTTAATTGGAATGCCAATTGAACTATTGATTGGATTAGATTTTGTAATCTTCAATTTGTTGACTTCTATGAGTATGTTTTCCTTTTCTGTCTTGTAGGTGCCAGCTCTTGCTGAGAAACAAGATTTGGAAATCAATGAAGCACCAAGTCCAATTATAGGTGACCAGAGCTTGAAGCCATGTGAAATTGCTAAAGATGAGCAGATACTTAATTCAGCCTCTACAGTAGAGTGCATAACGGGCTCTGAGCATACTTCTGATCAGTGTGTGTCTATAGCAAAGAAAGAAAACTTGGAAGTCAGTAGAACACCAACTCCAATTATAAGCAGCCAGAGCTTGAAATCATGCGAAATAGCTAAAGATGAACAGACACTTAGTTTGGCCTCTGCAGGAAAATGCACGACTATCTCTTCTTCTTCTGATCAGTGTGTCTCTGCAGCCAAGAAACAAAAATTGGAAGTCAATGGAATGCCAAGTCCAATTATAAGTGACGAGACCTTGAAGTCGTGTGTGATTGATTCAGCCTCTACGAGAGACCAGACCTTGAAGTTGTGCGTCCTTGATTCAGCCTCTACAAGAGAATGCACAACTGTCTCTGAGCTTACTTCTGATCAGTGTGTGTCTGTAGCTAAGAAACAAAAATTGGTTGTCAACGGAACACCAAGTTCAAATATAAGTGACCAGAGCTTTAAGTCCTGTGAAATTGCTAAGAATGAACAGATATTTAATTCAGCCTCTACAGGAGAATGTTCAACTGTCTCCAAGCATACTTCTACTCAGTGTATGTTCATAAATCTGCTATCCTCTTACGAAGCAAAATGTTTGTGTAGTTGCTTTCTTTCTATTCTTTATCCTTCTTGCTTTTTTGTCTTTGCTTCTTTCTATAAAGAGGTGAGTGTAGGGAGATGGAAGGGGAGGAGGAGGTTGGGAAAACAGTTCTACTTACGAGTACTTAATAGTTAGTTGCGAGAGGGGTTGGATTTGTAATTTGATGAATTTCCATAGGGCATGTAATTGCTACAGATATCCTGAGTGGTGTTTGTTGTCTGGATTTCTGGGAGTTATTTATCTGAATCTGCATATTAAAACCTTGCATTTGTTCAGTATTGAGTTTTCTTAATGATGCAGGCGGAGTGGGAACTGAAGCAAGCAGCTCAGAATTTCCTGAGGTTAAGGGTTCGAACCAAACAGAAGAGAAGTGTGATTCTGCTAAGACTTCATTTGTTGAAGATCCTTCACGAGGTGTTCTACAGGATAAACTATCATTGGAAGTTGAGGAGACAAGAAAGGAAAGTAAAAAGGCCGGAGTAAGAAAATACAAGAAGAAAAATGATCTTAACCTTCCTCGTCGGGCCTCAAAGCGACTTGCTGGCATTCCACTAGCTCCAACACCAGAACTGAAGTTAACAACCCGAGTTCGTCGAGCTGCACTTGAACCGAATAATGAGATAGTTGCTAGTACAAGTGAGCAGGCATCCTGTGGTGAGCTAGATACTGAGCTGAACACAAAGAATGCATTTGGCACCTCCAAAAGCACAGAAATGCCAGTGGAATCAAATGAGAGTAAGCATGCTATTGTCGATATGGAGCATGCTGGAAAGGCAGGATCAGGAAAGGAGGGGGAAGAGAAGCATGAATGTGCTGTTGTTTCCCCTCCTGGGAACCTCTCTATTGCTGAACATTCTGAAAAGATTGAAACCGCCAATAACGGTGAAGAGAAGCCAGGACTGCCTTTCGACCTGCCACTTGAGGAGTTATGGCAAGACCCATGCATTGCCTTTGCAATAAAAACTCTCACCGAAACATCTGTTGATGATTCTGATAGTATTAAAGTGTCATCAGGATCGAGCAATAATGAATTTGTGGGCATGGCTGCTTTGGATGAGCATGCTGGCAAGGAAGACATTGGGAATAATGGAAATCTCTTTAGTCCAGAAGAGCATGCTAGAGGGGTTGAAACTAGCAACAAAGCTGATGAGAAGCCAGCACCTCCCCTCGAGTTGCCTTTTGCTGATGCATGGTCAGACCCCTGCATCGAATTTGCAATAAAAACTCTGACAGGTGACATTCCACTGGACTTCGATATGGTCCAGGATTACCTTCCACAGCAAGTTGGCTCTTCGCAACAGCAGGAAAGTAGTTGCTTCACCTTGCCAAATGTAGGTGATTTTTGCCAAACTGAAATTTTATGCCAGCAATTCGGCACTTCAGAGAAGCCTTCGTTTAATCAAGCACCTTGGGTAGGGCCTGCATTGCCGCACGCTAAACATGTTAATTTAGGTTACTCAGCCGGACCTAGTCGACGCCAAGCTAGTGAAGAGAGAAGCAATAAACGTCGAAGATAAGCAGTCCCCTCGTTGTGATTCAACTGTACAGGTTTTAGGGAACTTTTCTGGATGTGATTAATACTTTTCAGTGCAAGATCATCCAAAGTTCTTTTGTTAGTTGTGCCAATTCACCCTTGTGTTAACGTAGTTGTTAATCAACTTGTAACTCGATAACTGTTGTAACTGTAAGAAACTTTCCAGTGTAGTTGTCCAACGTGGGATTGTTGTTGCTTGTACTTCATCTTAGCATTCAAATAGTGTCTTACATTGATGCAGAACCACTGCTCTTATCTTAGCACCTGATCTTGTAAGAAATAAAGTTTGCCTTTTGAGTTGGCTCACGTCAAAATAGATGGGATTGTACACTTCTTGTTGAGAAGCTCCTAAAGTATCCATGTTAGGGCTCCTAGACTAGATGAAACGAAGTCATGAAAAAAGATTTTGAACAGAACATAAGATGATAAAGAAAAGGAGCAACTGTTGCAATGGAGCAGAGAACATTTAGATTCCTCATATATTCATACCAACGAAGAAAATATTAATGAGTCTTGTTCACTGTGAGTTCATTCGCATGAATTATGTAAGGGCTAAATGTGTCAAACTATTTTTTGAACTTTATTCTATTTGAAAGAACTTTTAATTTTAGTTTTGACTTTGGCTAAGCTTTTTTTTCAAAAAAAATTAGTTTATTTTTTATTTATTTTATTTTTTATCAAAAATAACAATCACATAAATACTCTCGTAATGAAAATTATTCAATAAGATTTATTTAAAACCCCAAAAATTCTAGAGTCATGAGTTATTTTTTATTTTTTTCGTTTTTAATTTTCAAAAAATATAAAAAAATATTTTTCGACTTTAAAAAATTCAAGGATTTTTTAAGGAAATAAATTGAATTTTTCCCAATATATGTGCAAAATATCAATTCAAATTCAAAATATTAAAATTTGAATTTTTTTTCAAAATACTAACTGAAAATTATAAAATGAATTAAAATAAAAAAATTCAACAGAAATCAATCTCGAAATTAAAAGTTCAAAAACTAATTTTTAAATAAATTAAAATTCAGAAATGTTTTTGCCTTTTTTTCAAAACAAATATTAATCACCTAAATCAGATTGAAATTGCATTATCACTCATACTTATCAATTAGGGTTAAATTCTAAGACTGGTTGGTCTTTCTATAATGGGATTAGAAAAGTAACTTTTGTGGCCATTTTGTGGCAAAAACTACGAGAGAGACAAATGAAAAATATATACAACCTCAGATGTCAATAAGTAAATGAAAAGAAGAAGAAAAAAAAAAGGGAAAAAGAACCGCGAAAACCCATCCAACTTGCCGCCAATTCGTCGCCCCCAATTTCTTTTTGTTGCCCACAACTCGTTTGATAAAATTTATCACAGCGAAAAAGAACCCAAACTTAAAGCAAAAACAAGAAAATGCAAATCCGAGTGAAGTGTAGCTGTGGAGCAGAGAAATGTCCAGAATGGGCAGTAGTTGAATTACAAGGCACAGTTGAACTTAATGCTTCATTTCAAACCCACCTTCAAAATCTCCAAATTGGCCAGCTTTGCAGACTTTCCTCTACTTCTCAGGTTCACATTGAGAACCCTTCAATTTTTCAGCAAAGTTTGTGTCTTTTCACTTTCTTTTGATTCAACAAGTGATTTTATGTCTGGGTTCTTTTTTTTTTTTTTTTTTGTGCAAGAATCAAAACAGTTTGAATCTTTTTTTTTTTTTATCAGTAATTGATTTTGTGATATGGGGTTTTGTTGTTTTGGTGCAGGAAAGCTACACTTTCACTGTTGGGTATCATGAATTGACAGGGTCTAAAGTGACCTTGAAGAAGCCATTGTTGGTTTTGAAGAAAGTTAAAGGCTTTATGGATGTGGATCAGAATGATGACAACAACAAGAAGGATGACTTACCGTCGTCTAAGGTTGAATTGGATGTTATTGGGATAATCAGACATAAGATTTTGTTTAAGACAAGACCCAAGGCATTAATATCCAGTAAGTTAATCTATGAACACGTTGCTGTTTTATGTTTTGCTGCCTTTTTCTGTTTGAAAAGGGAAGTGGGGGTGGTTTGAATGTGTAAAAGGGTGCTTGTTATTACATTTATATGGCCTTTGGAGTTTGGACTGTTACTTTTATTGCAATTGAAATCATGTGCCTAATCAGAGGTGGCTTTGTGTGATTCCAATGGAAAGGGGAATAGTAGAGTACTTACTAGTCATGGTCACCACCATTAATGATCATAGTATTTGAGCATCTTTGATGTTTGCCTATGCTGAATGCTTGTTAAGTTTACTGGAGTCTGATGCAAGACTCAGAATCTGGTTGAGAGGGTACTGAGCTATGAGTTATTTCATTCTTAAGAAATTTCTACTTGCTTTTAGCTTCTTTTAGAGGCACCCATTTCTTTTCTGTATTTCCTGTTGGCCAAAGAACTAGTTGTATTAGCAGTCTTTCTTATTGTCAAAACGATAACCTATGTTTGATCGATCAAAGTCTTGCCTCTCAGAATTCGATTTTAATGCTACCATTTTGCTTGTTCTTTTTGTCCTACAGAAGCATAACTATAAAAAACCATCTGGCATGTGTTTCCAATAAACTGAAATTGCCAGTAAAAATAATTTATCTTCTAGATTGAAAAATAATAATAAGAAAAAAAGACCAACGAGGAACAGAAGTCTAAGAATAAGTTAGAGTTGCTGCTGAGTTCTTCTTTAGGCTCCTTGGAATTTGGTTAGTAGCCTTGATGAGCTGATGAGTAGCTAGAAATTTGGCCTATATGTTTGATGTGGCTGATTTGGGGTAATGAGAGTGAATCACTGTATTTATCGGAATGGTTGTTTCGAAGAAAATTATCATCTGAGATTCTGAATTATATTTGATGTGCCTCCTCTGCCTGAATGAGAATATCTGCCGAGATGTTGGTAAACAATTTACTGTACTGCTCATTTTGTTGATATCTGTTTTGTTCTTTTGCTTTTGCCCCTTTTTTTGCAACTTATTGCGTGGTTGTTCTATCTTAAAGGATCTCTTTCATCTTCATATAACTACTCCACTGCACCAAGTTGACATTTCTTCTTCCTCTTTTTTTCTTTCTTTCCTCTCAGAACCACAGCCATTGGTGAAGGAAAGAACCAGAGCTGCAGTTCATACTGTTCCAAACTAGCTGGGAATATGCAAGCATACATGACCATTTGCAGACCTCGTCAAGTTGAAACAAGACGCTGTTTTGGTTAACTGTGTAATCGTCCATGAAAAAAACTAGCTTAGAATGTAGATTTATATCCTTTATAGCTTATTCGCAAGTCTTTTCTATCAGGATCAGACTCTGAATTGGCTGATATATGATTGTAACCTTGCATCTGAATATCAATTCATAATTTTTCGGCATTGTAAGACATTCTTGAGGTGGATTTTCTGTGAATATAATATCCCTCTGGCTTACAAGCAGTACGGGAATATCATGAAAATACTCTTGGCTGGTGGCACACCCTTGTTTTTTTTCAAATTCCAGGAGCTTGCTGGCCTTGAAAACTACGGCCAGATTTCAATGCCATTGATTTTCTTTGAACTCAGTTCACTACCGTTGTTCTTGATAGCGAAGAGAATTCTTTTATTAATACCTTGGCTAAAAATTGAGCAGAACTGTGAAAGATATTGCTAAGCTGTGATATGCTATTCATTTGGGAGTCCATAATGCTGACCTTATCTCATTGATTAATGGCTGATTCGTTTAAATAAAACAAAAAGGAAAAGAATCTAGCCGGTCCTGCACACCATTAGTTGGCTATTAACTATTGCATTTCTGTTTCTTGTTGCCGTTCTCTTGTAAACTTTATGTTGCTCTCATCATGAAAAATCAAGAGAAGCTCCTTGGCATTGAATAGAACAAGGTAATAAGGAGCGCACATTCTATAAACTTGTATCTCTCAAAAACATCTTGTGAGTCTCAAACTGATGAACAATAATTAGAATTCTTTGATAAAATGGGAACAGACAATACCTGGGACTCCTCTAATATAGTTAAATGAGGGCATTAATGCACCTAAGCAACTTTTAAAATTTGGCAGTAAAAACGTTTCGACAGGCAAATACAGTAACATATTGCACCAGCAACCTTGGTCGCTTCTCAGCAGATATGGAGTGTCCTCCCTCTCTCGATTTGCTCCATTGCAGTACAGGAGTAGAAATAAAGCATCTTCTGAAGATTTAGCAGTCAAAACACAAGGCAGCGAGCATAAGTAAGAAGGCTGTGCTGGGGCAGGGGAGGTTGAAAAATGGATTGACTTCGTCATGTAGAATCAAATTTAACCTGTTTATTTACACTGCTACCAAAAAAGGGCAAACCGACAGAGTCTCTAAGCACCAGGGCCTGTTACACCTGCACGAGCTCTTAACATCTCAGTTCTCTTGCTTCGTTCCATTACCTCCATGAGCCATTCTACACTTTCTTTGATCCCCATCCTGCAATCAAATATCAATCTGTGATGTGGCGTTTGGATGCTGAGATTGGTTGTCAGATTTCAACTTATTATTTTCCTGCCTCCATTGTTCAGAAAGAAATGGACCTGAAGTTCTAGCATCTGCTTACCCATCATATGCTGAAACAGCTTCAAACATGTAAACCCTTTCATCCAACTTCTTAAGGTCTAGATATCGAGCAAGTTCTTCTGACGATGCAGCATCAGGAAGATCCTGCCATTAAATTGATGTCTAAGAAACAAAAACTTTCATTTTACTTAATTATATGCAAGATCAACAAGCAACACAATGCATGTTCTTTGCACCAATAGAGGCACAGTTGGTCATACCTGCTTGTTTGCTAATATCAAGAGAGGGGCTCCCTGCATATCATCATGCCTAAGAACTTTTTCTGTTAAAACAAGTTGAAGGCATTAATGCATCATTCTATTAACAATAGTAAGCTCTTCACTGCTGCTAAAACTGTGGCCACATCATACAGCAGCATATTTTTTCCCAATTTAACAATAGAATGTCACTTACCCAACGCAGATTTTGCATCTTCAAAACGTGATGGGCAAGCAGAGTCGATTACATAAATCACAGCATGTGCCTCTTCATAATATTTCTCCCAAATTGAGCGAAGACCAGGCTGACAAGAGAAGTGTGTAAAAGATGCTTCAAACATTGAGCATGTTGAATATAGAGTGTTATACATCACATAAAACCGAAAACCAAGGAGTAAAATCACCAATCTATTTGAAGTCTCATGTTATGTACGGCCCGTTTCACATAACAGCTATAATAACAACTAGAGAGAGCTTATGCATAATTTTCTTTTGCTTTTAATTTACAACAATAAGCATGGCATGACATATAACATGTAGTATTTTTATGTTACGCGAGACAGGATTTAAAATCTGATTCAAAGCCTGCTGTTCAGCAGAGCACCTCCATTACAATGGAATTGGCACAACCACAACATAGAAAAAAACACTTAAGCCTTGCCAAGTATAAGAAAATCCCAACTATGTAGATTTTAGATAGTTTCAGAAAGTCAATAATTTTTTATTAACTTCACATACCTGACCTCCTAGATCCCAAAACACCAGTTTTGAATTTGTCACTTCAATACGACCAATATTAAGTCCAACAGTCGGAACAATTCGATCAGGAGGGAGGCCTTCCAAGTTCGAGTATACTGACTTCAATTTCTCCAGCAACGTCTGCCGATTCACAAACAAACCATTGACAATAAGTGAACTTTCTGGCTGCTATAAATAAGTTAAAGAGATGACAATTCTGTAAAGCTTGTGATGAATTAAACTATGGAGGTAAAAAAGAGGCATTACCGTCTTCCCAGCCTTGTCAATCCCAAGAATGAGCACATGAAACTCTGTCTTACTAAATATATACTTCCAAAGGCCATAAAACAGCGAGAACATCTCTGTGTTGTCTAATCTTATCAATCAGTTGTTCCTTCTAACATTCAAGTCTCAAAGGAACAAACTTCACAATTCTAATAGATTCCTCTCCTGCTCGTTAATTAACAATCCTGAAAAACCAAGAGAAACAATCCACATTACAGAGAATTCCAACTCAATCTGCTTTACCCGTGATGCTGTTTCCATTTGTGTATTCATTAAATATTTGATTTAGGTTTCTAACAACCCTAAAAGTTATGCAACACACACTCAAATATCACCATTGACAAACACGAAATTCAGCAGACAATTAATCTTTCCATTAACCACTCTCCATTTCCTCATACTGGCCACTAACACTCCACCAATGTCTTCTCATTACATATCACAAAAACTAGCAATCAAATCAAATCACATTCCTTTTCTCTTTGTATTACATCACTGAAAATCTTAACTTCCATCTTCAAAAACCATAAAGATAGATCAAAATCACGATCTAGATTTGAAAATTCTAATCAGCAACTGAATTACAAGTAAATCTCAAGATCCCATCTCAAAAACCATCAAAGTAAAAGCCACTCACAATCAAAATCGAACACAAGCTTGAAAATTGAGAGAAACCAATTTGTTTTTTTAACTTTGAAAATCACAAAAACTAAAACCCAGATCAAAAAGTATATGATCATGTCCAGGTCCTATATTATTCAGGAAAAGAAAGCAAAAAAAATAAATATGTTATGGAAAAAATCAAAAGGCACATACATGTAAAAGTAATGAATCTTACAGTTTCGCTATAACTGAAAGAGAGAATAATAATAAAGAGTAGTAGTAGCTGTTGCTCCTCTTCTCTTGCTCAAATCTTCATATGATTTCAGGGGGCTTCTTTCTTTCTTTCTTTCTTTCTTTCTTAAGCTAGCAAAATCTGTGTGTTTTTGCTTTTTTTATATTTTCTTGTTTTTCCTCTTCCTTTAATCATCAATTTTTTAAGTTTTTATTAGAGTAAATTATAAATTAGTTACTCTAATTTTGAGAAATAAATAAATAATTTTTTAAAACAAATTAATTATTTAATCTTTTGTTGACCACACTTACTTTTATATTATTTTATTAAAAATATTGTCACCGTTCTTTTCATCATATTTATTTTTATTTATTTTTTATCAAATAAAAAACAAATTAAACAAGAATAAAAAAAAATGAAAACAAAGATTAAATTAGTTAGTTTTTACAGCGAGAGAAACTAATTAATAATTTAACAAAATTATAGGGACTAGTTTATAATTTACTCATTTTTATTAGGCAATTTATTTATATATTCAGATCTTCTTCTTTTTTTATTTTGTATTTTACATTTTTTCTGTCTTGCCTTAGAAGTTGGGACAATTTGGACTTTTCTCAGATTGCTCCTTCGTGGGCTTCCTTAGTCATTTTAGGTCATGTTTGGATGGTCTCAAGGAGGGATCAACAAATGGATAGAAAGTATTGAGATCCGTTTACTTTGTAGATTTGGTCATATCCAAGTCCACTTTAGGTGGTATTTGATGGAAGATTAAAAAATAAAAGTTAATTATTATATAAATAATTATTACAAAACAGTTTTAAAGGAGTGGTTGGTACGAGGTTAGAGAATAGAGATGAATTGTTACACAAGTAATTATTGCAAGAGTAATTTTTAATAATGTAAAAATTCATTTTTAAGGATGTTTGGTTTATTCATAAATTAAGGGTTAAACGTTAGAAAAAAGAGACAAAGATGATTAAATTATTAATAATAATTGGTGATAGATAATTAAAAATTAATTTAAATTGGAGACAAAAAAGATATTGCTTCAAGGGTATTTTATCCTCAAAAACATCAATTTAGGATACTAAGTACTCAAAAAAAGCTTAAATTTTATATAAAATTTAGGTTATTATCAAATATCCTCTAAAAATGTAACATAAATTGTCTCGCATTAAATATTGATAGAAAATAAGAGGAGATAATTAAATTATTAGTAATGGTTGTTAAGATATAAATAAAAACTATTTGGTGTGCAATTTTTTTTAAAAAAAAGACAAATAACAATAATAATAATAATAATAATTGTTTGGAACGTAAATTTACCCTCCAAAACACCAAGTAACCACCAATAACCCCTATAAAATGTCATCTAAAAAATTGATTTCATAAATTTTATTTTTATCATTAAATGTCGATAATAAAATTTTATTATTGATGATCAATAATAAGAAATCATCCTTGACAAAACAAAATGCTTCACCTTAATAAGAAAACGAGAAACACCCTTTTTTAACCTTTTTTTTTAATTATCAGAATATTTTAGATTAACTTTGAATTATTATTATTATTATTATTATTTTGCGATCGAGCTTTAAACGGACCATATATACCCGAATTGATGCAATCGTAATAAATTTACCTTCTTACGTCCTCTTATTGGATCCGAACATCTTAACTATCCGAAAGGGCAATCCCAAGCACACCGTTAAGGATAAGAAAGGGTAGTCTTGGAAACAAAAAGAGAGTAAACAAAGGTAAAAGCCAAAGCGCGCAACCTAAAAATTTATAGCAAAACAAAATCAGCAGAGCATTTCACGAACAGGTACCGATCTCTCTATCTATCGTTTCCTTATCATTTAATTATTATTATCAATTTATTATTTTTCAATGATTTTCTTAATTATTTATTGATTACCATTGAATTTGCACAAAATCAAGCATAATTTTTACCTTTTTTCCAAACCCAGAAAGAAAATTCAATTTTTTTTTTTGTTTATTTTTTAATTTTAGTGATCTGTTTTAGCGTTTAAGTTCATTTTTTTCTCCGATTCTATCAAGAATTTAACAAAGTACTTTGTCTTGTTGAATCAGGTCAATCTGCAGCTGTTAAAAGCCACCAAAGAGATGAAGTAATTTTCAGCTTCCTTTTGTTCGTATTCTTGCATGCTAGTATTCTTAATGATCTTGAAAAAACAAAAAATGGGTTTTCTTTTCTTTAATCATCTGGGGATGTTTTTATTATGATTGTAATACCAGGAATGATCATGTTCTTATTTAAAGAAAATTGGGTGTTGTGTTTTCTACTTAATGATGATGGAATGCAGTTTGTGGGATTTTTTTTTATATAGTGTACTATTAAAGGGAATGCAGTTTGTGGGAGTTTTTTTATATAGTGTATTATTAAAGGCGTGTTCTTTGTAAATTGATTAATTTTGAATGCTCGAGCGAGAAATTGGGTTTTCTTGTTTGGCTTTTTCTCAAGGGTTTATGTTTTTTCGCAGTGTAGATTACATGTATATGTTTTATTTAGTTGTGAGTTGTTGTAATGTTTGTCTTCGTGTTGTTCATATTTATAGGGATGATAACAGGGCAAGAGTAAAATGGGATGAGGATAATCTGGGGGAAATCGAAGCAAACAAGCCTGTGAGGCAGAAAATCACTGAACCCAAGACCCCGTATCACCCAATGATTGATGTTGATGATGGTATTATTGATTTCTCTCTTCTTTGCAATACCCCAAAATGTATTTACTTGTATTTGGATGCGAATCAATAGAACAGTAGTGTTTCACTGGTGTTATCTCAAGAGTACATATGTTGGAGTCACGTCTTTAACTCTTTATGAGTTGAATTTTTGTCCAGTGTCTCCCAAATTTTGGCTCAAGTTTTCTTTTTCATTACTGGATTCTGCATAAAGCTTTTTCACTGAATTTGCTGCTTTAAAAGATTGGATAAAATTCACTATTTGCGCTTTGATTTTATTTTCGGCAAAATTATGCCATCTTCCTAGACACTAACTGAAGGTTCTCTGCTTTAATTTTTTTTTTTTTTTTTGGGTTCTTATTGTAGATTCTCTGTCTCCAAGGAGGAGTGTCTTTAACGAGGTTGTTGAGGATGCAATGAGTGCAGAAGAACTGCGAAATGCATTGGATAGCATGGCTTCCTCAAGTAGAAACACACGATCTAGTGGCTGGACATCATCTGACGATGAGGTTGATCGTATGGAACAAGATGAAGAAGGTCCTTCCTTACATCTTTGCTCTTAAGTTTTAAGTTTTTTTTTTTGAAAAAAAAAAATTAAATTTGTGGATTGTATAGACAACAATTCAATCTTCAAATCAACATTGTATTATTGCATTCACCATTGTACTGGCATGCCATTATCCAGTTTCAATCCCATCAAAGTGGGATTCTGAGAGAGAATTTGGAGAAGTCCTATTCTTCTGCATTTTTGCATGAAGTGACTGCTCCAAATGCTTTGACCCTGCTCTCATGTGGTTGCAAATTGAGAAGCATTGCATTAATCATCTTTATCACGTGTATTATTTTCATGGGAAGGGATCTGTAAAGAAAGAGAAGGCATCGGCTGCTTTTTGGTCTAATTTTCCTCATATTTTTTCAGATTTATAAGGTTTGAGATTCCATAAATTGTCTCGTTAGAAAGAAAGGTTTGAGATTCCATAAATTGTCTCGTTAGAAAGAAAGGAATGGATATCTAGTTCACATATGACCACACGAGCCCTCTTTGATTAGGATTTCACCATCACCGTTGTATATGACCATTATTTCTTTCAAAGGTTATATATCCCGATTCTTGTGCTTGTGGGTAGGGTTGTTTGCATATACCTCTTGTGTGTAATTTTTTCATCCTTTTGGCTATGTCATCTCTGCAAGTGCCCCCTTTGCTAAAGATTACCTAGATCTCTTCATGCAGCAAATGAGGCAAGAGCAATTCCTGTCTCCCTGTATTTTCTTTTCTTTCTTTCCCTCTTTTTTTTTTTTTTAATGTATTTTTAATTGTTTTAGATTTATTGCTTCATTTCCTAGCATGATTTTGATGGAGTTTCTTTGTTCTCTATTGTCAGATTCTGAAACAGATAGGAGTTCAAGTTTTAGGGAGCTCAGACGAGCACATTATGACGAGTTCCTGAAAGTGAAACAACTAAGGCGGGAGGGTTCTTTCTTAGAGGATGAAGATGATGAAGAAAATGGTGATGAGAAGGAGAGCACTTCATCATTAACCGCGGGTGTGAGAGATATAGAGATTGAAGAAGGTATAGAGATTGAAGAAGGTACTGAAACTTCCCATCAAAATTCTTCAACTCCAGTTAATGGGGCTCAGAGGCCATAAAACCAAGTTGACACTTGAGAATCTGACTGTTTAGAGGCACACTTTCGTGTTATTTTATAACAAAACAAGATGTATCTTTTCTTCTCTCGAAAAAGAAGAAAAAAGCGAAAACCTTACCTGATTTGTATGTTTTCAAGTGTGATTTTACTTGCAATTTGTAAATAGATTTTGTGCCTTACATTGTCCAATGTCATGAGACAAAACTTCTTTGTTGCAGCCATACTCATGCTCTCCTCCAATGGAAAATAAACACGTGTCTTCTTTTATGGATAATTGAATCTCTCCTTTAGCTGTTGGTGATGATTTTACTTGAGTTCATACTATCTTGTAAAGTGCTTAGGATGATGAGGTCAACCGACCATTTTTGTGCTGTCTATGGGAAAGTCAAAGTTTTGTCCTAACCCCTTTTATGGGGTAACTTTACATGACATTGCGTTTCTATATATTATTACGAGATGATAAGTAAAGATTGCAAGAAACAAAGTTTCATGACTGAAATTTCAGTAAGGGAATACTGAAAGTAACCTATAGTAACGTTAGGTCCCTTGTTAGGGCACTTTTTTTTTTTTTATTCAAAGAAGAGCCCTAGTTCTAGATTGAAAATTAACTGTTAGAGAATCTTAAAAATGCTATTTCACATGTATCCTGAAGGATTTTGCTACAGTCATCAGCTGTATGAGAAAGATATCACAGCTGAGAAAGATAAGTGATATCCAGATTTAAGGAAAAAATATATGATGCTAACCTATCCGTTAATCTATTCGCTTCTCTGTAATAGCAGGTTGGACAGTGTATGATACTGACCTTACCGACCTATCCGTCAAGCTATTCGCTTCTGTGTAATAGCAGGTTGGACAGTATAGGGATAAGGGATGTGCTTGTCGTGACAACTGGAAGCTGCCTATGGGTTGTCCATTTACCTTACTCTGTCCACTTCCTCACTTAACCTAGTCCACACTTTCCTGATAGATGTCCGTTTTCATATGTAAACAAGAATCAAAACTCAAAAGACGAAACAAACAGCTGAGACCAATGGAGACCGAAGCCCCTTCAGTGTCCTCTCTAGCCTCACAAATATGCAGTCACATAGCCTCCATCTTTGCCAAACCCACAGACCCCCACCGACCCCCCTTGGACCTCATGATCGCTACTCTCACTTCCACCGCAGCCCAAAATGGTGTTGTCTTCCTGTATGGGGTTGGTAGGGAGGGCCTGATGCTCAAGGCTCTATGCATGAGGCTGGCTCACCTTGGCATCTCTACCCACTTTGTCTTCGACATGACAACCCCACCAATCACTTCAAACGACCTCCTCATAGCCTCCGCCGGACCCGGAGGATTCTCTACTGTTGATGCTTTATGTTCACTCGCAAGATCTCATGGTGCCACAGTGTTGCTGTTGACTGCTCAGCCTGAGACAGGATCCTGTGTGAAGCATGCCAGTGTAGTTTGTTATGTGCCAGCGCAGACCATGGCTGATGATAAGGGTGATGGTGGGGAGATGAAATCCAGGCCTTTAATGCCTATGGGAAGTGTTTATGAGGGGGGCTTGTTTGTGTTGTTTGAGATGGTTGTTTACAGGTTAGGTGAGGCTTTAGGACAGAGCCCTGAGGCCATTCGATCTCGCCATACCAATCTTGAATGAGAAAAATGGTATGATTCTTGCTTTTTTTAATGGGAAATTGTGTGTTTGGGATCTAATGTTTTGTAAATTAAGAAATTATAGGAGAATGAATGTTCTAGGAGAAAACAAGTAGATCCTTTGCTTTCCTTATTTCCGTTTTCGAGTCCTTTATGCATGCCTTTTGTCTCTCTTTGTTTTGTGACTGCTAGTTTGTATTTGGAACATAAGAAGAAGAGCTAAGAACCCTTTAGTTTATTCAGCAAAACATTACAACCATACAAGTGAAAGGCAAAAAAAAACAAAAAAAGATCTTATTTTCTTGGATTGCACCTGCCTTGAAAGGAAGATAATGAACCAGTCATGATCTTCGCTTACTCAGTGATAACAACAGGGACACTCTGCAATACTATAGCCTCCGGGGTTAGACCAGGTCCCAACCCAATTAGAACACCAAGCTTCAATCCCTCCCCAGTAGTGGCCTTTCCTTCCTTGACAGATCTCTTCCTCATCTCATCAAGTACAAATAATACACAAGAACTTGCTAAATTCCCATACTCACTCAGTACGTGCCTAGTAACACCAAGTTTCTCTTCTTTCAACCCTAGTTTTTCTTCTATCCCATCAAGAATTGCCCGCCCACCTGGATGTACAGCCCAAAATAGCGAGTTCCAATCACTTGAACCACCGCCAGTTGGGGTAAAAACTTCCTGTAGAGCCACCTCAATGTTATCAGATATCAGTTCAGGCACATCCTGTGATAAATGGATCAATAGCCCCATTTCGCGTAAATGCCCTTCGACTGCATGCTCCGAGTCGGGAATCGTAATCTGTGCTGCAGAAACAAGTTGAAATATTGGCTTTTCTATTAACGAATCAGGATCTGAGCCTACGATTGCTGCTCCTGCTCCATCACCGAAAAGTGCTTGCCCGACGAGGCACTCCAACTGAGCTTCATTTGGAGCATGAAAAGTCATCGCTGTAATTTCAGAGCACACGACAAGAACTCGAGCACCGGCATTGTTTTCGGCGAGATCCTTGGCAACTCGGAGAACAGGCCCGCCCCCGTAGCAGCCTAGTTGATGCAGCATCAGCCTTTTGACAGATGATGAGAGGCCGAGCAGCTTGGCTAGTTGATAGTCTGCACCAGGCATGTGTACACCTGAAGTTGCGCAAAATACTAGGTGTGTGATCTTTGAGATATGCTGCCCCCATTCTTGGATAGCTTTCATGGCTGCTTCCTTTCCAAGCTTGGGTGCCTCTGCAAGTACTATATCCTGACGTACATTAAGAGAAGGAGCCATTTAGGTACCAATTTCAGGGTTTTCTTTGATCATTTCTTCCGTCAGATGCATGTAACGTTTCTTGATCTTTGATTTTTGACCTGTTAGGAAAATTACACAGAAGCAAAACACAACAGAAATGATCTTTGATCGTTGATCAATGTCAAATGCAATAAAATGCCAGCAGAAAATTATTTATGTGCTTCTTACATATGCGCTCGAACTTCTCTTTTAGCTCAGTTAAGTTCTCGGTGTTGGTGACTCGAAAGAAGTAATCAGGATAGTCAGCCTGGTAGAAACAATTTACAGGAACTGCAGTGCCAATGGCTAGAACCATTGCTGGACCTCGAGCGCGCTGCGCTTTCTGAACTTCCTCCGCCGATGCCATTGCCATGAGCTAAGTATTTCGTTGAAGTAAAGTTTCTAAATTTCAGCTCAAGATGGCTGCAATTCTTGGGCATCGAGAAGTCTCTTATATAATGCATGTACGACAGAACGTACCGACAGTTTAAGTCCTTGAAAGGATCCTAAAAAGATGTATGACATAATTTACCCTTAAACTATTAGAATTACGAGAAAATAAAGTCTATATTATCAATTTAGATTATATAGACCTCAAATTATTAATTTTTAGACTCTTTTTTTTTTTTTTTTTTTTTAAGTGTGATGGTCAGAGTGTTGAGTGTTATTTTTTAGAATTAAAATTAATTTTTTTATATAAAAAATCAAAATACCATTTGTACAAATAAGAATCCACTTCATTATATGATTTCTTCTTACAGATAAATATAGCCAGTATCTACGAGACAATTACTTGAAAATATATTTTGGACAACCACCCTTCCTATCTAATAGAAAAGGATATCGTAATGCTGAATCGATGTTACCTAGGTCCCAGGATTGCAAATTCCATGTTTGTGAAGAGCTAATGGAATTATATTAGTGTTTATAATTGATTTCTTCAGTATAACACTAATCGATAGGACGTCATTGATAAATGCTATAAAATCTCGAACATTGGAACTCATGTTTACGAACCCAAATCTCTTGTCATTTTAAGTATTATACATTTTTTTTTTAGAATTTAAATTAATTTAAAAAATATTTAATAATAATTAGCTTTAAGAAAGTTGAGATGATTTTATTGTTTATGCATCTCATTTTTATTATTGGATAATTAATGAAGTGTAATAAATCCATCTACTGAAAAATAGAATTATTTTTTCAAAAGTAATTTAATCATAATTAAAAAAAGACCTAAAAGGATGTCGTTGTAATCATTTTACTTAATAGTTAATACTTTTATCGTCAAATATAATAAAAAAAATATTAAATTTGTTCAAAATTTAATAATTTGAGGTTCAAATAATCTAAATTAATAATATAAGTTTTATTTTTTCATAACCCTAACAGTGTAAGGATAAATTGTGTCATTAAACCATCTTAAAAAGTATAAACAGGATAGGGTGGAATTTGTCCTCGGAAGAATTAGAAACAACATTCATAAACCTCTTATAGTTGGCAACCCTAATTTTAGGCTGTTTTACACCCTATTGCTTAATAGCCAAAGCATGATCAATACAACATGTCAAAGACTTGTGGAAATTAAAGTTTATAGCATGAAACCACTCCTATTCCTACTAGTTGTGATTATATCTAATTTAAAACTCTTGACTCTTAATTGATAATTTTCTAGTTGATTTACTCAGATCAAGATTATTATATGATTTATGAGAATTTTACTTCTCAAAACCTATTAGAAAATTAAATTACTTGCATTCTTAACTATTAAACTTCTCGATTCTTAACCGATACAACATGAAACATTACCTCTATATTAAATCACCTTCTATCTAAAAAAATCCCTTCGCATTATATCAAAAATAATATTTAGGGTTTTTTTTTTTTTTTGGAAAATAGCTTTGATCATATATGATGGTTAAGATATATCACTAATTATAAATTATGATAAATAAAATTCAAACTCTCAATCTCATGAATAAATATTTTAGGGTTTTGCACATATCAAGATCCTGTATAATTTAAATTTTTTCGATTGAGTATAGTTGGCAACTCTAGTTTTAGGTTGCCTTACACCCTATTGCTTGATGACCAAAATATAATCAATAAAACATGTCAAAAACTTATGGAAATTAAAGTTTATAGCATGAAACCACTCCTACGCCTATTAGTTGTGGAATATACAATCCTTTTAAGACAAATGGAAATTAGCAACTTGTCTAGCTTTATATTCACACTAAGAATCGACCAAAAATTATATGATGAACCTAGTGATTATATCTAATTTAAACCCCTTGACTCTTAATCGATATGATATGAATTTATATTCAAGTAATATTTTCTGGTTAATTAATCAATTTACTAGCTCGTATGAAGATTATTATATGATTTATGATAATTTTACTTCTCAAAACCTGTTAGAAAATTAAATTACTTGCATTCTTAGCTATTAAACTTCTCTATTATTAACCAATACGACATGAAACATAACGTTTATATTAAATCACTTTTTTATTTGAAATTATTTTTTTTTCAAAAAAAGCTATGATCATATATGATGATTTGCATATATGACTAATTATCAATTAAATAAATAAAATTCAAACTCTCAATCTCATGAATAAATATTTTAAGGTTTTGTATATATCGAAATCCTATATAATTCGAATTTTTTTTATTAAGACCTTAAGTTTTTCTTCTATCCAATTTAAAAATCTTACTCTTATATTGTTGTTGTTTTAGATCCTAACGTACTATGTAAACTCATGTTGCGAGTTCTAATCAATGACGAGCTTACCACATGTTATAATGAATTCAAATTGAATAATTAAGTTAATAACGTAATAAGTTATCATTAACTAATATTTAAAATAATAATAATATAAGAGTAGAACTCTTAAATTAAATTAAAAAAAATTAGGATCTCCATAAAAAATCTGAATCATACAGTGTAAAACCCAAATATTATATATACACCAATTCATCATAGGCAGTTCTAGAACTTGTTGGACTCCTAACGAAAAGAAAAACCAGTATAGCATGCATATTCTTGGAAGAAGGTCACAAGTGTAAATTAGAAGAGAGAGCAAGGTCATAACATAAACACAAACAAAAAAAATCAAACCCATATCAGGATATCAGGATAACAGCCAGCAGACTCCCATGAGATTTTTTTTCCTGTTATACTTTCTCATTCATGGAAGGATTCGTTCTTGTCTCCAAAATATCTTTCTTTTTCGGCTCCGAAACTTTTATCTTATGTACCAAAGCCCTCAGATATTTTCACCTTCGTGCTCCACCTATTCCACCTGCTTGAGTACACTAAAAGCAAGTATACTCTCTTTTTCAAAAATGTACTATTGATATATCAAGTTTATATTATCATTCAATCGAGTATATGAATTTTAATATTTTTATTTGAGCACATCAAGTTAAAGAGTTTATATAATTTAAAAATATTTTTATGTAAAATATTATTTTGAGTGGAACTTAAAAACGTAACCGTGTTTTCATTTCCATTCACAGATTTTTATACCAATATAAATTTTCACTAAATATTCAAAATTTAATATATATATATATATATATATATAACATGAATCTCACTTTTTTCAATAAAAAATGAATGATAAAAAAATATTAAGAAAGAAAAACAATAATTGAAATGTGTCTTCTATGTTATTGAAATTATAACTATATAATTTTTAAGAATCACCTTATATATCAAGATGAGATCGAATTTTATATCTAATTAAAAACACGTTTCAAACATGAAGATTATTAAATATAGAAAAACTACATCTTCATGATATGAATTATTTATCCACAAATTGATAAAACAGGTACAAGAATGTATTTAAACATCTAAAATCTCTAACCACATGATATGTGTTTTATTAAATTTATTAGGATTTAAATATCATCTATAAGTCGAAAGAAACTCACCATTTATTCGAGTAGATTATAAATTAGTTTCTCTAGTTTTTCAAAACTAATTAAATAATTTTTTATTTTTAAAAAACTAATTGATTAGTTTTAATATTTTTAAATCTATCTATAATTTAATCCTTTTTATTTTTAATTTATTTTAATATTTAGCTTTAAGAAATAGGAAAAGAAAAATATAAATAAATAATACGAAAGGATTGATAAGAAAAAAATATTTTTTAAAAAAAATAATATCAACTTAATCATATTCACAATGGTCAAAGGACTTATTAATTATTCTTTAAAACAAGAGCCACTATTTAATTTATTTTTTAAAACTAGGAGTACTAATTTATAATTTACGTGCTATTTCTTTGAATTCTTATAAGGCCCAAAAAAAAACATTTGAAATACACGTCTCCATTTAGGAAAGCGAGTACCGACTTTGAATACTCTCACGTCAACAAGCCTAAACACAGCGAGAAATCTGAAAGAATAAACGACCACCCTATATAACGTGCTCTATATGTTTAGGCATGAAACCATAGACGAGACCCCAAAAATCCCTTGGAAATTTCGACAACAGCAAGAAAAAAAGCGTCACCCACAAATCTTTGTCCCGGCCGGTGATCCCAACGAGCTGACTTTTCCGGTAGCATGGACCCTAACATGCCCAACAACAAAACTGAACGGCACTGGACAAATGAGAGCCACCTACACTACTTGAAATCAATGGAGGCATCGTTTGTCCGTACAATGTTTGAAAACAATGGCCCTGTCCTCCGTCTAGACCGGTACATGCCGGACAGTTCAGAGTCAACCCTTGATTTGAAATCACAGAGAAGGAAGAAACACGGCAGTCCCTCCCCAGGTAAATTATATATATATATATATAGAACAACATGATCTTCTATGGTTTGTTATGTGCACCTGGGGTGCATTTTAGTAATTACCCTTCTGTGGATTTTAAGGTTCTTGATCAATGTTAATCATGGTTTGTTTGTTTAGTTTAAGTACTAATGGTGTAACCTTGACTTTCTTGTTAAGGATATATTTATCGTTGATCAAGCATGTTTTGTATGATTTCATGTTGTAATTGTGTTAGAAAATGAGATTTGCTTAATGAATTATAATTAGAAAGATGAATACTTGGATTTAATTTTATATCTTAATTAATGATGGAATGCAACCAATTGAGAAAGAGAAATTGCAAAGATTATTATTATTATTATTTTTTTTTTTTGAGTGTGGCAAATAGAGGATTTTTAACATTGATGAAGAAAAATACCATGTGGGATTAGATTAAACCGATAAAAATTGTTTGGTTTGTGTAAAACTCGATCGATAAGATATTTTGTTTCGGAAAAAAGGAAATTTCGGTTGGTTGAAGGAGAGAAAAAGGGAAGATTTTTATGAGGATGTGAGAGATATTATTTGAAGTTCTAGAAAGAGTGTTGATCATGGAAAAGGAGGTTTGACAATTGGTCCAAAACAAGAAAAATGTATCGAATATGCCCTTTTTAAAGATATTTGTTGGGATTATTGTTGATTCAGGGTAATTGATTATTACTTTAATTATGCTCTTTTTCTGCACTTTGTCTAAAGTTAATTATATTCTATACTTATATCTTGGCAGTAGATATTTTTGGTCCGTCGAGAACAAGAATGGAGGGTAGAGTTGACAAGAGATCGACAAGGAGATTTTCATCCCACCATAAGCACTATGATCCTTCACAAGATCAGGTATTTGGGGTCACACAAAGTTATTAACATGTTCTTCTTCTTAAATAAAGATCAGACTTTGAGGGTTTGATCATGATCGGATGGATAGAAATGATTTTACCTTGACCCCACTCAAGGTTGATGTTTTTATGATGATCACGCTGATGGGTTATTTCTGTCCCCACAGGTGGTCCCACAGCTCGAAAACGCAGCTAGTGATAAAGATGACAGAGACCTTCCTAACGTAGCAATTGCACCACCCATGACACCTGCCAACTGAAGGGGGAAAAAAGAAAAGAAAAGAAAAGATTCTTCTTGTAGTAGCGGCCGGCCTCTTTTATTTTCTATGTTATCGTACTTCATTTTTCATTTTTTTTTATTTTTTTTGTGGCTAGTAGTAGTTTGATGTAATATTAGGGTAGAATTAATGCATGATTTGTGGACATTATCATGGTAATTAGTGTACCTAGCCACTGATAAGATTAGGATCATTTCGTTGTATGATTAGCTAGTAAAACGGTTGCATCATTTATACATATAATTATGGGTGTATCAATATCCTCCACAACTTATAGGATTATGACAAATTTCTTGAATTTCTTTTTTTTCGGGAGTTTGGTGATCGATGGATTTCTCATTCGTGAATGCAAAGATATTTTATGTGTTTGGGGTAAGATTTTTTATTGTTTTTTTTTTTTTTAATTCATCAAGGTTCTAATGGAACTATTGAGCTATAAAATAAAGATAGTCCTTTTTATTACATAATTATTAAATAAATTGTAATCATTAATTGGAATTATTGAGCTATAAAACAAAGATAGCTCTTTTTATTACATAATTATTAAATAAATTATATTCATCAAATTAACTGAATATATAATCGTTAAGTTAAGTTTTTTCATATATTTTTTGTTATTATTTTAATTTTATATGTTTATATGTTTTTTTTCTATTGTGTTTATATATATATATATATATATATATATATATATATGAGGTTTGATAAAACTATTGAGCTATACAATAAAGATATTCATTTTTATTATATAATCATCAAATAAATTATAATCATCAAATTACTTGGACATACAATTGTTAAGTCTGTTTGCATATTTTTTTGTTGTTATTTTAATTATATGTGTTTGCATGTTTCTTTCCTTATGGTTGTTTTTAATAGATACAAACACATTTGTATGGTAAACGACGGGGTGTATATATATATATATACACACACATATACTTGTACGGTAAACGACGGGGAGAGGAGATAAAGGGGGATGGAGACAGGAGACAAGGAGAAGGATATCAATCTTTGATATCTTATTCCAACCTTATCTTCATGATAGAGTTGGTTGCTTAATCTTTTCACGAAATAATGCACGTCAAGCTCGCTAGTTTCGAGTGTCGAACTATGGTTGAGAGTTGGGAACATTGCACCTTGCTAGTTTGCTTGAGTCCTTAGCTAGTTTTTCCATCACATCAAGTAATTGCATGTGTTAGGTTTGTGTGCATGTCTTGAGGGAAGCAAATCAAGTGGCTAATTTCATGGGCAAATTAGCCAGGCAAATAGAAGATGGTGATCTTACTTGCATGGGCTTAGCTCTTTTAGCTTGTCTATATATGTATGTATCTTGAGTTGTTATTGAGTTTTCAGCGAGGCATGCCCTCCATGGCTCCATCAAAAGAACAATGATAGAGGTGGAAGAAAGCATGCTCTTTCCATGCGTTTACTTGGATCGAAAATCACCCATTTGCTAGCTTGGCACCGAAGGATACCTTTCTTTTGCAACAAGTAGCATTTCAAAAATTAAGTATTGATCAAGTAAAGAATGCATAAATGGATAAACACGTACGTGCTCTAGGAAAAAAGGTTCAAAAGGCTAGCTACTTCCTACTTTGGGGTGGAAAGAAATGAAGGATGGCATGATCATGGAGTTAGATATTTTTGTTGGAATAAATAGTTTTAGGGCTTTTTTTTTTAATCTTTTAGGATATTTTAAATCTAAAAATACAAACTAATCTTTCACTGTTATGTCGAAAGCATAAGACGAAGAAAAATAGAAAAAATTTATCTTGAAGTTAATCACTCATTTGCTAGCTTGGCACCGAAGGATACCTTTCGTTTGCAATAAGTAGCATTTCAAAAGTTAAGTATTGATCAAGCAAAGAATGGATAAATGGATAAACACTTGCTCTATGAAAGGAACTTCAAAAGGGCTAGTACTTGAGGTGGAAAGAAATGGAGGATGGCATGATCATGGAGTTAGATATTTTTGGAGGAGTACATAGTTATACGCCTTTTGATTTGTCATATAACTTGTGTGGATTAAAAACTTGCATGCTTTGGCAATCTAATGATTGTGTGAACTGAATAATGAATGTTTGGTAAATTATCCTAACTAAAAATGTTGACTAGCTAGCACTACGATATGTAGCTGGTGGTTTAATGCGTGTATATATTATAGGTACCTTCAAGGGGGAAAAAAATAATGATAGTAGAGGTTTCTACCTACTCTTTTTATTTTTTATTTTTATTGTCTCTTTATTCTTTATCTCGTATTAAATTTATCTCTTTACGTTTAGGTTTCTATCTAAATCTTGTCTTTTTATTAATTTTTAAACTAACGATATTACAATTTTTTTTTTTGTCTTAATCTCATTTCTCTACTCAATTTTTTTTTGTCTTAATATTTTTTTATACTAAATTTAAATAAAAAAATTAAAAAAAAAATTGGAGAAAAGGTGAAGATGAAATTATTATTTTTTATCCAAAATATCATTTACGAGCTTAAAGTTGTCTTTATGACAGTTAAAAGAATGAATATAAAATGAAATATTTATAGTATTTTTTAAAATGTGAAGCAAAATTTTAGTATAAAAATAAAATATTTATATTTTAAAAAAATTGTGAAGTGATTTTTAGTTAAATTTTCAAATATTTTTATCTCGTATTTATAATTTCCTAATATCTCAAACGAGTGTATTATAATTTACTTATTTTAATTTTCTTAATTTCTTAATTTTACTCAAAAGTTGGAATATAAATTTTTTTTAGTGTTTAAAAAATACTATAAATATTTTTTTTATAAAATAATTAAGGGCAAACCACATGTAAGAGCCATACATACATATATATTAGTTGTAAATCAATTAAGGACTTGATATTTTAATTTTTTTTATGATGGTTTTGTAACTTTAAAAATTTTAATTTTTTTTAATTTTGAATTTTGGTTTTGCCATTTAGTGATTGGGTAGCCGTTTTGTTATTTTTTATTTTAAGAAATTAAAAAAAAAGTGAAAAATAGGAAGGATTGATGGGGAAAAAAAGATATATTTTTAGATAAAATAATATTAAATTAATTTTTTCAACACTGATGAAATAATTGATTAATATTTTTTTAGACCGTCTAAATCGTTTTGTAAAACTAATAATACTAATTTATAATTTACTCTATTTTTTATGCAATCAAAATTTGTGAATTCAGGAGGGTAACGGCCTTTCGAGCATCTGAGCCCATTGAAGATGGGCATCTCTTTAAACAAATAAGTCCACATTCGCCTTCTAGCCTTCTAGGGCCCATCTGGCTAAGTCCAGGTTGCATTAGAAGAATCCTTCTCTCTTATTTATTATTATTATTATTACAATTTGTTTCTCTTTGTTTTCCATGTTTTATTTTTATATATATATTTATAAATAGTGAGATATTTGAAAATTAATTTTTATATCGATCAAGAATAAATTTATCATTTTTTAAATTAAGCTAGCATCATTTCACATTTAACATTTTATCAATTTTAAAAACTAAAATTTTTTAATTTATCAATAGTCCATATCTAATATCATAAAAAATAAAATAAAATAAAAATAATAGAAAAGTTTTTTAAATGTGAAAGTCTAACCCTTGATTTTATTAATAATTTTTTTTTCACCATTTCACCCACAACCTTCGTTATTTCCTTGTTGTTTTATAATAGGACCTGCTTTATTAATTTATATTGTTATTTTTTTGTATTATTGACCAGCATGTGCATGATGTGAAAAAAAATATATGCAATTACTGTTCGTATTAAACTTCCAAAAATATAATTGATATTATCAACCATATTGAGATAGGTTGTAAGAAAAATAATTTACTGCCAATACACCAATTTAAAAATAAATAGTTTATTTAAAATCTAACTAAAAGAAAGTTAGCTTAATATTTAAAAAATGGATTGAGAATACCTTGATGTTTAAAAAAAAAAAAAAACCTAATTTTTTTTTAACTAAATCTTAAATTCAGTATCTATTTAATAAAATTTAATATTTTAAATACATAAGGTAGTTGCATGTTTAAAATTATCCAAAAGAAATTAGTCTGAAAACATACAAAGTGGTAAAAACTTCCCTTACCCAAAAAAAAAAAAAAAAACATTAGAATTAACAAGAACATCCATATTTTCCATTTTTTAATAAATAAAATTGAAACATATGTTTTTCAATCAAACTAATCGGTGAAAAAAAGAAAAAAAGGAGCAAACTTTGCCAAAAATCAAGCAAATAAGATGAAGACACCTCATCTTCGTATGTCCCCTTCTTCAGATGATGAAAGCAAAAGCTAGGCGTTGCCAAGACAAGCGCTTCACAGCATCCAAACTGCCCTAAACAAACACCAGAAAACAGCTTTGACATCTTCGCCAAATCTCCCAACAAAAGCTTCCATTTTTCCTTAAAACTCACTCACACTTTCTTTAACCTTAAAAAAAAAAAAAAAACGACATGCTTCTCCAATTCTTTCAGACATACAAGATTCCAATACTCCAAGCCGCACTATCGATCTTACTTTCATTGCTTCTCACATTCCTTAAAGTTCCAATCTTTTTCCTACATGGCCTTTTCACTTATATCCAACCAGAAAATCTTGGCCAACAAAATGGTGGTGGTAGTGGCATCAAAGCGGCTATTAGAAGACCATCTAGTTCAGATTCAAGTTCTGGGCTTGATGGGTATAAAAATTTGTCTTCGAAAACTAATAATGCTGAAGTCAAAAGGAGAAATTTTAAATCCAAAGAGAAGTTTGAGTTTGATGAAAATAAAGCTCAGATCTTCAGATTGAAGCTTGATCAAGATCACCTTCAAACTAGACTCTATTTCGGTGATTATTGGTATTCTTTTGTATACTCATTTGTGGCCCTTTCTTGTTTCTTGCTTTATGAGTACTTCGGTGGGGGCCCTGGGGGAAAGATTATGGGGTTTTGGTTAATGGGTCTTTGATTCCTGTGATTTTAGCATGTTTTGTATTGTGTAAAGTGTTTGTTTCGTTAGCGAAAGTTTCTTTTGAGAAATCTGCATCTAAGAGGTCTGAGAAGCAATTGAGTTTGATTTTTGGTGTTTTGGGGTTTGTTTTTGGGCTTGTAATTTGCTCTGGGATTGCAAGTTCTGTTTTTGACTTTGATTTTGGTTCTGTTGATGGGTTTGGGAGGGTTTTTGTTGCTGTTGTAATGGGGTGTTTTGCGGGGTTTTTGTACATGCCTGGTGGCAAGAATGCAAGGTCATTTTGGATTGGAACGGATCAGATTCGATCTAATTTGGCAATGATTTATTGTGGATGGTTTGGTAGAATGATTTTGTATGCCAATTATTTGTTGGGGTTTTTCACGGCACTGCTTTGGATTAATCCATTCGCTCAAGTTCTTTATAGCAAGAACGTAAATTATAGTTATGGAATGCATTCGAATGGTAGTATTGGAGAAGCTGAGATGTTAGTTGGGAACGTGGGATTTACAGAATCAGATTTCAATAAGTTTAGGCTCTGGTGCTTGCTGCTTTCGGGGATCTTCCAAATTTTGGCTCTGAGGCCAAATGTGCAAATGCATTTGAATGAAGCTTTGTTGTCTTGGTACCAAAGGTTACATGCTAGCAAAGTTCCGGATTTGGATTTTAGTAGAGCCAAAGTTTTTCTGCACAATCACTACTTATGTCTTGTAGTTTTGCAGTTTTTAGCCACACCAATACTGATACTTCTGTTCTTTAGCTTATCTCAGATTGATGGTGACTCATTTAAGAAATTCCATTTGTGGTGTGGTTTCATACCTTGCACTGCTTTTGTCAAGGAAGTTACTTTGTTTATGGCTTGGTGGATTGTCTTTGTCTGGGCAGCTTTCACTTCAGCAAGCCTTTTCTTTTACCGTCGTGGCACTTTGTATGTTTCTTGATGACTTTCATTCTTTGTGATGGTTTTCAATGCTTGGTCCTGGACTTCAATTTGTCTAATTTTGAGTGAAGAGGGTTTCTTTTTTGTAACAGATTCTTGCTCTCTTTACTATTTGATAGAATGCAATACACAGGAACAATTTTCGGACATCTTGTTCCTTTTTTTAATCTCCTCCATGTATCCATTTTTATTCTTTGAACATTTTTTTCCTTCAAATGGAAAGCTAAATGGGCTTTGGGCAACACAGTGGGGTAGCCTTATCCTGTTATCCCTTCCATTTATGATGCGAGTACCAAGTGGTATTTGATCCTATGGCATTTTGTATGACTAACTGATTTTATCAGCTAAGTTGCTATCTAGCATCCAGATCTCCTCAATGTACGTAGTTTGTTTTTCTTTTGGGAGGCTTAAATCTCTGGATGATATTATTGATGAGAAAGATCTGATACATCAACCGGAGCCAGTCACAAAACTGATGGGATTCGGATTGGAAAAGCTGTCTAGCCTAGCATATCTAGCTAACTTAGATAAATGATGGGAAACTGAATTACATTCCCTGGGATTATGAGTGGAAGTGAGTTCTGGAGAGCTTCACCAAGGTCTAGAAGATCATCAACAAGCTGCCCGAAGTAGGAGAATCCCTTTCTCTCTTCTGTACTCCATGCGTTGATTGTCGGAAATCTGTCTCCAAGTAGACGTAAGTGAGACCATGCTGCTGGGCAAGAGTACATTTCTATGCAGTTGGTTACTTTGATAACTTACTGAAATTTATTTTAGTGTATAAGTTGGGAAAAATTACTATGTTTGAATTTACTTTTTTTAGCTTCAAGTCTTTCACTCATAATCCGTGATTATTCAAATCTCCGTCTGTGCATATTGCTATATTTTGTTAGTTGTTGCGCTTAAACAAACTCACCTTTGCCTGCTTAACTTCTCTATGTCTATGGATATCCATTCAGAAACTAAAAGAAGAGGGTTAGTTCTTTATTTCCTTGCTGCAACGCTGTATTGTGTTGAAAGGACTCCATTTTTGAAGGATTAAAGATTTGGAATTTATATCTGTGGAAAGCACCTTCATATATTCTTCGGTGAATCTGCTGAACGGTGAGTCTCGATACTTCTCTGTTGTGATTGCCAGAGTTTATGTTTCAAAATTACTATGATTATTATTCTTCATTAAATCTCTGAGAAGTTGAAAATTTGAAACCAAGCCTCCAGACACATGTTTTTATACAACTTCGCATGAAATTTGATGTTTCACCTCTTGAACTTGTGACAATACATGTGACTGCAACATATTGAGTTTTCAGTGGTGGATTGTTTATTACTTATTATGTAACTTGGCTTGCTGCTGCCTATTTATGGAATTGATAGGGCAAAATGAGGGGTTTTCGAAAGAGGTAAGTTGGCATCTGTTGCCAAATGGTTCAATCTTGTTCTCAAGAGTTGATGCATAGTTGTTTTAGTGACCTACCGTGTCCTAACCAGCCTTTGGATCCATAAATTGCCCCAGTCATATAAGTATCTGAAGGGAGGAGCCATAGTTGCAGTGAGGCATTGCCTTATCCAGATCAGTTTTGGTATTGTGGTCAAGTGTGGTTGGAAATGCTAAAAGCATCAACTTGATGCTTTTTCAACAACTGCACTTTCAACCATATTACCAAAGGCAAACAGAGTCAATGATGGTTTTGAGAAGGTACATTTTCACCCCCATCTCTAGCCTAAAACCCATGGTTAAATTGCGGCTGCTTTGAAAAAACAATTGCGATTACGATTACAGGTCGCTATTTACAGGTCGCTATTTATTGTGATAGTAAAATAATGGTTACGATGATTAGTGTCGTAAATACATTTGTAACTGTTAATAAATTTATTTTAATTCATATATTGTTAGCAGTTTTGCTAAGTATACGAATAACATCTCATGAGCAGGCTGTAAAGTATAAATGCTGAAATTTTAGTTTTTGAGTTTTCTTCAGTACAAAGTATTTATATGATCGCGTTACATGACGATAACAACACGATAACGTTGTTAGTCATTGTTATTAATGTGAAATGGTAATGAAATTTCTATAAAGTTGAATGACTATAATATGAAATGGTAATGAAATTTCTATAACGTTAAATAACGATAAAGTAACACCCGTTATTTGAATTTATACTACAATTAGAAGACTCTTGAGTTCCACCAAATAAAGATGCTCATAAGGAGATAATTAGGGTTAAAAATATGAACCATTAGAAAGAGGTAAGATTATTTATCTCATTAATTGTAGCATGTGCTTCCTATCTTGCACTTTTTTGTTGATATCTTCCTCAGGAAAGTGACTTCTCACAACATTTTGCAAAGAAAAGGTTGTCTGATGGGATAATTACTTAAAAAAACTTTGGGGTATTCATGGTCCAAAACTTTCCATCTAATAGGGGACCAAAAAGGAATGTTTGGATGAAAAAGATTCCTCTTCTTGAATTCAGGAAACAGCCCATCAAATTTTGGCCCTTCTCATAAAATGAAAAGGGAAGGATAAAAAATGACCGTTGGAGACACAATCAGGCACAAAAGTTGGCCCTTTTGTCAAGTTTGTGGATCATACCATATCACTGAATTTATAAATTGCTATCTGCCAAAAACTTAGCTGCCAAGTTGTTTCTTTTGGACATACCAAAAACATGGCTGCCGACGTTTTATTGTAGTTGACAATAAGGTTGTTTGATGCCCTAAGAGACCATTACAAGATAAGCATTTAGTAACTTCATAGAATTAGGTTAATGCATTTTATCTAAAAACATGACCTGAAAGAAATTTAGTTCCAATGCATAAGAGTTTTGGAATGCAAATGATTAAATGGTTTGCGTAAAGACATGATCGAAAAAGAATTTAGTTTCAATACATAACAGCTTTCGAATATAAATTATCTGTTTAAAATACGATTAGATATAAATTTAATTTCGATGAATACAAACTGAATGATTAGATGTGAATATTGTTTCTTTTTCAATGATAGTATAGAGCTTTATTTGGTTTTATTTAATAACTTATTGAATATCGAGTAAATTATAAAGTAATTTGTTTTACAAAACTAGAGGGATTAATTTATAATTTACTCAAAAATGGATCAAGGTTTGCTCTTGGTGGCAATAAGTTGATAGGGTGGAGTCCTTTCTTGTATTTATTATTATTATTATTATTATTATTATTATTGATATTACAGGCGAAAAATTAACAATCTTTGAATGGAGGAAACAAAAAGTTGCATCTTTAGAATTTTCAAAAATTGAAAAATGAAGACTTGGAAAACTTCATAGTAGTTGGTCAATTAAGTTGCAAGCCAATTGGGGAAGTGACAAGAGAATGATAAATGTGATTGGTTGTTGTTGTAAAAATAAGGCCGTTTCTTTTTCAATTGTAGTAAAGATAAGGCTTTGGGACCTCTTAGAGGAGAATACGAAGGCCATTAAACTATAAAGTTCTGTGGCATAGTCCAATTTGTTTGAATTTTAATATTCGATATTTAGAGTAATTTATTCTTTTTAAAATTTATTATATCGATGATATGATGTGTTCTTAATTAAAATAGTCCAAAATTTTTTTTACTCTAATTAAAATATTAGGTTATGGATCAGGTATTTGACCAATTAATTTAGTCATTTATTCTATCCATTGGAAAAATATATATCATGTTTATATGTATTAACTAATTACTCTATAAATCCATATCATATATGCCCATCTATTCAATAACTATTTAAGATCATTCAGAAAAAATATATATTTTCCATTAGCATATAAGTAGGTTAAGGATGGCAATACATCAGAAACTCAACTCGTTAATTAAATAATTTATCTCATTCACTGAAAAAAATACTTTATTTATACTCATTAAAAAATTATGTGATGAACTCATACTTGACTTATTCACTCATTTAATATTATGTAATACTCGTTAAAAATAATTTATCGAAATATTTTATTTTAATCTTTGTAATTTTTTTTAAAAAATATTCTACTCCTTAAACTTAAGTTATTTTCTTCGATTTGATCATTTATTCATAAATTTTTGGTCCTCAAAAGCTTAATGATAATAAATAAATAAATAAATAAATAAGCGTTTTCCCTACTTTATAAATTTTGTGTAATTAGATTTTTGATTTTAAAAATAATAATAATGAGTATTAATAGGGAATAAAAAAATATTCAAACTAAAAAACTTTATTAGTAAATATATATATTTTTTTTAATTGATGTCGATGTCCATTGAATATTTTTAGTGAATAATTTTTAAACCAATTAGGATAATGTTACGCATTGCTATCTTTAAAATAGGATAATAACACCTTTTACCGTTAAAAAAACAAAAACAAAAACAAAACCGATGACAACAATTGTAGAAGCTAGAAACAAAAGAAACGGGTAAAAGTGATAGACTTTGTTGCATCAATAATTTACGATGTAGTCTTTTTATGAAGGATATTATTTTAATTTAGGAATTAGACAATAATATCTCGACAACATTCATTCATCATGATCGAAGTCATGTAATGGAAAAATTTGAAGTTGTTCTAGGAAAATTATTATTTTTCCCCAACATTTTCACTTCTTTTTATAAACTTATTGAATCAAGTTGTGCCCTTCTCGCTCTCTCACTCTCTCTCTCTCTCTTAATCAGTTTTGCGTGTATCGAATTCTATTCAATAAAAAAATAAGCCTTCTGCTCTCTAAAGAAGTGGGTCAAGAGATTCATCAGAAATTGTTTTCCAAGTCCCAAAGTCTTCTTCTTTGAAGATTAATTAAAGGTAATTCAAAGTTTTTGTTTAGGAAAAAAAAAAAAAGCATACATTTCAGCATTGTTTTTTTTACAAGATAAGGAAGAAACATTCCTTTCTTAAACTTAAATATAAAAAAATATTTCTTTTGTCTCAAAAAAATCAGCTAGGTTATTATTTATATCTCTTCCAAAATACTAAATTTGTCCTAAAATATCTATCGCGTCAAAACTTTAA